TTTGGAACGAGACTAAAACAGCTTGCACCTGTTGAGGAAGTTTGGATAAGAAAAGTTGCTTGAATAGGCCGTCATCGAAGGTTCTTTGGCCATTGACTTCTCGCATTCTTTGCAACATGTCTGTGGCAGAACCGTGTCGCAGGTCGATGTTGTTAGGGAGTTGGTCTAACCTTTGTCGATCGGTTAGATCTCCGCGTTTAAGGATGGCCTGTTTCAGTGTTTGGTATGGATCAGAAACATCACTAGTAAACATACTAGGTGTTACGTACCTGTTGAATTCGCGCGGTAGTGCCTTGACTACTGCGAAGAATTGTGCACGCGCATCGTTCACACCGTGCTCGTAGAAGTCGGCTTCTGCATAACAAAACCAGGCTTCGATGTTGTCTGGCCAGAAAGGCATAAGTTGGAAAGAGGGTGGGGACACAGTCTTTAACTTAAATACTTTAGGGGTCTGTTCAGCCATAGTAATATACCAAGTACGAAAAGTGAACGAGTGGCAAATATATATATGAACCCAAAAACACGGAAGAAAAAAATATCACAATGTAAAAAAAAGAAATTAAAATAAGACAATGATATATAAAATCACAAAAAGGAACAGACTCACAGTTTACAATATGGTGTACCAGATCACGTCGGGCTCACCAATGAAGATGCCACAGGTATTCGGAGTTTGACAACGCTTTAACCAGTAACACCTAATACGAAGCGCACCCACCAAGTGAAATCAAAAGACAGAAGCGAGGAGATCGAAGATATATTTGATAAGCTATCAATATATCGAGGATCGTTTGCACTAATCTGGCTAGCGATTGAGGCAGATGTTGAGCACGGCGTTCCCACACGTGATCTGGTGCGGATACTTGACCGAGCGCCTTCAGCTAGATGAGTCCACTAAAACTGTGGTCAGCATCCAATGTCGAAAACTTACAGAGCTATTTGATTTTGGGGAATTATTTACCGCTACATCTTCTTTGTTATATTGTCTACTAAAATATGTTAGGGACATATGTGGAAAGTTCTGTCATCATCTTGTCAATTTATTTTGATATGTTGAGGAAGTAAGAGCTTTCATATGTTTTGTTGCACGCTGAAATTATTTGATGGAATAATTTATTTGACATGACAGTGTAAATGATTTCGAAAATTGCTTTTAACTTTGTACATTTTCATCAGTTTTAAGGCGGTAGGTACCAAAACAGTTTGTAGCTGCTCATTGTGCGTGAAAAACACCCTCAGCCAAAGTTGTCTTTTATTGAGAGTAGTATTTGTTAATCATTATTTGATTGGTTTTTCTAGCGTTCTCTCAATGAACCTTGTGCTGTATTAGTTGGACGTGCGTTTTTGAAGCTAAACGTTTACGGTCACGAGTAAAAAATGTATGTAGATTTGAACTCACAATGCTTGATAGAGTAAATGGAATATTTATTTGAATTCGCCCAAACCTGTTTACTGTTAGTCAGGGGGCATTGTATTTATTCTTGTGCTGGTTACTTAATATATACGTGTAAATATTAGACAATATTTTGTTGAAAATTTGTTTAATATTTTTAGATGCACTTGTCCGCAGCGTATCTGATTCTAACCATAGTAAGTATGAGTTGCTGTTGTGGAAATCAATTTGTTTTACTTATGTCTGTGTATAGTTTTGATTTATGGTACATGGAAATGACGTTTAGCTACGGATTTTAATGGAATATTTCAGAGTAATAGTTTGTTACACTATATTTCCTCTCCCAACAATATTGAGGAAATAGTCTTAGCTAGAAGTTAATTTTTCTATGGGCGAGATTTTGATCAGCTGTGCAAAAAGGGTAGATAAAATAATGGTGCAATAATTAAAGCATAATACTTCAGTTCCGATTTGGAACGGACAGGAGGCTTGATGTCCTATGTAGGTCGTGGTGATAATAGTCTCTCATTTGATCCAGCTTTCTTTTAAAAGTGTCGAGAGATGGAGCTTCAATCACGTGTTAGGGTAATAAGTTCCATTCGTTTATGTTTCTATGGGAAAGTCAATAGTCAGCTGGTAAGTAGTTTGTTTTATGCTTGTGAATTATTCGTTAGTGTTCTCTTAATTTTTTTGTTTTGGAAGTCAATAAAATTGAGGGCATATCAAATGCAACATTGTCACTAAGTAATTTGAAAACTGTAATCAGGTTACTCCTAGTTTTTTGACATGACGATGGGATTAGGTTTGGTTTAGCTAATCGAGCATCATACGGGAGCTCTACTATTTGCAGAATCAGCGTAGTTTCAGGTATTTTTTTAACATTTTCTAAGAGCTGATTGTCTTTTTTAGAGCAGAGGATAGCTGGATGTTTGCAGTTCTCAAGTTTAGGATGCACGAATAGTGTATACACAGCCAAGATGTTTTTAGCATAGATATGGCTAAAGGCCATAGGTATTGACCATACGGTTCAAAAATTTTGACGGTTACCGCATGGCAGTGTGCAGTAGTTTTTGGTTCTTGGCTACCAATGACTCTAAAATCATTGTGCGCCGGCACAATAGGTAGCTCGATGTTATTCATTGTGTATGTACCTGTACCTTGATGACCAACGGACACCACAATGTACTTGGAAGAATTTATAGGCAATCGTCAAGTGCGAGACCATTCAGAAAACTTCTCCATGTCATCTTTAGGCTCTAAGCTTTCGCCTTTATTTTTTATCGGTCCCGGCACCCTGGCATCGCCAGAATATAACAAGATCGATGATGATAGCAGACGAGGAATGTCATTTACATAAGTTAGTCGTACGACGGAGAGGAATCCACTTAAAATTAGTCATGAATTCAATAACCATTTCTTTGGTAACAGAAATCAATATACTAACATTGAAAATGTTCCGTGCCTGAGGTCCAAATATTTCTTCTTGTTGTTTTGTTTAAATCGGCTAAATGAATTATTCAAGATACAACCTATACAATCGCATTTATAATTTTCTCCAATTGTAGCGAATGGAGTAGTTCGCGTTGCGCAATTAACTTTCTGTAGATCCACTTATTATTTGCAGGTTTGTTTTTCATTTATATTACTGAAGTAATCAATATGAAAGAATACAAAGCAGTAGTTTGCAATATTTTTACTTGTTTGTTGTAATATTTTCTGTGCTCAATTAGTTTAATAAGTTTCATAAGTTAACTACTGAGTTTTCGTTACCCAATATTTAAATGTAGGCATTTGCATAATATGATAATACCCTTAAAAGTTACCGCAGATATAAGTTTAACTTATTGGTCAGTTATCTCCATCACAAAAGGATGTCTTTTTGAGCATATTTCAACGACCAAAATATTTTCTGTCGTCCATAATCACAGAAGTATTCTAAAGTATAGTCAATCGGGTGTTTTTGTTTGTTCTTTTCAATTCACTTTAAAAATGGGGGTAAAATGTTGTATTTCACACACTTTCTAAGTGTTTTTCCCCCCACGTTGATGCCTCTTACGTAATAGATGAAATATTCAAATCCCGAAGTTTTGAGTTTCTGATAATTTTGTTTAGTGATGCTGTTGGTGCTAAAGGCCTGTTAGAAATACGAATTTAATTGTCTTGTGAATCGTGAATCAAATATTTTTGAACTTTAGATAATGTTCATTGTTAACGGTGTTATTCAATAGTATGCCGTACTCTTGACTTTGGAAAACAGCCTAACCTAGCTTTATAACCTTATGTTAAATATGATTTCAAACCGCTTCCACTGTATATACTTGGATTATTTGAATATTTCTGAGCTTTAAGCTCATCACATTGAAAGAAAAAAGTGTAGATCTAGACATAGTCGAACATTAGATTTTTATTTTATTAAGTAATGAAATTATATGGTGTTTTACGTTAAGACTGTTTCGTGACCTGTTGAACCCGTGATAATAAAATTTCATTTCGTTAAACTGTATGACACTTTATCCGGTTCTCAAAGTAATATTATACTTTCAACGTCTTATTTCTATTCCTAGTCAGAAACGTTTTTTACTAGCATGCTCCCGTCTAAATGTTTACCAAAGCCCAACTCTATTTACATTGCAAATACAACGTATCATCAAACAAATCATTTTTATTAAAACTTATAAATAGTAGTTGCTGGTGTCAATTACTTGACAGTGTACTGAAAGAAGATAGGCGTTTTGTAATCAGAAATTGTTTAACAGGTGATTAATCTATTTGAAATTATAATTTTGAGCCTAAGTAGCAGTTCTTATATAGTTCCAAAAGATTTTAATTATCTTATAGCATTCATTTTAAGATCAATACAGTCTCGTTCTTAAGGTACAAAGAGTATGAAGTTTACTACTGTATCCTATTAATTAAATGGCAGGTGCATGACAAATACCTGTGAGCGATACAATAGTTGTCCGAGTAAAATTAGTAAAAACTGATCTAATGACATGTTCTTAATATCTATGATGTTCTAGGTTAAAGCTGCTAAAAATCACTGGTTGAGTGGGCTTTAACCAAACTGAAAATACGAAAAACGATTCCCTTTGTTTGGGATTGAAAGTCAAATGTAGATAAAAGAAGAACAAATTGGCTGCTTTGCGTAGTTTCTTTCAATAATTTGACATGTAGTTGATCTATAATATCGACGACCTGCAAATTAATTCACTAAAGATATAAATGATCAAGAGAGATTTCGAAAAATTCCGCCATCTGAACTCACTATACGGAAATAAATAATCGTAATTTTAGCATTTCTTGGTCCATATTCCTTGTCGTTGTATTGATAATTGTCTTTCCATATTTTGTATTTATCACATAATATTGCATCGTTTTGGTCCTACAATCATCTTAAATTATTTAGATAATATATACTTAAGTGCATTATTAAGACAGTGCCACCGGTTTTCGACTAGATCTATTTTTTAAAAAGAGATATGATCATTCAAGTCTCGAATCAGTGTTTGATTTTGTTAATAATAAATGGGGATTCATTAAATTCTATTTTATTTGATTTTAGTATTTCTAAACGTTTTGTGTTGGAACTGAATATTATACACCACTCATGCATGTGGAGAGATTAAGACCACAAATATTTCGTGATTATTATAGTGTTGGAACGTCTTATGATGGTTTCAGTCCAGGAAGTTCTTCTGAGTATGATAGAAGTCTGGCTACTTCTCGTGTTTACGAAAGAACACGGATACATACATTAGCAGGTAAATCTGATTTCATGATGCTAAGTTATGTGAAGCGGAGAGGCAGACTGTTCAAAAAAAGACATTTACAAAGTGGGCGAATACATTTTTAAGGAGGATAGGAATTGAAATATATGATCTCTTTTTGGATTTACGTGACGGAAAGATTTTATTACAGCTATTAGAAATACTTTCCGGAATTAAAATGGTATGTTTTTTATTCACAGCGATTATTTTCTTGATCGTCCGCTTGCTTCGCTTACAGCCTAGTCCGACCTTAGGGAGAATGAGGATTCATTGTTTAGAAAACATTGACAAATCCCTCTTCTTTTTGAGCAATTTTGGAGTTCATTTAGAAAATATAGGAGCGCATGATATTGTTGATGGAAATGCAAGGATTACGCTTGGACTATTATGGATGATTATTCTTCGTTTTCAAATTCAAGATATCATATTTTTGGAGAAAGTCGATCCTCTAGGAATCAAAAGTGATGTGCGACGATATTCAAAGGAAGCTTTATTATTATGGTGTCAGCTGAAGACTGCAGGTTATCGAAACGTTGACGTGCAAAATTTTACAACTAGTTGGCGTGATGGCTTGGCTTTCAATGCTCTTATCCACAGACATCGTCCAGATCTGGTCAATTTTAATGAATTGTCAGTGAACACACCACTGCAAAATTTGGAGTCTGCCTTTATAGTTGCGGAAAAGAAGTTAGGCATATCTAGGCTCTTCGATCCTGAAGACATATATGTCCAACAGCCAGATGAGAAATCTATTGTTACTTATGTTGCTACATATTATCATTACTTTTCGAAAATGAAATCGGAAACTGTTCGTGCTCGTCGTTTGGAAAAATTTATAACTTACTGGCGTGATCTCCAGAATTCTTTCGATTGGTACGAAAGACGTACATCAGATCTTTTGTTATGGATTGCCAAAACAGTATTGTGGTTGAATGATCGTCGTTTTCCCAATCAAGTTGAAGAAATTCAACAGATTATGGTTTCATTTAAAGAATATCGTCTTCAAGAAAAATCGGACAAGTTCAATGAAAAAGGTGAACTTGAAGCTCACTTTCTTTTAACGCGTACAAAAATGAGAACACTAGGGCTTAGAAACTATATACCATCTACGGAGGCACAAATATCCCAACTCAATCGTGCATGGAATGCCTTAGAGAAAGCCGAGTATGGACGTGAAATAGCTTTGAGAGAAGTGTTAGACAAGCAAAAACGTCTACTGCATTTGTTTTCACGCTACGAAAAGAAAGCAAATTTGAGAAAAGCTTGGATTAATGATAATTTTAAATTGGTTGAGGTATGTGATGATGATAAGAATTTAGCAATGACCGAAGCGTCATTAAAAAAGTATGAAGCTCTAAAAGCTGATATTTATGCATATTTTGACAGAATACAGACAATCCAACAGATTGCTGATGAACTTATTGGTAATGATTTTTTTAAGCGAGATATCGTTTTAAAAGTTCAAAAAGAAATTCAACATATGTGGGATCGACTCTTAAAAGTAATGAATGAAAGATACAAAATTCTTGAAAATAGAAAAAACCTGTTTAAAAAGTTTTCAGAAACAGATTATCTCATGGGATCTATACAATCACTTTTATCTAAATTACAAATCGATGAATTTGATAATCACTTAGCTGCTATTGAAGAACGTTTAAAACAATATGAATTAATAGAAACGGATATACGTTCAATCCATCAAAATATATCAATCCTATTTGAATTAGAATCTCAAATTGAATACTCTCCAGAGTTGTTTGGTTTTAAAACTAATACTGTAGCAATTGATATAAAAAAACAAAGTAATTTGTTAAAAGATGCCTATTCACAACTTGTACAATTGATTGAATCTAAACGACGGTCTATAGAATTTCTAAAACTTTATCACAGTTCAGAATATGAGTTAGATGAACAATTAATTTCAATACAAGAACGTATATCATTTTTGCAGAAAAGTGAAACGTTTGTTGACAATGGTAATATTGATGTTCTCTTCCGGAGACATAAAGCGGCTGAATCTGAATTAGAAACACGAAGAGTGGTTATCACTCGACTATTTGAACGAACTTCCAGTTTAATTGAAGAAGAATGTCCAAATTATGAAAATCTAAAAGAAAAGGTAACAAAAGTTGAAAGAGCGTGGGAACAACTCGTAAATCTAATGGCCAAACGTAAAACTAATTTATTATTCATGAAAGACTTACGTTCTTTTGTGTTAAGTTGTGATGATGCGGATGCATGGATATCGGAAAAATATGAACTAAGTTCCAGTGCGATGCGTCTTGCTATGCAAACTGACAGTATTTATACTATAGAAAAATTAACGAAACAACATCAGGAAACTATTTCCAGTGTGAATAACTTCCAGACTACTATTGATCAAATGAAGCTTCAAGCAGACGAGTTATTAGGATATATAGATTGTTTGTACACTGTAGCTGATAAAGATGGTAAATCAATAGAACCTATTTTGGAGGCTATCATAAAATCTAAGAATGAGGTTGGAAATTTAATAAAGAATAAAATGAAAGGTCTCTTAGATTCGTTTTCTGTTCTTAGCGGATGCATTCGTCAGACACAGTTACTACTTTTAGACGCTGTATCACTTCATCAATTGTTCCAAATGGCTTCATCGACGTATAACTGGATTATTGAGAAGGAAGTTTATATCCAGCTGTTAATAATGGACGACCTACAAGAAGAGGAGTTTTCTAAGATTATAGAAGGTGATGTCAGTGCTAACCAAGGGTTAATTCAAAGATTAGAAATTGTTAAAAATAGATTTTCTGACTTAGAGGAGCAGATGAGTACAGCAGCTGAGCAAGTAAGTAAATTTGCAAATCGTTTGTTGCCTTATTATCAATTTGTTTGTAGTACCAAACAGTTATGTTGAGAGGTCTCAATTAGATTAGACTAGCGTTTTTTGCACACTATTTCCCAAGTAAGTGATAATTTAATGAATGTTCACTATTACATTTAGCGTAAAATATTAGCGTTTTACCAGGCTATAGAACAAAGGTAAAAAAACTTCTCCAGTAAAACAGTTTGTGAGTCCTACGTTGCAAAGCGAACTTTGCTACGTTCCTTAAGTTTTTTAGATTGTTGTTTGAGTTTGACTTCAAACACCACGCCATGACATTGTAATACTAAATATCATATTTCCTTAAAACAACTACAAATCACCTGACTTATAACCAATTTTACTCCCCTAAATGATCTTTCGGGTTACACGCTTGGATAATGGGTCGGATTTAACCCACACGATGCGGTTCGTTCACTTTCTCTATAAAGGATTGGAGTAGTCTTGATGCTGGACTTTGTCAGTTTTGTGTTTTGGCTAAAAAGCTATCATAGAAAGACGAACGATATATAACACTAATACTGGATCTTCTCATGTATTTTAGGAAAGTCAGTCAGTCAGTAACAACGTGGAACTTCGTACGTACGTACATCAGTTCGAGTTGCCATACCACATTAGCACAGAGATTCAGTTATCGATTCAAATCCCGTAGTGGTAGAGGTACTAAAAGTATAAGTAGTGATAGCGAACATTAGGGTTTGATGATGTTATTTAAGGAGTATAGTCCAGTGGAATAGATTTGTAAAGAAAATAAAGGACATAAAGAATTCAGAAGATTAGAGTTTGAGAGAACACAAAGAATGGATGCACCTGCGCCATTGCAAACGATTTTGAGCCATGTCATTCAAGGTCTCTAACCATCGATTGCTATCATCTCGCGGTTCCCAACCAGGTAGTCTACATCTACTAACATGGCTTAGTCCACTTGTCAGTGACTTCATGGATTTGTGCCATGTTTTGGTCTGGCCGCCCCTAGCTTTCTTCCAACCTACTCCAACACCATAAAACATCGCACGTCGGGGCAGTCGGTGGTCGGGCATGCGCAACACATGTCCCAGTCATCTCAACTGATTAAGTTTCACTACTTCCTCAATTGATTTGCCATCTTTACGCAGTACCTGTTTCCTAACAACTGAGTCGCTTACTCGGTGGTCCCAGGATATACGAGCAATGTTTCGAAGACACCTATGATCAAATACTAGTAACCTACGAATATCCTATACTCTTACTGGCCATGTTTCACTGCCATAAAGTAGGAGGGAACGAACTGCTGCGCAGTAAACACGTCCTTTGGTTGATAGACGGATATCTCGCCTATACCACAAATGACGCAAGTTGGCAAAAGCTAGTCGAGACTTCTGTATCCGTGCTGAGATTTCGTCACACACCAAACCACAAGGACTGATGAGACTTCCAAGATAAGTGAAGTGGTCGACACGCTCAACTACTTCACTCCCTATCACTAGTTCGTGTGTCGACGTAACCCAATCCTGAAGCAACATTTTGCATTTCGAGGGAGAGAATCGCATGCCGAACATGCCTGCATTGTTGCTTAGAGTGGTCAGCAGACTCTGCATTTTGTCAGCGTCTTCACCAAATAGAACTATGTCATCGGCATATTTCTAAGTCAACAAGTGAATCTTTCGGTAGAAGTTCAACCCCCGGAAAGTCAGATGTGGAAAGTGTTAGTTCTAAAAGCACGTCCACGACAAAGTTAAACAAGAATGGAGAGAGTGGACAGCCCTGACGAACACCACTTGGGGTAATCAGTTCTGATGACAGTTTTCCATAAGTTCTCACTCGACTAGTTGTGTTCGAGTAGAGAGCCTTTATAAGGTTGATGTACTTCTTTGGTACTCCTTTCAGTGACAAACACTGCCATAGAACCTCACGATCAACAGAGTCAAATTCCGCCTTAAGGTCGAGAAATACTATCATTGTGGGGCGTCTGAATGTGTGTCTATGTTCTAGAACCTGACGTAGTGTGAATATCTGATCTACACAACCACGTCCATGTCGAAAACTGGCCTGGTTTTCTCTAGTCTGCATTTCACGAGCTTTGGTTAGACGTCGAAGTATTATTGAAGCTAATATTTTAGACACTATATTAGTCAAACTAATTCCTCTATGATTGTCACAAGAAGACTTGTCCTTTCTTATAGACTGGCACAATCAGTGATTGAGACCAGTCAGATGGGATTACGTCCAGTTCCCAGATTCTACCTAGGACTTCAGTCAATCTCGCTGCTAATACTGGACCACCATCCTTAAAAATCTCAGGGGTAAACCTGTCAGGGCCTGCTGCTCTCCCACGCTTCAGATTTCGTATGGCTTTTTCAACTTCGTAAAGAGTCGGAGGATTCACATTAAATTGCCATTCAGGTAGATTGGAGATCGTGGAAAACCAAAGTGTGGCTGAAGGCCAGTTGAACTGATCCCTAAAGCGTTCTGCCCATCGATCCAATCTCCTGGATTGAGAATGAATAATATGTTCATCTTTTTCGGAGATTGTTTCTCTAACAGTTGGGTTCCTAATACCGGTTTTCTTAACAAGTCTGAACATTTGCCTGCTGTTACCTATTGCCGCTGCCTTTTCCATCTCTCTTGCTTTCGCTACCCACCACTGTTCACGATCATTGCGTGGGCTTCTAGTCAGCTTACGCTTAAGCCTAAGGTTTCCTTGCAGAGTCATTCCTACGTCCAGTAAGACGTAGACAAATACGCGCTCGCACTAGAGCATGATCTGAGTCTAAGCATGTGCTCCAGAATGAGCGACAGTCTTCTATCGATCCCCTCCATCGGTGGCTGACAGCGATGTGATCTATTTGGGTCCAACGTTGGGACGAATCAGGGAGTCGCCATGTTAAAAGATGTTTTTCCTTATGCTTAAAGTTAGTATTTGCTACAAACAGATGGTTATCTGAGCATAGCTGCAACAGACGGTCGCCGTTATCTGTTCTTTGAGCCGCGACACCATAAGATCCACCCAGGTGTCTTTCCGTTTCGCTTAGTTTACTTACTTGAGCATTAAAGTCACCGGCCGCTATTACTACATCAGAGCGCCTAACGTTTTAGAGAAGGTCGGAAAGCTTTCTGTAAAACCCATCTTTTGAATCATCTGAGCTGAAGTCAGTGGGAGAGCAGGCGGAGACGACGAAGAGACAACGACGAGTGTCCCTCTCTTTCCGAGTCCTTACTGTTCTGTTTAGTCGGACAACGCACAAAAGACTGTCTACTGGATCCGGTCTAGGAGAGCTAATTCTGCCCTAGGACTCAATGCTATACCTACGCCAGCGAGGTCACGGGAAGCAGCATCAGGGCTTCCAGATACACGAAGCCTGAATCGAGTTGGTTCGTTACTTTGATATGGTGCGGTCAAATGAATGACAATACTAGGATCCTGTGTGCATGTTTCGGAGATGCAGCACACATCGATGGAGCGAGATTCTAAAGTCCTAGCTAAGGAAGTCCGTTGTCCTATTTGGAACAGTGTTCGGACGTTGAAAGCTCCTACGTGTAGTTTAGATTGTGCTTTCAGGAGACCAGGAATATGGTTTCGCGTACTCGAATCGTTTGCACTAGCGGGGCGAGGTGATAAAGGGACGTAAGAAGGGTTAGTCGTGGAGATATGAGAGTTATTAGGAGGTGTAGGAAGGGTTTGAATGTGACTAACTTGATCTCGTGTGCTGTTACGGGTATGAGGGCTGATATCACTTCCCGGTTGCCCACACTGTGGAAGGGTATTTCTTGAGGGACCTGAAAAAGAAATCGGATTAGTGTTGGTCTTAACGGCCTGGGTGTGTGACCGCAGAGCCCAAGAGAAAACTGCTTGAGGCAGGTCGCGCACGGCCTTTGTGTGGGAGGTTTTTATTGTGTTAGCTCCGTTCTTCAAAGAGCCTTACCGCCGGAGACGGAAATCCGTGGGGTAAGGTGAGGTGTGACATTTTTAGGGTCGACCTTTTCCAACCCCTTCCTTCCTTGTGAGAAGGCAGCATCGCTGCAGATGCTGGTTGTCCGAGGGAAACACCTTACTGCTGTCACACCTCTGTACAGTCAGCAGTACGACTTCGCCCTCAGACCTTGAGTTGCAGCTTTTAGTCTTACCGTTCTCCAATCGACCTGCCTGGCATGATAGAACCTGCAGGAACATGTGTTCCAGCCAATATAGCTCGGTTGAGTCATCACGATAGGCAAGCTCGACCACCACGTCAAGGTAGCAGCTACGGTCGGGAAAATAAAAACACTATAGTAGGTAAACTAATAGAAATGAGAGAAAGTGTAATTTTAACATTGTGATTAAGTATTTATGAACATTAAGGTTGAGTTAAGAATAACAAGATCAAACTGAAAATTATGATAGCTTGGTATAGAAGTAATAGGAAAAGAATAAAAAATTATGATCTCTTTGGAAATACATAAAAGCGTCCCAATTCTGCAACGACAAACAACCAAAGAAATAGTATATTATACTCTGTATTAAACATAAGATAAAAAAACAAGGTGACTTTAATACTTATAAAGTCGATTGGGTTTTTTTTGTAAAGATTAAGCTGTTTGGTACTAGTGCTAGTAAAAAGAATGTGAAAAGTGTTGTTTTTCAGCTGGATTAATTCAGGAGAATCTTGATATTTTATTAAATAATGATACATAAAAGTAAATGCGTGTTTGTATACCGTAATGATTTTAACAACCCAAAGCATGTTGATCACCTTCGTAAATAGTCAATTAAAAAATCTTCTAGGCCTAAGGTGAATATATATAATGTCATATATGGCGACTAGTTTGTTACTAATCAACTGATTATCCACCTCGCTTCATTTTGTTTAAAGTACATTATAAACCTATATTATTAAGTTGATAACTTTCGGAAAATTATTAATCCATTTAACATTGATGTACCAAATCAATTTATGTGACGATGCGGTAGGCAGACTAGAAGCTAGTATACTATGTTAGGTTCCATCAAATATAATTCAAGTACCTTTCTTTTGATAGTTTCCAATTTCCAAACGAAACGATACAGTGACTTTCCACTATTTTGTTTAACGCATCTCATGTACTGGGTTTACTTCTAATTCTTATGTTATATAGCTCATTATTACATTGAAAGTCGAAACGAAATATTTATACAGAAAAATAAGGAATTACTGAGTTTCAAAAAAGTACCCAAAACACAGTGTTCTTGGGCTCTGTAAATTTTAATTTTCGAACAGTACAAATATTGTACAATATTTTTAAATATTATGAATTTACATACAATTAATTGCTTTTATGAATTTAAATAAAATCAGAACAATACTTAAGGCCGAATCATATGAATTCACTATATTTTATGGTTTCTCATTAGCTGCTAATGAATTAATTTTAACTGTTTTTTTTTCATAACTGAAACTGTAATGTAATTGATAAATAGAATATACAAATTATTAGGAGTGACATTGTCTCTTACTAAAAATAAACAATTTATATATTCACTATAATCTTTATATTGGAGTTCTTGAAGTTCTTTTCTTCAATAAATATTCTTTATGTGTAATAAATATTTAGGTATCTACTGTAAACATGATGATTGCTAATTTTTTAAATGAACCAAAAAGAGATGATCAATCATTAGTTAATAAAGAAATGACGATTGAAAAAGTTATCAATGTTCAAGATCATTTAAACTCAGCCTGGAATAGAATTGCTGATACTGTTGAGTTTCATAGAGACCGAATAGTTGAAGAATCATTTTATATTAATTTATTCATTGAATGTAAATATACATCTGAATGGATTACAGAAAAAGAATCAGTTTTATTTTCAACAGATTCCATTGATGCTAATAGTTTGACTGGTTTGGTTGAATTAAGAAGACGTTTATTTAATTTACAAGGAGATTTAAAAGCAATCGAAGCACGAGTTCAAAATATTGGTGAACGTATAGGAGAATTACTTGGTATGACGGAACAACAAGAAATTGCATATGATGAACAAGATATAAAATTAAAGTCTAAACGAAGAGCGGATTATTTATTGAAAGAACATATGAAACTTACACAGCAGTGGCTTAATTTAAAAGAAGCACTTAAACAGAGAGTTAATCGAATATCTACTGAAGGTCAAGTGAGCCGTTTTCTTGAAAAACTTGATTCATTTCAAGATTGGATGAGAAAGCTAAAAACTGATGTATTTGTCCGTGAATTTCCAAGTGATTTACAGGTGAGTTTATCTATAAAAACAATCTCACTAGTTTTTAAAGAGTTCATCCATTAAATTCTTCTTGTTCGCCCTCAACCAGAGGTTGCATTATTACATATATTAAATATTTACTTTACTTGTAAATAGAAGTGGTTTGTGTTAACGAATCGATGCCAAAACGAAAGTCACTGAAATCCAGAGTATTGGTTAGTTTTTCATTTTGTAAGAATGCACCTGCACAATTTGTTGCTGCGATCTCTTAAAAACTTTGTAAGTTATATCATAGTGTCTTAGTCAGCACACTATCCTAATTTGCCATAGATGCTACAGATTCCACAGTAGTTCATTAGCTCTTAATGTGTGAATTTCTTTGTGTTAACCGTTACACTTAGCGGTTGTAAATTGTGATATCAAAGCTGTGTTCACTGTTGTAGGCTTCATTGAATGTTTACAATTGGTAACCATTTTCAACCACCACAACACTACCATATTCCAATATTATACTTTATTTGGAAAATTGCCTGTTCAGATAAAAAGTGAACAAAGTGAGTGTTAGTAATTCAAACTTAAAGTGATGTATCTAGTTATATCCTATCATCATTGAATTGTTTGTTAACTAGGCTACTCAGAGCACAGTTGACCGAGATTGGGCAAATTACTATTAATAAATTTGTAAACGGATTTATATGGTCCGGAATATTTTGTACTTCCAATTCAGTTGTATTTCAGTATAATTTCTTCCATATATGATAGGTCTTCCGTTTCTTCTCAAGTGATACGTTCAGAAGTTCAGTAAAAACACAAAAGTCATTTAGTTAATAGGTCGACTTATATGTTATCCACTTGTCTATTGATTTGTTCGTATAAAAATGGTAAATAACCTGCTTACTGGACGTTTGCTTATAGTTTGATTAAATGGTCTATTAATTTTCTGTTCATTTATTGGTCTAACCAGTTGAATAATAACTTAAAATGAGCATGAAACACATTTCAACTAACAAATATTGTCATAGTTCAGTAAATTGATTTGATAATAGATATTAAACGCAATTAATACATAATGTTATTCGTTATCAGATAACAAGTACAATAAAAAAAATTTTCAATTAATTCTTTGTTATTATTTGTTAGTTAAAGTACTGATATTTGTTTTACTTGATGTGAGTATATCAAATAAGTCAGATAGTTTAATATGAAACTATATTCACAAGAGTTACTAATTATTTAAAGGTTCATTACTGAACGCAACAGATAGCTTTTAATTGGTATGAACACTATTTATTAATTAAAAACATTAACAGAAGGGGTTTCGTGAATTGGTTGAACTTAGACATTAACACCGTTAGATGCCGGCTCATTGGTCTAATGGTTAGGCGCTCGCGCGCAAGAATGATATGCCCTGGGTTTTAGTCCCGCGGGGGGCGGGATCGTGGATGCGCACTGCTGAGGGGTCCCATACGGCCGTCCAGTGCTTCCAGGTTTTCCATAGTGGTCTAGCTTCAGTTGACTCATGATTTCAACTATTAAAAACATTAAATTTTTTTACGGGAATATTTCTATTATCAAGGTATTTCGAATTAACATACACAGCCGAAGAGTATTTGATAATAGTTGTACAAATACTTTTGGTTTTTCTGAGTTCCTTGAGCTAGATGGTTTAATTACAGAGCTTTCGTTGTCTTTCTGAGCAAAATCATCAAAGCTTATTTTGTATAAAAGTGAGCTTTATACTTGCTCCAAAAGCCTTTTGTCAGCTTATTCTGGTGGCCTTTTTCTGATTGATAATCTACATAAGTTCAATTGTCTCCGTTTTCCTTTGTATCCAAGTTGATTATTTTGTTCCACTGATTTCTAACCGCGTTATTGATTGACAGGTATAGAATGGGTTGATAGTTCAGATCTGATTCAATGTGGTTTTTAATTACCCTGAATGTCATGTTTTCAGCAATACTCTGCCATTGCTATTATTTTATAATACTATACATTAACATCAATGATAGCGTATCGTATCATTTTACTGATATTTAGCGACTCTGTATGTTCCGTGTCGTCAAAGATGCCATGACTCAATTTATGAGTATTTCTGAGTTGCTCTCTCTTCGGGATAACTAAAAGGTCAAACGCGTAGTGTATCCAAATGTTTGTATATACAAATTCTGTTTGCCAGTGAATATTTCAACTAATACTACCAATATTTTAAAATTAAATCAAAACGTATTGTCAGAAAATGATTTTAAATTTAAAAACTAATCTTTAGCGATACATAGCGTGTACACGTTATTTATAAACATTTTCAGGAAACTGAAAATCGTCTAACAGTTATTGAACAAAGTGCTCAAGAAATCAAAGACTATGAAAATGAAGCAAATCAATTATTTGATACTGGCAGGCAACTGCTTAAAGGTTACTATGATACACCACATATTATGTTGGGACAACGGTTAGCTGGACTTGAAGATGATTGGAAATCAATTCAAAGTTCAATGGTCAACTGTACTACCCGGCTTCAAGAACGTTATGCTTTGCAAGTAATTTTTCACTGCTCTTTTATAAACAGTATAAACAATTTTTGTTAAATTACCTATCTTCTTGATAATATTTTTAATAAAAAGTATTCATTATCATTCATATTATATTCACTTTATTGTGACTTTCATGTTACGATAGAACAGTGAGAAGACGGAGTTGATCTGAAAAATGTGATGTATTTACGCTATACATTCCGAAGAATCTGGTCACATATATACTTGTCAAGGCATTTCATATGAAAATTAATAAAGGTCAATTAAATGAAAGTTCAAGTAAAAAAGTAACAAAGGGGAGAGAAAGAATAAGAAATTGTCACGTTATCGTAGGCCATAGAATGACTTAAGGATTACCAAGGTAAATTCAAAGTTACGACAAATTGTTTTTGTACACATAAGGGGGGTTTAAATTTACGAATAGCCAAGGTTTCAATAAACTTGAGAATTCGTCCTTGACAATTTCTATACAACGTTCTAAAAGCTGTATTAATGTCAATTTTGTGTCCCGTTTCAATTATTTGTTTCGCTATCGATGAACCTGGTTTTCTACCTCCCATGTTGATTGGATCATTTGACACACATTGATTTTGAAGCCATCTAGGCACATGTTCAATGACCCTTGATTGCATTGTTCGATTGCTCCTCCTTATGTATGCGTGTCCACACATACACGTAAATTGGTAAATACAGTGGGATGTGACGTAATCATTAGTGTATTGTTTGGGACTATTAGGAATCATGGGCTTAGACTTTTTAATCACAACCAATTGAGCAGTGTATGGGAAACCAACCTGGACAGGACAATACTTAAATTTCCATAGTTTTTGTCCATTGCAATACAAGCGAGGCCTGGTTAAGTGTCTCTTTAAGATGACTTAGAGCATTTGTACCCCTGACACGGTGGAAAAAGATAAAAAGTTACTGACTGGCACATTAATAGCAAATGGTTACCCACTAAAGTTTATTAATAGGTGCAAAAGTCAGTTAATGCCAAGACCTCTTGTTTATTCAGTTCCAAAGAAAAAAGTTTATATCAATCTACCATATAGAGGCGAGTCTAACAGCATAGTTTTAAGACCTATACCTATTTTGCTGCTCAATTGGTGCAATGCAACCGTGTCTGTTGTGAAGATGTAACTCACTGAAGGGCTTCATGGACGTTCTCGCAATATTGTTGATTGGTTGATTTTAGACACTGACACCGTTGGATGCCGGTCACGCGCGTGACCGAAGGTCCAAGGTTCGGGTTCGGTGTGCGGTGCCGTGCATACACACTGCCGTCCAGTGCTTCCAAGTTTTAAATTGTGGCCTAACATTGATCCATTCATAATATCAATCTAAACTCAGTGATGCATGTATGTATATCACTGTTACATATATGACTTTCTATGTTCAATGACTGTCAATAAATATAAACATGGAATTTTCTCTTGAGCTTTTAAACTTTCGTTTGTAGTTACATCACTGATGAATAGTGAGTTTAGTTGTAAAAATTTAACATTTATCATCTATGACATTGAATAATTATCACTTTATTTTAAAAAACAGACTGAATTCGAAGGTATGAACTGCATGATTTGTATTCCCTACTTATCTCATAGGTCATTAAATTCAACTAAATAAATTATCATATGTTTACATTACTGAGGAGTTCATATTATTATTGAATTTTCATGTTTCAAATGGTTCTTCAAAATGATATCAGTTTGTAATAAAAACTATTTTTTTAAATCAAAGTAATCTTTACAAAACAACTAAATTTAATAGGTGACAGGTTTATTCTAACTAAACTAAGTTAATGTAGATAGTGAAAATAATAAATTCTATTGCATAGCAATCATATTTTTTATTCAACTTCGTAAAATTAAATTATAATCATTCCATTGTCCTCTATTTTTGTTTATGACAATTATTACCACAGTTAGTATGATATCATGATTTATTTCCAGATTATAAATAACATCCAAATATTTAATCGACACAGTATGTTTATTTGTCTAATAGTGTTTGTGTACCTTACTGTTACTATTACAAAAATGATTCATGAATTTCACTAAATGAAATATTATTTAATTTAAATAATCACTTAGTTTATATTGTTTTATTTTAAAGTTTAATTAACTCACCATAAACGAAAATATTTTTAAATTCGTAATTTCATAAATTTGATCTGGTTACACTGATAAAATTGCTGACAAATAAATTTTGATGATATTTTTTTTCGGTACAGGGATTTATGGAGATTGTAGTATTTTCATAGTTGAATTGTCAAGTCGATCTAAGATAGACCATCATTGAAAACCTATAATCACTGGATGGTCGTTTCGTCCTAGCATGGAACTCTTCGATCCCATATGTGGGACTCGAACCCAGAACCTTCGTTCTCGCACTCAGATGTATTTGATAAAAGTTTGGTATAAATTACAATAACAATAGTTTACTGTCCATTGAACAACGTAGAAATTCCCATAACATATTTAAAAACAACTAGAATATATTACAATCATTAGTGTTTTGTGATAGTCAAAATTATGAATAATTCATGACAAGATTATATGTTTTACTGACTAAATATTGGCACAGAAATAATTATCTTGAAGTTACTTGATATAACTGGCAAGTAAGGACTGACTATATTTTGCCCAAGCCTGGATAGTGAAAAATTTGATGATAAGAGTGCTTATTGTGAGTGAGTTGTCTGAACAACGTCCCACACATCCCTATTTGAATCAGTTCACTACCTATCTAATTATTGAACCTAACATCAGATGAATTCTATTTTCAGAAATATATTAATTAATTACGTTATATTATGCTTACTGTATGTTTTTGAAAGAGGATCGTTTGTGTACACAAAGCTGTATAATTAAGACATAGATACGTCTGACTTTGTATATTTTGTAAGCTAATAATTCATAGTAATAATAATAATAATCATAATAAGTAAATTAACGTAAACAAAGATGGATGGTGGCTATTAGTGGAATCCAGGAAGCTCGTTTCGTACTATTTGGGACTCGTAAGCTGGATGTACCTGCATCTCAGAGTTGATATTCACTCCGGAATTCCAACTCAGTACCATTCGCCTAAAAGGCCATCGCGTTATCCACTTAGTTACTGAGTTATGATAGGCACCTGTTTGTGCAATTGAGTGAAGTTTAAATTCACCTGATATTGTTTGCTTGTGTCTTCCCATTGATGTTTAGGATCTCAATTGATCAGTCTCTTGTTAGCTCGAGTCCCGGAGTGAACATCAACTCTGGGATGCAGGTACATCCAGTTTACGAGTTTCAAATAGGATGAAAAGACACAAGCAATCAATAGCAAGGGAATTTGAATTAATGTAATATATAAATTGCTCCTATAAACTTCCCACAGTTTCATAATATTGATGTCAAGTTATTTGAATACTTGTTCAGATATCCAAGAATGAAGACAGGGTATTCTATGGATAGATAACTTAAACAAAAATGAAATCAATTTAAAAGATAATCTACTGAAAACCGTTGTCATTATATATTTATTAAATTATAAACAAGTCACTTAGGCTATTTTTACCAAAATCGGAGTACCGTTGCTCAAAATTATGCTCCCATTTAGAAGTGCATGAAGCTTTGGTGGATAAATTGAATTATTCTCTGAGATTTTAACACCATTTACGCTGGTGGATATAAAATCAACTTTAAAACATTAAAACGCCTTAATGTAATGATACCAAATATGATCCTTTAACATTTTTCCTGTTGATTTATTTTGTAACTGTCTCCAGATATCATTAGATTTGTATATAATCCTTTCTTCCATGATTTTCTTTTAACTACAATGACTGCTTATTGAAAAAACTAATAGTTCTTACTCCAATTAAACATTAGTACTCAATTATTTTTGAGTTTTATATGTACAAATTGAATGAGTTAGTGTGCTCAAGGAGTAGTTCTTAAAAGGAGATAAACAGAAATAATACTTTTGCTGAAACCATTTGTACCTCGAAGCATGTTCACAAACCTCGAGGAGGGCGTTCTTGTGAGTAGATTTTACTAGATTAACTGGATAGTGCTACAGAATATACATAAGTTTGACTTTCCACCTTCAATTGCTCGTCCTTGCTTGTCTAAGAAAGCAGCACCACTAAAAGTGCTAGTAACTCGTTGAATAACACCATTCTGCCACAAATATCAGTAAAGTCACTATCATGATTGTGCCTAAAAATCTTAAATTTCCTGCTTTTGGTCATAACGCTCTTCAACAGACCTGCATGTTTTATTGCCTTACTTTCAAGCTTTTGAATTGTAACTTCTTTCTAACAGTAATTTACCTTTGATTATTTATCTGTCAACCTGTCTGGTTTTTTATACTGCCCTACCTATTATAAATAATTATAGGTTATGGCTAATGAGCTTGATAGATTGTTAAAGACAAATAGAAAGGTCGTATCCTCTGAATGATTTGTACTTTCCATGCTCAGCGTCGTACATCAAGCTTTAATTAGTGATATGTTTACCAGACCTTTGAACATTCATATGATTAGATTACATAAACTGTTCAGTGATTTTAAAGTCTAAACCAGCAAAAGTAGCTTAAAGGTATGATTACAGAATTTATTGTAATTTTATGGTTAGGCATTTCGAGTTTGTCGTTCTCGTTATTACTAGTTATCACAAAACATACTGGAAATATCTCTTGTGATTATTACTACGACTCTTCTCTCATTTTTTTAAAGTGCTTTTTGGCTGAATCTGCATTACTTGAAGTGACTTTGGATCAACAGGCCACATTTTTGGATAAAGAAAACGTATTAGTGAGTTTATCATCATCATTCATTATCGAAATTTCATGCTATGATAGTGTTTTCGAAGGCGATTATAAATCGCCAACTATATAACTGTTGTAAACCTCCAAACTTTTTTAGTGACCATGTATGTCTTAATAATTAAAACATCCAAACACTTGAAACTTTTTACTGAGTTTGGATGGCTGAGGCGACTTTGGCATTGTAGATTCATATTTTTGTGGGGTCTCAAACAAGTATAAAATAGCTCAAACCAATGTTTCCTAGTTTTCATTTATTCGCCGGCTGACTTCAGTTTACGGTTGAAATAGCATTTATTATGTAATATTTCGGTTTAATGCACGCTTTTGTGTATCTTATTTCGTACTTTGATCGTCAACTGCATCCGACATTTTTACGTTAAATCTGTTGTGTAATCGTCTGGCCAAAAACCTAAGCTGGAATTTTGAAATGCTGTAGAAATCAAAACATATTTAACTAAATCTCTTTCGTTTACTTATACGATTTGCTTAGACGTATCATCATTGTTCACGAATGTCTCACTCAGGGAGACTGTCAAATATTTTTGTGAACAACTTAGAAAACAGTAAGTGGAGGCCATAATTCCTATTGACATCATTAAGGAATGATAACTAAAATGTACAATGAACGTAAACTTCATATTTATAAGGGAAATATATGGAAACAGACTGTTTCGCTATGGGTTCACTATTATGTCCCTTATTGGCTGACGTTTTTCTCGCTAAATTAGAAAACGGTACACTGGCATAGAATATTGAGAAGTTTTTTTACTGACAATATATGGACGATATGTTCATTTTTTGTAAAGACCATACTGACTGGGTAAGAACGCTCAAGAGATTTAATGAAGTTCATCCATCTATAAAATTCACATGTGTGGAGGAAAATAGAGGTAGAATAGCTTATCTAGATGTTCTTGTTACAAAGAGAATAGATGAGTCACTAAGAAGAAACCTAAACGAGAAAATCACTTGGACCAGTCCATGTAGAGATTTTCTTAGTTTTGTTCTTCTACAATGTAAACGAAACCCAATTAAGATACCTCGTCATAGAATCAAGACCATATGCTCCCTAGATGCGGTTGAAGAAAAAACAAAGGCATTGCGTACTACCCTGAAAAAATGGATACTCGGAGATATTTATAAACAAACATTTGGCCAAGAAACAAGAGCATAACGATAGCCTAATGGTCAGCAAAAAGCCTCTTTATATACGCTTACGATCTAGAGACGATGCATCCATAGAAATTGTAATACTAAATTTGCACAGAGCAATCCAAAGAATCGGTAATGCAGGGAAACTACCGTTGGTGTTTTCTACATGTCCGATGGTCACTCCAAGATTGGAAGATAAATTACATGGTAATTGCCACTTCTTTCTGTATCTATCAATTCGACTACACTTGTGGACAAGTTATATTGGCAGATATTCTAGAAATTTTCATTTTCGTGCCCCTGAGTACCTCTAAGTGCATTTAAGTAAAGACATAGCTACAACTGTTAACATCTGGATTCTAGCTCATTTAATACAAATAAAGAGCAATCATTTACAGTAATATATCGTGTGAACAGTAACCTGCCTAAACCTATCAGACTAAGAATCCTTCACATAGCTGAGGCAAGAGTTATTTGGATCACTAAACTGGAGCTCTGGTCCCAGGGGCAAAATGTTCAACGGTTCTTTGTTCTTGGCCAACTGACTCAATCAGTTAATAATCATTTCGATGATATGGTGTCATAATTTGAATAATATTCATATAACTTTCCTTTTTGCATTTTTATAGCTTAAACATATTCACATATATTATTATTATTATAACGCTTATAAACGTTTTGGGAAATGTATTTATCAAGCCGCCCTATTTACTACTTCTTACCCAATTCCTTTTATCGTACATATCTTACATGGCTCTTGACCAAATATTTATTTTGACTTGTAATTACAATATAATTTTTCTAACCCCATGTTAACCTTATTTATTCAGATCGTCGATCTCACAATTTCATTTAACATTTCGTATTAGGTATTTCAATAGCAATAATTTTGTTATTCTACAAATAATCCTAAACTGCTGCTCTACAATTTCAAATGATGCAGTTTGCTTTAAACCTAATCACTTATCAGATTAATTTGGATTTATAATTGTAGAATCAGAAGAGAGTATTCTTCGTCCATATATTTTTGTTTTTAATATAATGGGGATTTATAGTCGATCATATCTTTTCACTGTTATTATTTAGTTGTGGTATGAGTTATTCTGTTAGGATTCACAATTGAAGCTTTGTGATATTTTATTGTGTAAAGCTTTCATGATGATGTATTTTATCGTCAAAATGGTTATAGCAAACCTTTAACTAGATACTTCTATAACCAGATAATGTACCGTACCACCTGAAACGTTTTCATTGATACATAATCTGCCTACTGAAGATGTAATTTAAAAGTTTTGATGAGAGTGAACTTCAATATTCGGGTTCTTCTTTAAAAGTTAGTACAGAAAAAAACATTTAAAAATACATTTATCTATTCATGTTACAGTATATTTTTATTTCATTGACTTATTTATTTCTATACGCGTTACATTTATAGACAAACCTAGATGCTGTTCGTGATATTCAAAAACAATATGAAACATTTCGGTTTTCTTTATTGGCTTGTAAAGATCGAGTTGATACCGCTTTAGAATTAGGTAGGAATATAGCAGAAAAAAATCCAGCAAATCGTGATCGTGCATTAGCTAAATGTGAATTATTTCAACGAAAGTAAGTTCTATTGATGAATATGTAAATGGTTGTGCACAAATTTTCGTGTTTCTGATCACAAAAACTGACGCTTCCACTATTTGTGGACTTTCAGATGAATTAACTAAAATAACCATCTCGTTTTGTATTTACAAATTTGACTACTCGTGAACAAGTTATGTTGGTCTGATTTGCATTTTCGTGCTCGTAAAAATTTCCCAATGTGGCTAAGCAAAGTTGTAGTCAAGACAACAGCTCAATACTAGCCCATTTAATGCAAACTGATTATAGTTCTAGTTTAAGTCAATATTTGCCAATAATTTATCGAGTTAGTAATTTTTTGCCGAATTCTGTCTGTTCAAATGGCTGAAGCAATAGTTCTTCGGGTTAAAAAGCAGGAACAATGTTTACAAATGAAATATACTCAATCCCTTCTATTACCTTGGCCTCGACCACAGGGCCAATAAATCAATAGTAATCTTAACTATAGAATGACCTCATTTGACTAATGGACATATATTAATTAGAACAACCCATCATGTGGTTGAATCAAATAAGGAGAATTGAGCGAAGAAAATTTTCTTTTCGACGAAATAATTTACTTAAGCTGTACATTCGTATTTATAGTTGTATGGTAAATATATGTCTATAGAAGGATAGAAAAGATTGAATCATAAAGAGATTCGTTACTCCAATTATCGAATGAGGTTGCGTAATAATCGGGAGGTTAGATAAGAATAGAAGGATGAATATAATTTACGGGTCAAAATTATGAAAAATAATTGTCCGCTTCAAGAAAAACATAAAGGTTATAATAAGAACTGAATAATAATGAAAAATTGTTAAGGGATACTAATAACTGATTATGGTTTGAAATTACAAAACAGTAATTAAAAAAAACCGAAATATACTACAAAAGAGAATTAGGGCCAAGGAAGGATGAGTGGTGGGACGTGTTGTTTTTGCACATAGAGTTCGTGCTTGAATTGGTGGATCGCCAATGTCTGAGTAGTGCATAAGTTTTTAATTCAACATCCCTTTGATCCAGTTCCTTTTATTGCGTAGATTATTTCAGAGGAAGACTCCTTCGGAGACAAGTGTTCAGAATTAATTAGATGCTGCTGGCAACTGGTTTTTATTCTCCTTTTATAAGCCAAGCCGAGTAATGTTCTGAGATACGTTTAGAAAAAGATTGTTTTGAGCGGCCAATGTAACCTGCCTAACAGGAGCAAGTAAATTTATAGATGCACATCAATGTGGTCCAACGAGGACGTTTATCCTTAATACATCCGTGAATGGTAGGTCGTCTTGAGAATATTATCAGTAACCATGAATAAGATCACCAAAACTACACAAGTATGACTAAACATAACACTCAATTATATAGTAATTTGATTATTTACTAATTTGTTTCAACAGTTTAAGCTGTTAGCGCGTAAATGTACTTTTTCTAAAAAATAATATAACATGTATTACTGGCGAATTATATTCGAAATATTAACTGAAACTACTCTACTATTAACCTAGTATGATCAATTCTACCATCGTCACGCATCCACTATACAAATACGTTCAAATGCATTATTTATTTTAAAATAAAGCTTAGTAATCTGTTCTGTATATTTCCTCTATGATTTTACTATTCGTATAAAAGACATTAAAGATAAAAAATATCAGTAAAGAAATAATTGGTTAGCCATGATAAAAAACCGATTGGAATTAACAAGACAAACTAGTTAGGATGCTTCACTTTATGACCATATCCAATTACGCGTTATGCTACATTATATTGGCTAAACCTAAGCAACTTTAGAAGATAATTTGCATATACTTTCTTAAAAAGAATAAACTGATTATCTGTTTCAAATTTGAGTTAAAAAACCAAGGGGATGCTTGATTAATTATGTATTCAATGATAAGATGGAGAATGGTAAATCAGAAGTTCGTAATGTAGTTCTTTCCTCCTCTTTTCATCGATGTCCTGAGAAAGTTTTAAGATTTCTGCTTTCCGTTAAAAAAGTTTTGAAAGAAGGAATATTTTAGATTATACTATTAATTTCTTTAGAATTTCACCAAGTAAGTCATCTTGAGTTTCTACGGATACTTTACTTCTTGAAATGGAGGTCATTTTTATTTAGATAGTTTCTTTTAACTAATACAAGCTAGAGTTCAAATGAATGAATGAATTTTCCCGAGATTCCTGATAAACAATCCATATTTGTAAGTCAAGTGATAGCACACTCATTTATAATTTCGTTGGATTGTTTTTTGAATTATTTTACACAATATTCACGTAGATAAAATTAAATTACACTTAATATCTTATGAAGATTACTTTTAACATATTTCATTAATGCATGTTTTGTTATTATGTAAATCTAAAAATATTAAGTACAGTATTTGAATGTTATTGTTTTAATCACTACCAAATATGATTTAAATTAACTAATTTTTTTACATGCTAATCGTTGACTAGCCATAATGCAATACTTATTGTGAGATGAAGTATGCATGATGTTAAGTAATTATTTCGAAGATATTTATTGAAAATTGGATGATAAAGTTTCTCTCTTGTGAAGAATTAGTGTGTATTTTGTTACGGGCGTTCATTCTAGTATTGTTGTTTTTTATATAGTGGAAGTATATACTTTTTATGGTTATGTAATTAAGATCTTACGTGACCTATTTTTTTAAAAATAATGTGATCCCAAACGTAATATTGTTTTTCTTTCCATGTAGATCTTAATCCATCCGTAAGGCATCTTTAGTTGACGTTTTACATTTCCCGCTTTACAGATTGTTAAAGTGTAATGTTTGAGTTATATTGTAGTGAACAGAACATGAGTGAGGAACAATCGAATGTATCTGACAACAAATTACAGAACAAGTTAGTAAAGCCTAACAACCATATAGTAAATAAATAAATAATATATTTGTAATATCCCAATGAGTAGAAAATTAGATTTTCTGACGTTTCGTGGCTTAGTGTAAGTCACTTCTTCAGAGAATTTATTTATAACAATCAACCCAATGCTCAATTTATTCGAAATTATCATATAGTAAATGCTCGATTTGCAAAATGTCCATCAATTGTCTCAAATGACACAGACTTCCTTTGTTCATACATTTTCATACAAAGTGCGTTCTGTTTTCATTCTTTACTGTTCTATCTTCTTATCTCTTTTCTGCCAGACATTCTGTTCACGACTAACATCATATACTACTTATGTCTATATAAGTAGCACACACCACAATATCAGTTTAAAAGTTAGAGAAAACTAAGGTGAATAAATGACAAACGAGTATTACTGTAGATTTTGTTTTCATAATATAGTTTTTTAATTAATTTTACGACTGGAATCAAATCATCATCTAACGAAGTTAATGGACCATATTGATTAAGTAGCTTCATAGAACGGACATACGTAGTTCATAATTCTTATCATTTTTCTATAATAGTTGAGATTTCATCTTAAAAAGTAAAATCACATAAAATCTATCACATGTTAACAGTGATACAATTAAATTGAGATTAGTTTTTGCACCCAGATAAATGATCTTTATTCAATGGTATCTTTTTTATGAAAGGGTTATGTACAACATAGTTGTGGTTTTTTCTCTCTACTATGTTATTACTTTGAAATAAATGACTTTTATCAAAATTATTGTCATCATCATTATTGTTATCTCGATTAATTGTGTTGTTATTAGTGATATTACCCTAAAGAAGGCTTGGTCGTCGTGACATCGTCTAGATATTTTATTAGTAGGAGAAAAAAAGACAGGGAGTAAAGGGTAAAGGAAAAGTAATAATTTAAGTTAAAAAGTGTAAGGTGATTGAAAAAAATGTTTTGGACTTTTGAAAAAAGATATCCAATTGTTTTAATAAACAATTAACTTTACTGTTGATTCATACACATATACATATACATATACGTTTGATGTAAAAGCTGTTTTCAATAAAGATTGTCTACATCGTCCGGCTTTATACCTACGTTATATCATTAAATATCATTATTATTCACAATCAATCATCCAATGTTTTTAGTCAGTATCCACTTCAATCCATATTCCAACTCTAGAAATATGAATCACTTCATTCTGTAACACTTATCTTGTTATAAGATTATTCCCGTTCTAGTCAATATTTAATAATTATTTTGCTGTATTGAATCATAGAGATTTTTACTCGTTGAATTGATATTATTGATTATTTGTCCATGGTTAACTAAAACGGATCAACTGTATATTGTCACTAGATTGGGTATAGTCTACTTCAAGGACAATAAAACAGTATTGGACATATTTTTTTATTAAGCTATTATGAGTAAATTATAAAAGTAGTAATAGAAAATAGTCAACAAAATAATCTTGATAAGATCATATTATTTTTCAATTTATTCCGAAGTTTTCATGTTAATTATCTGATTTTGTTCACTTATGATTATGGAATATCACATAATATCACTGATTTTTGTAACTGGCTAATTAGATATTCTCATCCAAGACTATACAATTACTGTGTACATTTGTTTCTAGTCAAAATTTTAATTGAATTGTTGGTGAGACTATAATTTATAGACGACCTTTGGATGACTCTATACTATCCGTGAAAGTGCCCACCTAATGACTAGGACCAAATGAGGGTTATAAATTAGTATGAGGAATTCTAATTCTAATTTACTATTGATGGTCAAGGTTAGGCATTAGATTTAGAGTTTTCATCACAAACTGACATCAGCTGTAATGCCAAGACTCTAATTAGCCAAATGGATCAGTGAATTTCGCGCCAAAATCCAAGACCTGATTGGTTCGTCCATAAATTATTGTCTCGCCGTATTGTTTTTATAACGATTCTGTAACAGTGATTATATTCAAAAATGTCAATCAGGAAAATGTCACTGAATCGTTATTTGTTGCAATTGAATTGCATTCAGGACAAATAGGAAATATGAATTAGTTATAAGGTGTAAATTAGAGATGTTAACGCTATTTATTTTATCAGAAATCAATCCTTAGTTATTTATAAGTGTTTATTGTTTACTGATTAAATTAATCGAGTGTTCTTCATATGAATAAAATTGGACAACATTGATTTAAATAACTGACTAGTTTTTCATAAGTAATTTTCTCGAATAACTTCATCTACGAAACACATTATTTGTTAGATTATTTTGAGGAATAGTGTTATATTGAAAAAATATATTTTAGGTACTTTTATAATTTTTAAGAACAAAAGTAACTCTCCTACCATGAAGTCTGCAACACTAGAGTTCGTTCCAGAGCATCTAAGAAGATGAAACATTAACTTACTAACCAGGTACCAATTTTACTTAAATATATCACATGAATTGGATAAGATGATCTAAAAAGAGGTTATTCATCAAATGACTTAAGATAATACAAGTTAGAGAAATGATGTTTTATGGAAGTGCTAATGGTTAATTTGTTGGAGAGAAATTTCAGAACGCTTCATGATTCTAGTTGAATCCATCTGCTTTAAACGACTAAATGACTTATTAGTTGAATAACGATATTCATTTGCGCTTAAAAAGTAACTTGGTTTATTTATTTTTTTGAATCTTATTACAATATTTTCTGAAGATATGAAGCCAACAAAATTAAAACAGAAGAACGAATTGAATATTTACAAGAAAAGGCACAACTTTATGAATTTTATGAAGAACTAGAAGATGTAAGTGTATTGTAATTTATAATTTATGAGTTTATTGTCTATAAATATATGTAAAGATTTGTAATCGACTGTTAGTGAATTGCGTTTATTTTGTACTTAGTTAACTCATTACCTTTTAAAAAATTAACGGGGATTGTAATATGTAGTGATACATTCCAAATAAAATAAACCTAACTAATGTATCACTCATGAACAAATGCATGTTAACTACTGAAATAATGCTGAACCACATTGTTTATCATTCATGAAGCCATTGAAGTAGGGTCATTAATATGAATTCTGACTAACATATCGTATTATAGTGATATGAAAATTCTGAGTTAATGACCAGGTATATGTTGCACATAGTCCAGTCATCTCTACATTAATTAAGAGCAAATGATTTCCCTAGGCAATTTTTTAATGTATTAATTTATTTGTAAAGATTATGTTCTTTACTTTAGAGATAGAGAGGATATTATTATAATACGAAATTTTGGATATTTGTACTACATCATTTCTCTTCTAGAAATATAATTTTCATGCATAATTTTTTTAAGAGTGTATCATTGCAAATAATACATCAGACACTTTTATGTAGTTGAAACACATAATACTATCGTGTTAGACATCATGATTAAATTGTTTTTTTATAACTTGTTTTCCATAAGTAAAGAGAATTTTTTTCTAGCTAAAATTCTTGGTAGATTTTAAAAAAATGTTTTGACTTAACATAGTCCTTCTGTCCCTCTCTGTAATCACTTGGTTACTATGACATTCTGTTTATAACACTTTTCATGAGCATGTGATCATTATAACGAAGCTGTATATATAATTTCATAATCTATTCAGTTAGTTAACTTTACATGTTATAGTTGTTCATGGGTAGATTTAACGATTCGTAATGAATAAACATGACAGTTTGTTATATTTGAGCTGTTAATTACTTATACTTAAAAAACAAACAAACGAGGAAGTACTGAAATTCGCACGACGCGAAGTAAGAAGACCAAGACTGATACAAGTGAAGAATAATTAAGTCCTAAAAACGACGACGACCCTAGTCAAAAATACACTCGTTTATATACTGATTACACACCTATTTTAATTAATGATTAGGACAAAATCACATATATGAAAAATACCCAACAAATCATATGCAGCATATGCTAAACATAGTTCATGTTAATTTAATACAAGGAATATTGTATCTTGAACGAACACATCACACTCAAATAAATTAATGTTGCAGTGAATAAAAGATCACATTGGCAAACAAAAGAAATATTACACTGAATAAGCCTCATATCGAATTAACAATTGGAAGTAATGTTGGTTGAAAATCACAAGTCAAAATTAGATTTTACCTTTTAATCTCGTCATATCACCGTGTTAACATCATTGTAGTATTTCATCAATGTCTGTTTCATTGTTTACAAAAAAATTGGTAATAATAAATGATATCACTGACTGTTAGATGAAATTCAGTTTATAATATGAGTATTTTACCTCATAAAATAACTGTCTTAATCATAGAGTTTTGTTTTACAACTTGTCGTTTATGCATTTGTATGAAAAAAAGTAAAATAGTAACAAAATTTCTAAGATTCTAGGGATAAACTCTAAGTTATCTAATCTAAAGCTGTCTTTTGTAATGTATTCTTTATTATCCTAGGTGATAACAAGAATTACTTCTAATAAAAAATATTGTCATAGTAACATTACAACTTTTAAATCTATATCGTTGCATCCTGCAATACAATATTTTTTTCTTGATTTCATTATCATAGTGTGAGATGGCATTCATACTAACTGATTAATATCAGTATCTAAGCCTGCAATTGGTTGACAAGTCAGCTTAATGTTGCCCTCAATGATTAATCTTATCACCAGTCATCTGAATGTTGATTAGCGTTCCCACATTTTCTGCAATAGTATTTTTAAACCTATTTGGTCAAATACGTTTTTCATTTGATTGATTAAAATATAAATAATACACCGATTTCTGTCAAATGATTACTGACTAATTCTTAAGTAGGTAAAATAAGAAGTTAATCGATGTTGTATGGTATGAAGTTAATAAAGCATACTTGTTTGTTATATTTATGATTTGTAATGTATGATAAGACTTTATATAATGGTTGGTTCTGTATAACAAGAAATACTTTGGACTGTTCTGATAAAAAAGTTGAATAATCGACTTTTTAAAACTCTGGATACTACTTTATCATCTTATTTTTCTGAATGAACCACATACTATTTCCTTAGAAATTATGGAGTCATTGTGTTGTAGATTTAATTAAGGTTATGATACCTTTGTGTTGATTCATCTAGGAAAGTTTCCAGCTTAAGTCTCATTATTCACGATAAGGTAGCGCAGAAATCGTTCCAGCTGTCTTGTGAGTTTCATGGTGCTGAAAATAATTTTAATAAAAGTTTGATTAATATACTCCTTACTATGCTTTCAGTTAAGATTTTGTCATTTCTATGAACAATCCACATCTAAGACTTGATTATCACCAAAAATGACAGTTCTGAACAGTCTTATTGGAACCTCATTCGGTTTGATAGTAGAATGCTATACTATTGAATTAAGTACATTTATTAGGATAAAAGTAACTGTATTAACGATAGTTGTACGTGATCACTGACCAATGGTAGACAACTGCTATAGGAAACAAGAACACAAGTGAGGACAACCAAATATATTTGAACACAAAATTATAGAACGTCTTAGTAAAATCTGATAACCATACATTAAATACAGAATTTCAATCAATCGTCTCGGACTTCACTGTTTCTTCATTTCCACAGCAATCATTCTCTGTTCTCGTTCTCTTTTCTTTGATCTTCTTAATCTTCTACTGCCAGATATTTCACTTTCGATTGATATTGCATACTACTGATATCTGTCGACATCAGTAGTACACACCACACTGCTCATTCAATCAACATTTTAAAAGATCATTGTGCTTTTTTTACACTAATATTTGTAGTGTTTTCGAGTATAACATCAATAACTTCGAGAATGAAAACAGTATAAAGTTCTAATTTATGGATTTTATACTGACAGAATAATATACACTATAAAGTTAACTAACCGAATAATTCAATATGATTATATGTAAAACAGTTCAATTTCTCAATGATATTGAAAAGTAAAATGATCATCTGGGGCATCGAAGCTGATAAAATACATCTCTTTAAATAATATTTACTAACGATTGTGTCATTTGTGATTTGGTCAGTTGTCTCATAGAAAAAATAGTTTTTTAGTTCTGTTGAAGAAGTTATAGCAACTCACGTTCAATTGAGTTTGCTCTCACCTAATTCGGTTAAGCCCTTTTATTAACTTATTAAACGGACAAAGTCACCTGCACTATAATAACTTATTGTATCCTTATTACTGTTGCGAATGTATGTACCTTTATTATTGTTATCCTTGTATGAATACGTATGCTCGGCAAGCCTTACTGCCTACGCATTTATTCACGCTACTAGCTTTACTATTAACCGCTTAATTGACTCGATGATTCATTAATTTCACTATGTATATATATGTCCATGTTATTCATATTCATGACTCGCTCGCTCGTTCATTCACTCGCTCGATCACTCGCTTGCCTGTTTGCTTTTCGGCATAACTATTTCATGCTTGCTCAACGCATCTGTAATTTTGGATATCTGTGTGTGGTCCCTTAATAAACGTAATTAACGCTTCGTATTCGCCTTCTGATTAATATACCGTTGGAGCATTATTTGGTGACGGTTACCGAGACGAACTGTATACGGAGTTTAAGGAATATATCGAACACCGACCACCACAAGTTTTTATAATTTTCAGTGAGATTTTTGCCTAATTTACTAATTTTCAAAAACAAATTTCGAAACGTGAATGTATTGAATCTTGTTGTTGTGTCTATTAGCTTAACAATTACATTTCAGATATAGAAGCATGAATTTGAACGCTTGTATAAATTAGACAAGAAGATCAATTACATTCCAAAGTGACTGTCTGACGTCACTTTATGAAAATGGTTTAACATATTGTAGTCTTATAAAATTCTAAATAATTCCCTATTATACAGTTCATGGAAATCGCAAACATTTACAATGATCATAACAGATTAATTGCGTTTACTGAGGTGAATATATAAAACAAAAAATATTTCACTCTTATAGTCAACTATAATTAGTTAACGATGATAATTTTTTCATGTTTCATCTAAGTAGTTCTAGAGTACATATAAAATTCATATTTTTAGTAGAAACAACTGTAGTTTAACATTATTATTTATTAATTGAAAAGCCACTCCTTTTTTTGGTATTTCGTAAAAAAGCTTATTATTGTATACTTTTTGAAAGAAATTTTAATTCATTACATAAAGATGACTGTTAATTGCTTTGTTCTTACGTTATTGGTATTAGTACTATTATTATTACTATGGATAATGAAAACAATATAGATTTACAGAGTAAATTAATTATCTGAGAATAATAAATGAAAATTATTAACTAAACAAAATATAAAACAATAAAGTTTATTTCAACTGGTATTGTTCACTTGAATCTTCCCATTGATGTTTAGGACTGCAATTGATCAGTCTGTTATTGACATACTTGCATACTGTGCGTATCGCTTTGATATTGCCTTAATTCACTAGCATTATAAGTAATGGTTGATGGTGGCTAGCAGTGGAATCCAGGATGTGCGTTTCATCCTATTTGGGACTTGTCAGCTGGGTTCGTGTCCCAGAGTAAACATCAACTCTGAGATGGAGGCGCGTCCGGTTGAGGAGTCCGAAATAGGACGAAACGCGTTTATTGGATTTCACTGCTAGCCACTATCCATCTTTGCTAATCAAGTATATTATTTCCTATTAATAATATTCATAACTGAACTTGTTCATTCTTAGCCAACACTTAATTCTTTCATTCATAATGATCTGGGGTATTAAACTATTGATTATAAGTCACAAAACAACTCATGTTCATCATCATTATCATTAAAATGAGGTCCGTCCAGATGAAGAGTTCGAATTTGAACGAAATGTACATCTTGTATTTCACTGTTAAATACTATTTGAATAATGTAAAGTTAAAGAAGTGTAAGTAAATAAATCGATAAGTAGTAAATATATATTTTTATCTATTTCTTCAAGATACAGATATATTGGTGACATTTCCAACTAAAATACTGTTTTTTTCTTCCGTCTGTTATACCTTTACAGGTGTAAGCTGTATTTAATTATGCTGTTGTCATACCTTGACATATTATCTCTCTACCCTTTCTATGTGTCTAATAAATTTTTTGTGACAAAGCTAAGCATGTATTTGAAATATGCCTATGTTTCCTTTCAACAGCTTATTTGTTGATAATTTCTCTCTCCTTCTGTATACCTTGTTGTCAATTCTTTTCTTATTCCATATGAGCTTCGTGTAGTTTTCTTGATTGAGTTATACTTTCATTTGTTGGTTTCACAATATGAAACATCATGTTTTTCTAAAGAATAAAATATAATGTCGTTTGAATAATGAGTTGACAAAGCGTTTGAATGATCGAAAAAATATATAAGTAAATTAAGTTGCCATTTATTACCTGTTTTTATCTTTTTTGGATCATTTTATTATCTAAGAATATTCATTTATGATGCTCTTTTTCATCTTTTATAGTTTGAAGATTGGATTTTAGATAAAACTAACTGTCTAATGGAAATCCAATTAGCAATCAAACAGCGATCACATTTATCCTTTAGTCGGATTAAAGCATTTGAAGAAGAAATTGAAGTGAATCGAAATCGTGGTGACCATTTTATTGAGGTTAGTTAAAATTGAATTTTCATTATTTATAATTTAATTAAATTGTTCATCGAATGATAAGGGTCATTACCGTGCTGAATACTTTGTGTTGATGACAAACCTTCAATTATACTTTTAATATTATTGCCAAACTGTATGATTTACCTTTCTGGTGAAGTAGTTAAACATTGGGTTATTGAAGATAATGCACATAAATCACTTGATGCATACTCAGTGATTTTAAGAAATCATCAATAATGGGTATATAGTTGTAATGAGGTGTATTAGACAACATTATATTCATTGGTATTTACCGGTTTATGTTGGAAATAATCTGGTTTTTAATCGCTCAATATTAGCGCTACGAGCCATATCCCTTGAAAACGCTGTTTCGAATTACTGATGGACCATCAGTTGAAACTGTGATAAATCTTACTACCTTGGGTTAAACGTAGATCCAAGGCTAACCTCATTTCACTTACTATAAAGTTTTCGTTTTCTTAAAACTACTGAAAACTTTCGTCTTGCATTGAAACATTGAAAATTTGACAGATGATAGACCTAAATGATGACTGTAATTAGAACAATTTAATTTGTAAAGAAGCAAGTAAGTGAACATCTACGGATTTACAAAAATATACTTTGCATTGATTACAAATATTGGTATAGTTTTCCACTCGAATCTATTCATCTGGTAGGTTATATTGTTTACCAAGTTTGTTTTTCATGAAAACTTTCTTTTTCAAACAGAACTGAACCTATAAGCAAAAATAGATAGTGATTAGCAGTGTAATACAGAACGCGCGTTTTGTCCTATTTGGGACTCGTCAGCTGTATGTACTTGCATCTCAGAGTTGATGTTCACTCTGGGACTCGAACCCAGTACCATTCGCTTCAAACGCCATTGCGTTATCCACTCATAACGAAATGCGCGTCCTGGATCCCACTGCTAGCCACTTTCCATCTTTGCTTATAAAAGCTTGTGAATTAAGGCAATATCGAGGCATACGCACAGTATGCACATATGCCAATAACAGACTGATCAATTGCAGTCTCAAACATCAATGGGAAGATATAAGCAAAACAATACCAACAGAATTGAACCTACTTCGAAATAGGTTCACATCGTAGATGAATGCCTCATTATTAGGACGTTAAATACTTATTACGTAATAATACTTTTAAATAAATCGTCATTTTATAGATATTACAATTTTTGATAACCATCTTTTTGAACTAAAAAACTGGCAGGTAAATTGTTGTAACCGGTTTTATATCTTTCGATAAAATTAGAAGGATAAATTGACAATTAATGTATATGCAACATAAGTAATATGAATGACAGACTTAAGCGGATTCCACTGTGTAAATAAATCACATGCTTGAATTTCCCTTAAAATTGCTTACACAATCGTTATGGTTCATAACTCGATCAACTTATGAACTAGCTAAATTATGTGTGCGTTGATTGAATTTTCAATCAGCAATTTTATTGACTAATAAGAATATTAATAGGTCGTCTATTTTTAGTATTCAAGTTGGTGTTTAAAGCCTATATCATGTGACAAGGGAATATGTTGTTGTTTCAAGAATTAGATTAATAGAGTCAATAGTAATAGTAATAGTCACGTCGAATATTACGGAAAATAATCCATGTAAATTAGTAATCAAGTCTAACTGTGAGTACTATGCCATACATGTTCACTTTGCCTGTTATCATAAATTTGTTATTGAACAAATATTTCGTTGAAATCAACACAATACAACCACATAAACATGCATATTAAGCTTAATGCAAGTTAATATACGACATGGAACAAATCCAATGAAATATATATATATATATATATATATATATATATATATATATATATATATATATATATATATATGCCATATCAATCGCGTCAAATGTAATTCTATGTGAGATATTCTTTCGCGTTTTAGTGTATATACGATTGAGTGTGATAAATGTAATGTTCGTAATGTTAATGGACGACTTTTATGTTTTTCCGCTATGATATTGAATTGGTTAAATATAACAGTTTGGAAAAATTCTAGCCAGGCCTCCTTGTCTGTCAATCGCATGAAGTACTGAACCTAGTCTCCTTTATTATTATTATTATTATTATTATTATTATTATTATTATTATGCCTAATTTATCTGAAATTGTCAAGTTAGATCTTGATAGTGATGGGTTTCGTGTTTTACAGTTAATAATTTGTAATAATTCAAGTGACTGAAAAGATGAAATTTACCATATGTTTTATTCATGATCAATCTGAAATACATAAATCAAGAAAGCAACGGAGTCTAGGAAAATATTTATTCATTAACATCATCGAGTTTGTACATGAATAATATCTGTAATCGATAATCATATCTATGTCAGAAATTTGTTTTGTCATAAATATGAATTTAAACCTATTACAAGGGAACGAGTATTAGAGCAATTGAAAGTTTCAGAACTATTTCTAGGACTATTATTATTTTTAGTTTTACTTTATAATCGCTAATCAACTGTGATACTATGTTCCCATATACTATTCATTGTAGGCTTTCGTTTGATACATTAACCATTATTATATATCTTGTTATTCTTAACCTACTGCCAAACATTTATTTACAGTCTTTTTCTGTTCAAAGTCAACCCCTGCCTGTTTGTGTAATAACCATGATTTATATTTTCGGTTGCAATGCAATCTGGTTTGTCATGTATATAAGCTGATGAATAAAAAGCTGTTGGTCTAGGTGATTAAAGTATCCTAGTTTTAGAAGCTTCGTTTCCAACTTCTCTTCAAGACTAACGACTGGAGACAGAAAATGTTATGTATATAGATGAATCAGTAGAAGCAAAGCTTGCTTATAAAAAAGGTTATTTTTTGGTTAAGCTGTATCAATGTTCAAAGATAAAAACTGTGGACGGTAAATCAAATATCAAACAAGTGCATCACATATTCCTGATGTGTTAGAGATATTTACTAAAAACTGTTTAGCATAAGGAAACGTGTTGCCATCGCAAAATTTTTTTGTATATGAAAACGTATAGCCTTTTACAGTTCGTAACCGTAAGCTTTATGAACTGGAAATTGCTCTTGATTTTAGGTCGGTCGTAAACTTACAGAAGTCTATCCACATCTTGAAAATGATGTAAAAAATCGTTTGGAACGTTTGCATACACGTTGGGAAGAACTAGTTGACCTAGTTCGACATATCGTTAATGTAATTAGTCAAGATAATCGAGGTAGGTACGGTAAATAGTTTTTTCTTGATTGTGAAGAAAAAAATAGATTTTCATGTACTGACTTGTAGTGACTTGAAAATCCTTGGGAACTGTTCCAAATCTCTTTGCATTTAAGATTTAATACATGATGTTTTGTCAATCGTTTTAGTTCTGAGGCCGTGATAATATCATTCAATTACTGAGTCCACTTTAAAGAAATCGATGTATTTAAATATTTCCTGGAACCCAAATGTTTTAAATGGAAATAGTTTGTGAAATTTAATCCACTATGTATATGAAACAGTGTAAGAGTTGTATTTACATTGCTCTAAATGAGTGAGAAATGAATGTAAATTGTAAAGTGAGTCTATCTAAGTAGATTGTACGTTTCAAAATATATTCATCAGGTCTTACGTTATTAAATTACAAATTAGTGATGATAATGACCAGCCAAATTCTAGATATTTTCAAAATGGAGGTTATATCTCTAGAATTGCGTGTATAATACGGTTTCTTGGGACTTCCTACCTTAAAATAACTGATAAATATTGATTAATTGAATCAAGTTGCAAGTTGAATGAAATGCCTAGATTAGCATAGGATTGAAAAATATAACGTAAATGCATTAGGAACATAGTTAACATTAGTAATGTAATAATAACGAACACTTAATGTATCATCATATGTTTGATCACAGTAAAAAATTTGCAACTTAAATTTACAATGTTGCGATGAACTACCGTTTACTATGTAGTTAGCTTATTGATATTCAAAATGCGTAAAAAACATGGCTTGAACATTGATCAGATAACGTTTATCATCATCCGCGATTGGTTTTGTTCATATAGCATCTTTTTCATTGCTTTATATGTTTAGTGTATGGATGGTAATGAAATCACTGTTTGTTTCTTACATTAGGTATACGAGAGGGAATATTTACAAACGACTCAAAACATCAAAAATAAGGGGTTGGTAATAGTTTCAATGTGTTTTCAAGCTAAATTATCACCAACTAGTAAATGATGTTATGTTGTCTTAACATTAGTGCTAGTCATCCAGCGATTCACAATATGTTCGTTAGTTTGAGTGACTTGACATCTCAGTACATTTTGTTTAATGGGTCATTTATAAAAAGTTCTGAGCGTATAGCTTCAGACATAGGTTCCGCGCTATCACCTATCACTTATACATGCGTATTATTCAAGGACACTTGATGGTCTCCTTAGGATTCAAACCTGCATAATCTGTTATCACGAGCAGAGATATTGTCAGTAACTAGTGTTTGCTGAGTATTTTTTTCGATCAACTTTGGTCCAATGCTTTGCGTTAACAGCTTTCAGTCATGTTACATGAAGTCATATCCATTTGTTTGTATTGGATTCTCTTTAAAGAATTGTTTATTTACGTAGTTCACTGCTGTTCTTAATAATATCACCAACGCATATTTGAAATAAAGTCAGTCTTAACTATTCTACAACTATTAGATCTGTTGTTTAGAAAAACAATTTACTTTCATTTAAAAAAAACGTTGCTACATTACGAAAATATTTTGTTAATTGTGTGTTGTATTTCTGAGAAACAAACTAATCATTGTAATTGACCTGAAATTTTTTTTTTAAATCACGAAATGATTAATTTTTATTCATTTTTCTTTCGAACTAATAATTAATTACTTGTGTCATTATTTTGTCTTTACTGTGTATATTCCAATGTAGAAAAGTTAATGAAAGAGGCAATCCATAAAACTGCTACATGGCTTAATGTAATGAATGTTCATTTAGAGAAACCAGATAGTAAATTACCAGTTGATCAAGTTGATATGACTACATTACAAACACAAATAAAAGAACATAATAAACGAATTAAAGATTATATGGATAGAAAAGCTGTTATAAATGTTTTAAAGGTGAATAGAAAGTTGAATAATTCTCATTTCAATTGATGTTTTTTTTTCATTCTCAACAACATAAACCATAAATCACTGTTTACTTATATCTGAATGGATGTTTGATAGTTGATTCTAAAAGTTATGGATTTTGTTTATTTATCAATTAAACATATTAAATGAATTTGTAGGTATCATTACCAAGGTTTGATTTGATAATTTCGAATAAATTGAGCATTGGGTTGATTGTTGTGAATAAATAATATATTTGTAATATCCCAATGAGTAGAAAATTAGATTTTCTGACGTTTCGTGACTTAGTGTTATTTATTCTCTGAAGAAGTGACTTACACTAAGCCACGAAACGTCAGAAAATCTAATTTTCTACTCATTGGGATATTACAAATATATTATTTATTTTTATTAAATGAATGTTTTATACTTTGAATTATATTTGACTAATCAACTTGAATGAGCTTTTTCTTACATATTCATGAGTATTTCCGTATAGTTGTATTATTATTTGTATGCATTGGTGATGTATGGTGTCATCAAACAAAACATGTTGGTTACAGAAAAAAAACGTAACTTTAAACGTTTGTAAATTTTCACTTATAGCCATTTATTAATAGGGTTTTTAAAAGTGGAATGAAATATCTATTCAGTACTCTATAGTTTTTAACTATTATCCACTTAATATCAGTTTGTCACGAAAATCGTATTCAGATTAAATTAAGCAATAAAATAAGAAAGATTGGCTCAGTGGAGAGTTCTGTTTTCGGAGAATTCATTTTCAAAGCTATACAATCTTAAATATATACTTATCTTTAAAAAATGATAATCATGATAATAATAATGAACCAATCTTTTCTATTTTATTTCTCAATGGTTATGTTCTGTTTGAATTAAGGTACATTAGCTATTCAATTAAATAGTGACCATACGGTCATTTATATTGAATCGAATTTAGGTAAATTCTTGAAGATCTACGTGAATTTTGATTAAATCTCAAGTGAAATAGTTGTCAGTGGTTGGGTTACCTTATATCGCAAAAGCTAAAATAATGAATATATAACAGTAGATTCGAACTTAACGATCTAAAAAGGTCATGTTCTTCGTGAGGCAGAATGATCTTGGGTCATTAACAATATGAGAGTCTGGGTCGTTGCCGCTAAGAATTTTCAAACAAAACATTTTAATTTACTTAAGTAACATAAATCACGCACGTTCCGTCATACATCTGCAAAATCAAATATCACATCTACTTATTAATCGTGAAATTTCAAGGTGCCTAATTTATGGTGGAAGAATGTTCTATTTTGATAGTTCTATGTCGAACACAACTTCATTAATATTCAACAAACCAATAGCTAATGTGAAGATTAAAGTTTTTCACAAAAGTCAGTCATGAAATCTTGTAATCAGATCAGAATAACTTTAGGATTTAAACATGACACACAAACAAATCATATTGCTTAATAAGAGACTCTAGGACGATGAAACACACTAAGAAGACATTTTAACTACCTTATCTAATTAATGTATTCTGAAGTTAGAGCCTTTAATCATTTTAATGTTACATCCTATAGATTTTTCAATTAAACTTTTTTTTGTTCGTTTTCGATCGCTTTACATTACCTCTTAAAACAATAAATGTTAAGCATAACCAATAGTCGTTGTTTTTGGTGTACCATTATAAAATGTATATCTAAGGATATTTTGTGCTTTGTTACAAATTCTGAGTGATATGTTAATATTATTGATCGCAAAAATAATGCACGATGATAATAATGCAGTAGTATAAATGAAATTACGATGTTCTGTTTCAGGAAGTATATATATACCTGAGTTGATCGTATATTAATTTCACACAAAGCTATGAGTTTACTTACCATTCTAAAGTGTTTTAATCTTAGTAACTTGAATTTCATATCATTCAAAGCAAACATTTATTATGTTTTAACTGTTATTATCATTAAATTATTCTTAAATTATCTATATATTATTTGTTTCATTTATTAAATTTTTTTAGAATCAAGTCAGTGATCCTAATTTTAGTCAAAATAAAGAATTTGCACCGATTGTGAATGATCTTGAGCGTAAACTTTTAGCACTAGACGAACCACTCAAACAAAAATTAATGAATTTGCAGCATTTGGAAACATCGACTCAACGTTTTGTAGAGTTAACTGTAGAAGGTGCATGGATCAGAGAAAAATCACAACAAGTTGAAAATTTATCTAAAACATTAGAACTTGATCCACAAAAAGCTTATGAAATTGGTCAAAGATTAATGGTTATACATAGATTGGAAAGACAACTTAAAAGTCATATTCTTGAAGCTAATAATCGTAGACCTAGAGTTAAAGCTTTATGTAAAGTAAGTTTAAATATTTTTGTGTCTCTTATCTTACTTAATAAAAGAGGTAATAGTTTGTTCTGAAAAAATGAACGGTTATACTTAAAATGAATGTTGTTACTATATCACTAATATATTAAACTAATTAGGTTCACGTTTTACTGTATAACAAATTTAAGTATATGGAAATTGATATGAATATCACTTGTCTACTGATACATTTACAAGTGTCATACAAATCAGTTTCATTCAGTTATTTATATCTGTAATAATAAATACGTGATATTTTATAACATAAAACAGGAAAACATATGATAATCATAAATCTGTCCTTTTCTAATGCATTAAATGTATTCATGATTAATCTGAAACAAATAACTAAATCTGTTGTTTCTCGGAAGTTCCTTTACATGTAGTTATCTCTGTTTCACATGCATTATGATTCTAGATCAATAAAATCAACATCAAGAAACCGTATATTATTTAAAAGTTGATAATAAGCCACACACAATTAGAAGTATTTAATTGAATTTCAATATCTTTTCTATGGTTATTGTTTTTAGAAAGATTACTTAATAATTCAATAATAGGATTTTCCATAAATACTGACATTGATCATCTACTTTTGATAGAGTTTTGTTCTCTGAGCTGGACGGTTTGGTCGTGGAAGAAGTCTTCTATCTGAAGTTTGTGCTGATGATGTCGTTCAGAAGAACAATGAAAACTCCACGACCAAACCGTCCAGCTCAGAGAACAAAACTCCATCAAAATCATCCACCTGAGCTACAAATCTCCACCATCTTTTTGATCATCTACATTCTATTTTTGTCAACTATCACAGTCATTATAATATTCACGTAATACATAATTTTAAATGACTGAAACGTTTTTGTAAAGGAGATTTTTGTCCACTATGATTGGATATTACTGGTAATGAGATAACTTCGGTAGGAAATGCTAAAATTTTAAAATTATTCAACCATTTTAAAATGGTTTTGATATATTACGTATTTGAACTGTTAATATTTTATTAACAACTAACTAAACTGTAATGAACAATAATTACATTTAATAAATGAATGATACATATGATTAATAGAAAATTTTCTCATTACTTTATTTCAATGATTCTGTTTTATTTTCATCAATTTTAACAATAATTGGTCATCGATTTATGAAACAGACTTTAAGCGATTAAATATAGACAATATTAAAGATTTCCATTGTGAAAATTAGAACAACACATGTTGTTTTCAATTAAGATCGTCATCAGGCTTTACTTTAATATACATGAATATTTCTATGAAAATGTTAAACCAATTAAAGCAATTTAGGTCAATAATCACAATAAAATAGAGTAAGTCACTACAGATAATGGGTAAAAGTACAAGTTGATAGTAGGAAGACAGGTGTACTGATAGTAGTAAGAATAATAAAATACGATAACAAAAGTTATAAATTGTTAAAAATTGAAAATAGAAGGTCGAACATGGGTAAATAGACTTGGAATAGTCATCATAAAACATTAAAATCATTACGTAATAAGAAGTGTGTAAATAATTAAATAATGAATACATACGAAAAGAGGCGGAAAATTATAAATACATACCGGGTGTGAAAATAATGGTAATGATAACAAAAATAAAATAAAACAATATAGACATGCGTTTAACACTATTTTATTGTGATCTACAGTAGTTGATTCAGACGATATTTGTACTCATTACAAGTTATGTATCAGCCTTGTAACAATTCATCAATTCATGACAGCAATAAACATTTCAAAATATATTGAACTCCTTTTTATTCACACTTTCACTTTAAACACTACATATAAACCATTGAACATTTTTTGAAGAAAAACATTCGGTAAAATTTTATATATGTAGTTTTATCAGGAATTAACTGTTAAGTTACAATAAATCAGTTTGTTTGTTAAAGGAATTCTTTCGTTTTCCCATTTTCATAGTAGTTTCATTTGTTTATACACAATAACGTAGCTAATCTGTTTCGTGAAAATTAATCAAAATAAACATGTATAATTCCAATAGTTCAAATCGTGAGTCAATTGAAGCTAGACCACCATGAAAACCCTGGAAGCACTGGACGACGGTTTCGTCCTAGTATGGGTCTCCTCAGCAGTGCGCATCCATGATCCCGCCAACCAATCCACGAAGTTAGACATTAATCTGTACTAAGCTTAAAAGTAAATAAATCATGCACTAGATTTTAATATATGTATTTCACTTCACGTGTTTTACCGAAATCACTGTTATAAAATATAAATGAATCCATTCAAAGATCGACCAACTTATATTTTTGGTTATTTAAATAAAATGAAATATATAATCATTTGAAAACTACTTTAGAAAATATCAGAACAAGGCAGGTATTATCGGGAACAAACAAATGATTAACGTTATACTTTAAATACATTGTTGTAAAGGATTTGGGTAAGCTTGAAGAGTTGAGCAACTGAAAACTATACAGTAAACGCATACATATTCCCGAAATAATTTAACATTACAATTAGTTTAACAAAATTCTGAATATAATTCTTTTTTGAATTCGACTTACATTTTAGTCAGCTGACAAAAATCCACAAATCTACGAATCCCAGTAAAGAACTGTTATATCTCAAAAAAATGTTTACCTTTTTTTTCCGAATTATGCCAAAACAAACCAATTATGTTTCTTTTTTTTCTGTTTATTTATTAGAACATTGAAAATGAATATTGTGTAGAAGAAGCGAAAATCACCGATAAAATACAACAACAAAGATTTCAACGTCTTACACGAGAACTTTTAGAATTATGGAATAAATTAGATAGAAATTTAGCTTGTCTACTTGAACGAATAACAATGTCCGAATCAGTTTATCAATTTTTGTTAGATGCTAGTGAACTGGAATCATGGATATCTGAAGAAGATTTTTATTTACACGGAATAGAAATACCAAAGGTTAATTTATTTTGCTCTCTTTTAAAATATTAGTTTCTGGAACACATATCGTTACTAGTGATACTATGTGACATAATAAATTAGTCAAGGTATGATTTGTAACTTTCTTTGATGTTAGATAGCCGATGCGAATAACCATAAAACACTATAGAGGCAACTATTGAACTTGATATATCGTTTCGACTCATGATCACAAAGTAATCAGAAGTTTGATTGATACTACTCGTAAGATTTAAAATTATACCATACGCTATTACAGTCAGCGATGTTATTATTATACTGTTCAAGGCATGACTAACCTAGCGATATTCTTATCGAATATGGTCATTTTTGTAAATTTAGACTATCGAAAGGAAAAAGATATTTGAAGATGAGAAGAATTTAATTAATTAACATATTAAAATCTGAAAAGAAAACCATTTTTTCTAATTTACTGGTAATGTACCTCAATTAGAAATAACTAGAAAGCTTAATGTAATTCTAACTTCAGATTCTGTCTATTTATTGATAAATCTCCTACGATGTAAATAATTTCTTTATGAAATATTTAAACCAAAAAGATGGTAAATCCTATCCAATAAACATTTTACGACGACTTATATACTAGTAGAAAACCATGCATTCCTCTGAAGAGTTTCATCAGTTTATTAAACAACTGAAAACATTACAAAATAACAAGAAATCGTAAAACCATTTTTGTTTAGTAATTTTATTTTCAGTTTCAAACTTTTTGATTGCCAAACCTTTAAGAATCAAAGATTTAATCAACCCAAGGTTTTACGATGCTAACATGACCATAAATTCATATAATATCACATTCATTAATTTAGACAAAAATAGAGGAGTCATTCAGTCAGTTACAACGTACGACCAGGCATATATGTACATCGGTCCAAGTTGCCATACCTCATTAGCACAACAAGATGAACACCGAATTCATAGATGTGGTTAATTCAGTGGTGGTAATATATAAAAGAAAGATTGTATGTAAAGACATAGTACAGGAAGAAAGAATTAGTTCGTAGAAAGATATGAAGTGATTTTAATTTCATAGTTTAGGGGAAAACAAAGAGTGTATACACCTACATCATTGTGATCGATTGTGAGCCATGCCACGCAGAGTCTCCATTCATTGGTTACGATAGTCACGCGGACCCCAACCAAGTAGTCTACATCTACCAACATAGCTCAGACCAGAAGTTAGTGACCTTATGGACTGATGCCACGTTTTGGTTTGGCCACCCATAACATCCTTCCAACCATCTCCAACACTAGTCAGCGTTGCGCGTCGTGGTATACAGTGTTCAGGCATATGTAACACGTGGCCCAACCATCTCAGACGATGAAGATTCACAACTTAATCAGCTGATTTACCATCGTTCTCTAATACCCTGTGTCTAACCTCACTACTACTTACCCGGTGACCCTAGCAGATTCTGGCAATATTTTTAAGACGTCTGTAGTTACACAATAATCATATAATAGTTTATTCATAAACAAATACAGGTCTGTAAACATGATAAAATGATATTTCAGATGGTTGTTCTGTATCAACAAATGAATAAAATTTCATCTGTCTAATACAAGCAAATTTAATAAAACATGAAATGACTAATGTACATCAATAGTTTCAGCTATTTAGACTGTTTCTTTGTTTTATAATTGATGGATATTAAAATCATTATTCAGTTTTCTTTTAATTATAATTTTACTTGAATTTTCAGTACTTTACATAATTTATTGTTTAACTAAATTAAAGTATAATCAACATTGAATTCAATAGTGTTTTTTTCTTTTCAAGGTCATCATTCTTTTTCTTTTCGGTTTTCATTTTATAATTTCTTAATACTTTGATAAATAATCATTAAATTAAGAGAAAATGAATTACCGCAGTTGTAAATCACTTAAAATAATAATAAAATCAATTCATGTCCGACTAGAGTGTTCTTAAAACATTATGTTTTGGAGTTTTCTCAGTTCGATGAATGTGCACACTTATCAGTATTTACTAAACTGCCATCAAGTTATTAACTTCACAATGTAATCAAAGTCGGATTCTGAATTCCACTTCCTAGATGTTTTAGCAGAAACAAGACCTGATGATCCTCTAAAACAATCGATATATAGAAAGCCAACATGGAATGGTCGATACACGGATTTCAAAGTTGGGTTCCATTAAAGGATAAATAGGAATCTGTTCAGGGGTTAGGCATGTCTGTACCGAGGATACGATCGATATCGAACTTGATAAAATACGGCAGGTACTGATCAACAACTGATATCCACCTATATTCACTGAGAAAAATATGGAGCCAAAACAACGATGTAAAACAGTGACCACATCTCTAAATAAGACTCTCTCCATTAAAATTCATCTTAATGAAGATATTGCAGCGGAAATTCTGAAAAACAGACTTCCAAGATCCCCAAAATTCGAATAACCTCTTCTAGTCAGCCTTTGTTTTGACGTTGTGTGAAGGATATGCTTGCGTTTTAAGCCAAATCCGTGTGCTTGCTCATGTGAAGCAGGCTATATTGGCCGCACAAAATGAGCTCTATCGAAACTCATCTTCGGAAGTTACCTTGCCTGGTTTTCTAAAAGAATACAGGGGTCACTAAGAAGCTCAATCTTGGAGCATCTAGTCAATTCCGGTCATTTTGCTTCACTAGAAGCCTCTTATAAAGCCATACATACTGTGAGAAGAGTCAGCCTAAAAGGAATCCAAATGAAAAACTTATGTAAATCAGAGGCTATTGCTATCCACTACTTTAAGCCTAGTCTTTGCGTATAAAAATAGCATGTTCAGTCCTTTATTATTTTGTAGTCTTAACCTCACATTCTGCCTTCCATAATTTGTCGTTTTTATTTTATTGGTTCTACTCCATTCCGGTTATTTATAAAACTAATAATTAGTAATTATTACAACTTTTAATTATTCTGTTCTCACTAGTTGTTACTTACTGATTAATTAGTTTAATGTTTTTATTATTAATCCATATAAAAATAACGTTATAGCTGAGTAGAGAATTTATGACATTATTCCTCATCAGTATGTCCTGTTTTAACTTTCACGATCTGAATTTTCAATATCCCTAAATTAAATGATATACACATGAACTGTACTATTCAACTATACTTTGTTATAACTCCATTGCATTAAGGTTTTGGTTCTCTGTTCCTGTATATGCTAGATCTTTCTTTTATGTTACACATTATGTACATACCTTCATCTGCATGAATATTTCATTTTCAATTGCTGTGGTTTCTCTTCATTGGATCCCTTGAACATTTACATCAATTCGTGGTTCTATAAAACATTATTAAATTAAAACCTAGTTACAACACAATCAATGTTACTACTATTATTACCATTTTTCAAATTTTATTTGTTTGTCTATTTTCTTCAACCATATTACTAGAATGAGCAAAGTGCATTAAATAACTTGAAAAAGCATCAGATTCGATCACATACAATTGAACAGTGGCATGAACGTGTTAAAAATCACAATGAACAAGGTCAAATACTGTGCCAGCAATTAAAAATTCAACAAACAAAATATCCTGATACAAATATTTTACAAGAATCACAATTTTATTTAAAATTAATTCCATCATGTTTGTATCGTATTAGCCATTCATACAAAAATCTTCAAGGTATCGTCAATAATGTAGCTTCAATGTTAGAGGCGAATGCTATTAAATATAGTTTAATTCGTGAAGCAGATGAATTAGAGGTTAGTGAAAAATATGTTGTACATATTTTGTTTTTCTGAACTAATTCATCATTTAGTGAAATCTAGTTTCGATTTGAATATTCAGCGAACATTTTTGTTTGTATAGTTGCATTTAAGATTTTAGATTTTATGTCTGTGTTGGAGTATATAGTGAAAATAATGTAGATGTTAACTGTTATGTTTTAAATAGTTTCTGGTAATAATTTGTAAACTGTAATATTTCATGATATTTCAGTAAATTATTTCTTCGTAGATAAAACATCGCAGAATTCATCATAATTTATTACTAGAACAGTATTTTATTGTTATCTCGTAAAGCAATACATAATATGTAACATCAAACCACTATACCTTGTATGTCAAAAAGTTGGTTGAATTTTACAAATTGGGATTTGATACAACAAATTCTTGAACTAATGTATGAAAACAAAACGCAATTTGTATGAAAATGCATGAACAAAGGAAGTCTGGGGCATTTGAGACAATTGATGGACATTTTGCAAATCGAGCATTTACTATATGGTTGTTAGGCTTTACTAACTTGTTCTGTAATTTGTTGTCAGATACATTCGTTTGTCCCCACTAGCGTATTGTTCACTACACCATTAATAGCATGAAGTAAGGTTTATTTAAAATATCTGGAAATCAGTCACATACAAAATAGGTGTTCATCCTCTGAAGAAATATTACTTACTTACTTACGCCTGTTACTCCCAATGGAGCATAGGCCGCTGACCAACATTCTCCAACCCACTCTGTCCTAGGCCTTCTTTTCTAGTGCCATCCAATTCTTGTTCATTCTTCTCATATCTATCTCCATTTCCCGGCGTAATGTATTCTTTGGTCTTCCTCTTCTCCTTCGACCTTGAGGATTCCATGTGAGGGCTTGTCTTGTGACGCAGTTGGGTGCTTTCCTCAATGTGTGTCCTATCCACTTCCAGCGCTTCTTCCTGATTTCTTCCTCCACTGGGATCTGATTTGTTCTCTCCCACAGTAGGTTGTTGCTTATAGTGTCCGGTCAGCGGATCTGAAGTATTTTGCGTAGACAACTGTTAATAAATACCTGTATCTTTTGGACGATGGATTTCGTAGTTTTCCAGGTTTCCGCCACATACAGCAGAACTGTCTTCACATTTGTATTGAAAATTCTGACTTTGGTGTTGGTTGCCAATTGTTTTGAGTTCCAGATATTCTTCAGTTGTAAATATGCTGCTCTTGCTTTGCCAATCCGTGCCTTCACATCTGCATCAGATACACCGTGTTCATCGATGATACTGCCCGAATATGTAAAGGTTTTTACATCTTCCAAAGCTTCTCCGTCAATTGTGATTGGATTGTTATATGCTGTGCTGTATCGAAGAATCTTGCTTTTCTCTTTATGTATGTTGAGACCTACTACTGCAGCTACACTGGTCGTGTTCTCATGCATTTGTTGTTGCGTATGCGATAGAAGAGCCAGATCATCTGCGAAGTCTAGATCATCCAATTGCATCCTAGCTATCCACTGTATGCCGTGCTTCCCTTCAGATGTTGATGTCTTCATGATCCAGTCGATCACCAGGAGAAAGAGAAAGGGTGAGAGTAAGCAACCTTGCCTGACACCGGTCTTTACTTTGGACGCCTTTGTCAACTGTCCTCCATGCACGATTTTGCAGTTTAATCCATCATAGGAATTCTGTATGATATTGACTATCTTCTGAGGCACGCCGTAGTGTCGAAGAAGCTTCCATAGGGTTGTTCTGTCCACGCTATCAAATGCTTTTTCGTAGTCAATGAAGTTGATATAGAGTGATGAATTCCATTCAATTGATTGTTCCATAATGATCCGTAGAGTTGCGATTTGGTCTGTGCACGATCTGTCCTTACGGAATCCTGCCTGTTTGTCTCGAAGTTGGGCGTCTACTAAGTCCTTCATCCTGTTTAACAATACCCTGTTGAAGACTTTTCCTGGTATTGAAAGAAGAGTGATTCCCCTGTAGTTGTCACAGTTGCTGAGATCGCCTTTCTTTGGTATTTTGACTAGAAGTCCTTCTTTCCAGTCTTTTGGTACCTGTTCCTCATCCCATATCTTTCTGAAGAGAATGTGGAGTATCCTTGCAGTTACCGCCACGTCTGCTTTCAGTGCCTCTGCTGGAATGCTGTCTGGCCCTGCTGCTTTGCCACTCTTGATTTGTCTGATAGCCATGCTGATTTCTTCAATTGTTGGTGGGCCAACATCAATTGGGAGGTCCGTGAGTGCTGCTTTGATGTTGGGTGGGTTCAGTGGGGTTGGTCGATTCAAGAATTCTTTGAAGTGTTCTATCCACCTGTTTCGTTGTTCTTCAATGTTGGTGATTATCTTGCCTTCCTTGCTTTTCACTGGTCGTTCTGGTTTACGTTGATTTCCAGAGAGTTTCTTTGTTGTTTCATACAGTTGTCTCATGTTTCCTTCTCTGGCAGCCTTTTGCGCCGTCAATGCCAAATCTTCCACATATTTACGTTTGTCAGTTCTGATGCTCCTCTTCACTTGCTTGTTTACTTCTGTGTATTCAGCTTATGCCTTGGCTTTTTCTGCTCTTGTTCGACTGGTATTGATTGCTGCTTTCTTGTTCCTCCTTTCTTGAATCTTATTCAGTGTATCGACCGTGATCCAATCCTTGTGATGGTGCTTCTTTTGGCCCAGAACCTCATGACATGTTGAAGTGATTGCCTCTTTTATCTCTTTCCAATTGCTTTCCATAGTACTTCCTTCTCCATTGAGTAGATCATGAAAGGCCTGGAACTTATTGCTGAGGGTTATCTTGAATTTGTTGAGTTTGTCATTATCCGGAAGAAGAGCCGTATTAAATTTTTGTGATATTGTCCTCCCCGTTGTCCAGTGCCTCTTGAGTTTCAATTTCATCTTGGCGACCAGCAAGTGATGATCTGATGCTATATCAGCTCCTCTCTTGGTCCTCAAACCTCCATCGTCCTCCTGAACTTTTTGTTGATGCAGATATGGTCGATTTGGTTCTGTGTGCTGTGATCCGGTGAAGTCCATGTGGTTTTGTGTATGCGTTTATGTGGGAATATAGTCCCGCCTATGACCAGTTTATTGAAGGCACATAGATTTGCAAATCTCTCACCATTTTCGTTCCTTTCTCCCAGTCCGTGTCGTCCCATGATCTCTTCATATCCGGTGTTGTCAATTCCAACCTTGGCATTTAGGTCTCTCGTCAGAATAGTCAGGTCTTTTGTTGGGCACTTCTCGACGATTGACTGCAGCCTATCGTAGAATTGATCTTTAGCGTCTTCATTGTAGTCATTGATAGGCGCGTAGCATTGGATGACGTTCATTGTAATCCCCGTTTTCTTTGTTTTGAAGGAGGCTTTGATGATCCTTGGTCCATGAGATTCCCATCCTATAAGTGCATTTTGTGCTTGTTTGGACAGCATCAATGCAACTCCTTGTGTATGTGGGGCATTTTCTTGTTCATGTCCGGAGTATAACAGCAGCTCCCCTGAAGCTAGTCGTTGTTGTCCAACTTGCGTCCAATGTGTTTCACTGATCCCAAGCACCTCTAAATTGTATCTCCTCATTTCTGCAGCAATTTGGAAAACTCTCCCAGTCTCCCACATTGTGCGAGCATTCCATGTACCTAAATAAATGTTTGCTCTGGTTGTCAGAAGGGGCATCGGCCTCGTGACTTCCGAAGAAACTCGGCTTTCATCATGAGGCGTCATAATTCTTCTAAACGAAGACCTCCTGACTCTCAGGGCAGAGTTTAAATGGTTTGAATAATTTTTTCTGGTTAGCGTTTTTTTAGCGAGTTAGTTTTCTACGGGATGGGGTCGCTAACCCCATGCCCAACCCTCCTCCTTTATCCGGGCTTGGGACCGGCAGTAGCCCCTGGAAAGGGACTCCAGGCGGAGTTTAAAAATATTAGTTTTTTTAAAAATGTACATCTATTTAACAAAACCTTTAGTTTTCCGATGATTACCAAACAATTATTTTGTCTGAATCATTAATTTCGGCTGTAGTGTAACAGAAACCATTTTCTCACATATGCTTCTTGATAATATTTAACTTCAATCAAGTCAGTCAGTCATATGGAATATAGAACCTGACAAATATGTACATTGTTTCAAGTTATCAAACTACATTAGCACAGCTACGTGAAATTATCAGGACGAAGTCCTAAATATTACCAGTAGTAACAATATTAGTAGAAGTAGGTAGTAGGTATAGAGCAAAGAAGCAAAGTGATGGGATACTTTGGCGATTCCACTTCTAACGTACAACAAATAATGAATGTGTGTAAGCCATTATGACTTCTCATTTCATAAAATGTCTCCAACGGCTGGTTATGAAATAACAACCAGCCCATACCAGGTAGTCTGCAACTACCTACATGGCTCAATCCAATTGTTAAACACTTCACGAACTGATGTCATGTTTTGATTTGAATGACACTTGCTCTCTACCGACCTCCTATTACATCAACATATAACACTAGTCGATATAGGCGGTGGTCAGGCACGCTCACTATGTTCCGATTACCTCAGTTGATGAAAACTCTTAACCGATTTGCACGTAGTACATAATGCCTAACCTTAGTATCGCTCACTGGATGGTCCAGACTTATACAAGCAATATTTTGAAGGCAATTATAATCGGGTGCTAGTAACGTATGAATATCCTTTGTTCTTAAAGGCCATTTTTCTCACCACTTATTTAATCATTGGTCTCCGTAGACTTCAATCTTATCGTATTTTTACTCTACATACATTCGTAAAAGCCATCTAAAGACGCATCACACTAATGGTGTTAATGTTATATACATATGTTGCTTACGTTATTGCATGCTGAAGTAAGACATCTTATTTTGGAAGGACGTATTCAAAGAAAGTTCGAGTTTTCCACACTTCGTTTTTGATTTAAGAGGTATGCTAGGAATATTTTATGTAAAACTCAATTAATATAGGTCTATGAATTTTCGTTTTCGCATTGCTTATTCTCATTAATTTCTGTACGTACTTCTATTTTTTAAAGTTTGCAACGGATAACTAATAATAATTTGTATTTGTTTAACTGTTTATCAAATTACCCAATGTTTAGGCATGGATTAATAAACGTGTTGCACTGGCTACTAATAATGACCTTGGTGTTGATTTAGATCATTGTTGTAATTTACGAGATAAATTCATGATATTCAATAAAGAAACTGTACAAACAGGTTCACAACTTGTCACAGATTTATCAACTAAATGTGTGCATTTAATTGCATTAGGCAAATCAGATTCCGTGATCATTGCATCAATTAAAGATAATATCAATGAAATATGGGCTGAATTATTGGAATTAATCGAAACAAGAAAACAATTATTAAAAGCTGCATTGAATATGCATCGATTTGTTAATGATTGTAGAGTAAGTTATTTTTAAGCATATTATCACATTGATTTACACACTGTTACAGTTTGTATTGTATCTAGTAATTGTATCCTATAATAGATATTTTATCGCAAACGAGACGTGTTTATTATAATCTAAAAGAATGAACACCGGATAAACACAAATAAAATAACGAACCGATATCATTTGGAGAACCACTGAAAATCTAGGCTCAATTAAAAAACCGTCTAATTTACATTTAGAACTTAAATGTAGTGTAAGCACAATTAAGCCTATACAGGCATGTACCTATGACCTTTAATTTTCCCAAAAATATGATACTTTTAGTTCATGGAGTTGATTTTTACTGTTGAATATTTTCAAATACCGTCATTTTTCTGACGTAATCCAATAACCACATAATGTCGTTGAAAAATCTCCGTTTCACTCTGAATTAGTTTAAATCTAGAGGTCAAAGCTTACCGAGCAAAGTTTTTTAAATTTAACTAGAGCAAAAGACGATCATTTCATAAAGATTTCCTAGTATAATAAATATGTAGTAATTCGACCTAAACATACGTTATCAAGAGAAACAATGTAACTGAAGTGAATTTTGGTATTATAAATTTGTCATTATGTAATGTGAAGTGTAGTTTGATGACAATAAAGTAGCAACAGAAATAATATTAATCACTGTAACTGAACAAATCATTTAGCATTACATTCAATAGGCCATTTTATGACGAAATTCGTAAATTATCATGTTAAGAAGTTGGATATCAAAAGTTCCTCTTAAATATTCTATATATGAACAAAAGAATAGCATAGAAATCATTAAAAAAAATGCTTTTATTCAGTTATTTAGTGTTTTTCGAGATTCGGTTAATTGATGAGCTAGCTTCATTACACGAGAATAGGATTTGTCAAACTAGTGAAACTTAGAGTTATTTAAGTATTATTTCAATGCTCAGAATTAAGCGTTGATCAGATGTGAATACGGATTCAAGATAATGTTTAGTCAAAAATAACAAGTGCTGTCAGTGAATGGTTATCTTCATTCCTATCTTGTTTACAGAGTAGTGCTACAAGTTTCAAACTGTGAGTCGTGACCCGATTTGCAAAAAGAAATATCTATAGTTGATTCAAAATGTTTTTGCATAAACAAGTTTCAATTAAATGTCAATGGTATTCACAGATTAAGCATTATATATTGAAGTCATCTTCAAACGTCTCCGAAAATAATACAAAAATATTAAAAATGCATTTAATTAATGACATGCATTGTTCAAAATAATATATAACATGTAGCATGAAAGATTCAGTATTCCCAAATTTAAAGAACTGAACCTGAAATTTCACTGTTCAGAGTCCTAAAATGTTCCCGTTAAAATGTACACCATTTAATTGCAACCAGATATTTGTCTTGAAATGTTTTAAATTGTAAATTTCTTTTTAAATAAATCTTAAACGGCTAGAAATTTCGTATTAGTTCAAATTATATTTATACTTGGTTAAAATTAAATCCATTGAACAATAGACGAAATCACAGACTAACATCAACTGGAAAAACATTAAAAATCAGGAAGCACAGTTTCATACCAGTGTGGTACTCCTCAGCTGTGCACATTTACTGCACATAAAATTAAACCTGACACTTGCTATAAACAGTACAGATGTTACCCATGAACCATTAAGTTTGATCTGTAGTTTCATATTTTTTTAAATTCAGTTAATTCATGAAACAGCTAGGTAATCATATAATATCACTGGTAGGTAACTCACACTCTCGATACAGTTAAACTATATCAGTCATTTCAGGAATTCATCCCACCGCAAGTAGATTACCAAAACAAAACTATTATTAATGAAGATTAATTTACTGGGAAAATATTCATCACGAGACAATGCCATCAACAACAATTACAAGCCAATGCGCACTGCTCACCTGCTTCGTCCTAGTCTAAAATTTCATAATTGCGGACTATCTAACTTAACAAGAATAAATTCTTTGAACAAGTAAATTAATTTGTTTTACTATAGATAAGATACCGTAGCTTGTTATTCACAGCATAAATTGCCATTAGTCAATTACTCTATGTTCATCCACCAAAATCAATGTTAAGCAAAAATGTATTGATCAATAAAGTTCTCTTTTCCATATCTTTCTTTATCACGCTGGCAGGAATTAACAACATAAATGAGATTTTCGATTTCTACCGAAAATAGTATATCTATTTCAACAAAACGTAATCATTTTAATATCCTATACAGTGCTATGAGTAGCTAAATAGGTAGTATGTACACATTTTTCCTTTAAAGTATTATCGTTAAAAACATTTTGTATAAATTCAGTTGTCAAGTTAACTGATTTCCCTTTTTGTTGTTTTAGAATGCTGATGAAAACAATCATGATTACCTTGGTTGTAACATTTCTCAAAATTTACATTACATATGACTTATGATAAATTGTCAGTGGAATATATTGGGTGTGCCTCTAGCTTGCTTGTAACTTATGCTGAGAATATATAGAGAAATGGGCGTTTGAATGACTCATTTGTTATTCTATGATATTAGATTCATAGACTCTTTCAAAATTGTTTGTGACGGGATAAACGTTATAAGGGCGTTGGCTGTTTCGCATGATTATGATTGGTCGCTTACAGCAAAATTAAGGTCACATTTGTAAAACCATAAATCTTTTTACTACACAAGTATGCCCTTACACAGTTCGAAGGAGGTCATGGAAGGTTTGTTCAGACGACATGGGATTTTCTTACTTTTTGGGCAACTTGTGAACCATTGGTATAATAAAATGATAAAAAAGTAATTATCCAAGCGTCATAACGTACAAGCAGTGGGTTTGCCCACCGTTACTATTGATCGAACTCAAAACTTTCAGATCTATTCTAGTTCTTTCGAGCAGAACATCATACTACTAACTAATAAGCAAAGATGAATGGAGGCTAGCAGCGAGATCCAGGACACGCATCTCGTTCTATTCGGGACTCGTCAGCTGGATGTACCTGCATCTCAGATTTGATGTTCACTCCGTAACTGGAATCCAGTACCGTCCGCTCCAAAAGCCATCGCGTTATTCACTTAGCTACTGATTCCCGATAAACACTAGCTTGAGCAATGGGATGAAGTTTTAATTCATTTTGTTTGTTTGAATCTTCCGATCGATTTATAGGACTGTAATTGAGTAGTTTCTTGTTGGCACAAGCTAGTGGCTACCATAACTCAATAGCTAACTGGATAACGTAACGGCGTTTGAAGCGAATGTTACTAGGTCCCAGTTCCGGAGTGAACTTCAACTCTGTGATACACGTACATCCAATTGATGTGTCCCAAATAGGACGAAACGAGCATCCTAGATTCCACTGCTAGCCACCATTCATCTTTGCCTAGAATACTTGTGATTTAAGGCAATATCGAGGCAATCCGCACAGGGTGCACATATGTCAGTAAGACACTGATCAGTTGCAGTCCTAAGCATCAATGGGAAGATTAAAACAAACAATACAAACTGAATTAAAACTACTAACTAATGTTACTAAACTAGCTATAATCACTCAGTTATATTACTAAGCAGTTAACTAAAGCAATCATATGTCCACATTAATCCACAACAATAAGAAGTAATTTAATGCTAGGGATAATTTTTATTCATAATGGTTGATTCACTTCTCAAACATTTTTCTATTCAACATAACTGATGTATTTTAGCTCTTCCCTAATATATAATTATTTTCTATTTTTCTACAAATTCATTATTCTACTCAAGCATGCAATATTCTTCAACGATTTCTGTTGTGTTCACTGTTTACATTTTTTTACTAAATTCTATTTTAAATGCAGCTAACTATTGATGATAAAATTATATATTTTTTAAAATATTGTTTCCATTTTGTTGTGTGAATATTATAGGATTTCGAAGAAAGAATTTGTTATCGTCTTGACAATCTACCTGAAGCACCATCTGATTCTTTAGCATCTGGACGAAAACAAGGTCTACCTGGTTTACAACGTAGTCACAATTTATTAGAACAAGAACTTTTATGTTTTGGTGATCAAGTGAAACAATTGGATTTAACAGCTAAACGATTACTACCACGTTATGCTGGTATACAAGCGGAACAATTACAAGCACATCATGAACGTGTTCAAACAATATGGAAACGTTTATTAAAAGTTATTGAGATAAGACGTGATCTATTAAAAGAAGCTAGTCGATTATATGACTTTCTAGTTAATGCTCGTGAATTAATTTCATGGTTAGAACATGCCAAAGATATAATGGAACATAAAGAAAGACCAAGGTTAATTTTATCTTTTTACTATTAGTTTCTAAAATGTTTTAAAATTCAGTGTATCATATGCTTTCAGAAAATGCTGTTAGTATGTATTATGTTCTTATGGCCTGTTAATTATCACGTGATGAGGTCGCCAATTAGACACCGGTTTATACGACCAGACTAATCACTCATAAACCTGTACAAGCAACCTAGAGTTTTTATTGGTCCTCTGAAATAGTAGCTTCTCTCCTAACCCAACCGGTTCCGTCCAGAACGCTAATATCAGCCTCCGCGATACGAATCATACATGCAAACAAACCAGATCGCATCATACCATAAAGTAGAAAATAAAAATTATACAAGATCAAGACAAAAAGTGGCTGTGATTGTGATAGATTGTTAATAATAAATTTGGAATATCTTAAGAATAGTAAATATTAAGTCAATAAGTCAAATAGCTCAATAAAAGGAATATGAATATGCATATAATATAGTTGGTTATACAGTGGTTATACAATAAGAAAATGTGTAACAATAGTCGACAGATAGATCCTAGCGGTTACTGTTCACCTATTCTTCGTACGGCATAACAGTATGCATGATTCTCAGTAACATTATCTTCATTAGTAATAGGCAAGTTTAGGAAGCATGTTTAGTCTTTTTCGGTACATGTCTCAGCAATGTAGCTTCATTTATTCAATCCTTATTGTTTGGTTCCAAAAACTCCACACACTTTCTCTGTTCACATTATGCTAAAAAGTGTTTATTGGGCTGGTTAGAGAATGAAATAGATGTTCGAACATCCTTTGGATGTTCGATAAAATTCTTTGGTGAACATCTAAAGTATGAACAATCATCGCTGTCTAAAAAAAATTCAATATATGAACCTCTATTTTAGAGGTGATTTTTTAGTGATATACTTAGAAGCTATCTAGAAAGACTAATTCTACATTTACCTGCTGCAGCGATTGTTCTTTTGAAATATAATGGTCGTTCATTTACGTGACTCTGGATGAAAATCAAGTTCCCGATACTGATCAATTCAATAAATGTGTACTAATAAACCCGATCTTGTGAGGACAGGTATAATTGACGTAAACAAAAACAACTTTTTAGATAGTTTTTTTTACTATGGTTCACGTTTTATCATATTTTAGTCTTCTATTTTGTTATTATGATTATTATTAATGTCTCTACTTAAAATTCTATACTACCATTTATATTGTGTGTCTTTATTTCAACCTTTCCGTTAATGACATTCATATTTACTCCATTTAATAAGTTTACTATATATTTTTGAATTTCATAAATTTTCCTTTCTATTACTACCTAAAACAATACTATCACTGTTTAACCCCTAATTCGCTATATAAACAAACTAACCAAGATATAACTTATGTAGAGTTAGAATTTATCAGAGATATTTACATGAATTCTTAGTACAGCTTTGAAAAAATAGACCTGTTAAAAACATTATTTTTGTGAATTAATAGTTTTTTTCACTTAGTAACTATATTGAAATTAAGTAGACCTTATTGTCGCAATTTTCCATATATATATATATATATATATATATATATATATATATATATATATATATATATATATATATATAACTTTGTTCCTGGTTTTGTTGCGTTGTAATGAGTGCAATAATGTTGACGAAGCTATATTACAAATTAACTGACCAATCTGTGTGATCATATCGTTTCATTTAAAACCTTGAATGACACGGCTCAAAGTCGTTTACCATGGCTCAGGTGTATTAACTCTTTGTGTTCTCCCAAATTCTAATCTTCTGAATTATTCATATCCCATTTTTTCTCTTTCCAAATTTATTTCACTAGATTATACTCCTTGAATAACATCTTCAAACCCTAATCTTTCCGATTATTGCTTAACCTTTTCTACCTCTATCACTATGGGATTTGAATTGACAATTGTATCTCTGTGCTAATGTGGTATGGCAACTTGAACTGATGTACGTACGTATGATGTTCTATGTTGTTACTGACTGACTGTTTGACTGAATGACTCACATTTACTGTTTTTGATACAATAATTGTGACTGTAACTAACTTTCACATTAGGTAATCCAACGTAATGATTTTGTAGAGTCAATATTCAATAATCCAGTTTTTCACGATTACTCTTCTATCAATATCTTTCAACTACACAATCCTCAATATAGAAATAAAGAGTAAAAAGCACTTTGTTATCGATAAATCTAAACAGGCACAAAGTGTTGTATAAACTATGTACTGTTTTTCCAATGATATATATATATATATATATATATATATATATATATATATACTATTTGTTTAATGTGCTTAATTATGTTTTCACTTTGTTTCTTACCAATCAACTTTATTCTAGAGATATTTCTGGTGTTGAATATTTAATTGAAGATCATAAACAATTACGGGTGGAATTAGAATCACGAAATCAACGAATTGAAGATTGCTTGAATCTTGGCCGCATATTATTGACTGAATTTGCAGCTCAGGAAGAGAAAGCAATGCTACCAATTATGAAACCAAGTTTAATAGCTACACGAACTGAAGTTCGCGAGAGATGTGTACAATTAGCAACTGGGCGTATTTTATTGAATGAATTATGGCGTGAACGTTGGGATCGTTTACATTTATTATTGGAAATACGTCAATTCGCGCGTGATGCGAATAGTGCAGAAATATGGTTGATGGGTAAAGAGTTACAATTAGAATCAGCACGTCGTCAATTAGGTGAAACATTATCTGAAACACTAGCTTTACTTGGTGCTCATTACGCATTCCAGCAAACACTAGCAACAGCAGACGAGAGATTTAATGCATTGAAAAGATTAACTACAGTGAGTAATATTGTATGTATCTTCCCACTGTTGATGTTAAGCACTGAAACTGATTAGTCAGTTTTTGTGTAATGTACATTCTGTGCGGATTGCCTCTATAGTAGCATATGATCATACGTTTTGGTAAAGTTAGCGACTCAAACTTACTATCTTTCCTTTCAAACTCCCGTAGCACCCACTAATGTGAATAATTATGAGTTATTTTGTAATTTTAATTTGTTCTTGATAGTTTATTTGTTAATTGAAAACTCATAATATTGTGCTTGGATAATTAGTGTACAAATAATAGATTGAATTCGCTACTAGATATTCACACACTCAACTACTTGACTATTTACATAAGATATAGGAATAAGACCCAGCAGGTAATTTACTAGGTCAATCAGCTCGTACATCTCATTAAATTTATCAATAACTTCAGCATTTTCAACTCGATAATTTATAAACGTGTTAGCTACTCTCGAGGAATCAGTTATTCCATGTTTATTGTTTACATTATATTTAGTTGTAGTTTTTCAAAATAAGATCTGGTAACTAGATATAGAACTGATAATTATGTATAGTTGTCGACTCTTGTTGAGTCGTGCAGTTCTCATCAGATTTGTTGTTCAACAATATAAAGAAATGACAAAGAAGATTAACTGAAATATTTTTTACCAAAAAGCTCTTTCTCTTTGTCAATTCAATTGATTTTAATAAATTCTAAAATAACTCAAACACTCAAATTGATAATTTGTCTTCAGAACTAAACCATAAATTCCGACAAGTTGGATGTTACGAAATAGAACCAGTGACCAACTGATTAAATATGTACAGTAGGCAAAAACTGAAACATACAGAACAATATACCAGGAATATTTATCACATATATGCATATATCCAAATATAATTCAATGATTTCAAATTTATGTTATGTAAACATATCATTTCCACATGTTTACTAGGAACTGAGATACGACATTTCACAAAGATTTCATACATTTCAACCAGTTCATAAGTTAATTCAGTAGCTATATTAGATATTTACATCATTGGATTCCTGATCAATGCAATATCTGGCTTTAGCTAAACCAGAAAAAGATGTCTTGTTTTTAAAGTTTTCATCTTTATTTATTACGTCATTAAAAAGTAATAAATGAAATGATTCTAAGTAGTGTCTTGCAATAACTGCTTCCAAATATTCATAGAGTAAGTCTAAACTAGAAATTGAAATAATCTTTATTTTCTCTTACACTTTTAGCTTGAACTAAGATCAATGAAATGGGATCCACAAGAAGTTATTATGAGAGAGAATGAACAAAGAAATAAAGTTCGAGACGCTGTCAAAGAATTTCTTCCTGCTTATGTCGGACAAACTGAGACTTTGAGAAAATCGACTTCTGTCTTACCATCACATACAGTTGGTGTTTCTTCATCAAAAATTCCACTGGTATCTACTGCTTACATTCAACAACCCCCCGTTAAACCACTTAGGAAACCAATTGAAGTAACTGAAATATCAGTTGTACATCCAAAACCTAGAACAAAATTCCCATCAACATCTGACGGTATAGTGACAGCAGTTAAGACAACATCACTTCCCAAAACTGTGGAGTCGTACAAGAGTCCTGGAAAGAAAGTTGAACATCACGAAACTATAATGTCCCCGCGACCAGTTAAACGATCACACTCTAGACAAATACCAGAGTCATCAGTCGTGATAACCAAGGAAGAAAGTTTATCTATCAGAGATAGATCAGAACCCATTAGTCAGAAATCTGAAGATTCGTCGGAGAAAATTCCAATTCACTCTGAAAAACCGTCTTCATATGATCGTCATGTAGAAGAAACTACTGATGAAAATAATAACACTCGTTCACTGTGAGTATTTTGTATTGTTTCCTTTCGGTATTAAAATATAACGTCTACTGAAACATATATGTATTATATATCAATAGTTTCATAATGAAATACGTTGTGTGTATGTATGGAGGTGGATTGCATTATTGATCACGAAAACAGAAGTAGTGACGCAAAACCCTACAGTAAATAGATATCCAAAGGTGGAACCTCTTTTTATCTAAAGCCAGTTGTCTTGCATAAAAATGCACACATTTATAAATTATTTAACACGTAACTAGTCATAATTAAAGTTCGTCTTGAAACTAACTGATTTTGTAGATCATCCCTGAATCATTGAAACAGACATTTGATTATCAGGCTTAATTCTTTCACAGAATTCTTATCAAGACCTGTTAATAGAAGATAATTTTCCCCTAATTAGTTGTTTGTATGTGTGTGTCCAGCTTACCTACGTAGAAACACCTAGTACTGGAATGTTATTCATGCATCCACACTGTATTGTTCGTGATGTGAATTAGCTTCAAAATGTCGAATGTCCATTTACTTTCTATCTCGAAACATTTTAACCTGATTCGTATTTCAAATACTTTTATCACTTCTAGATGATCATTCATATCTATGAACCGAGTAAATAATATCCATCACCAGACTTCTTGTTTTATCCAAACTTCTTTAAATTAATAGAATGATACAGTTTGATTTGTACTGTAGGTATTTAGTTTATAATCATATACGCGTTGAGCTACTGTAACGTTGACGTTTAACGTCACACCCGATGTATTATAAATGATATTCAGTAAAAAATATTTTACTTTGTTCTTCACCTGTTCACTGAAACTAAGTAACATAAATTTTCATCTGTATTGTTACGTGTCACTTCTTAAATAACAATTTTATGTTGGAAAACCTACTGTTAAGTTCTTTTACATTTATGAAACAATCTAATAATCTTTAAAAATCTGCTAAATGAAGACGATGTCAGTTTATGATGAGTAAATCAAGTTAATAAAACTTCGTTTCAATTAATTATTATCATTTTTATAATAAACATGGCTTTCAAATAGTCTATTTTGTGGCCTATTCAAATGAATCACCAATTAGCTATATAACTTGTTGACTTTTAACAGTTTTCACTTCGTTTAATTTGGTAGATTTAACTCTGTGTTTGGTATGTGAGTAATATAAACTTATTGAATTCAAGCAAACTTAATGTTTCTTCTAGACGTTTGTTTATATCTGTTCACATTTGCTAGTAACATAAATTGATTTATTTTTATTATGTAGGGAAACTGTAGATCAGCCACATGAACACCAACAAAAACCTATAACTCGGAGTCGTTCACTAAGAGTTAGATCTTCTCAATCTGACTTGCCAACGACTGAATCCCCTACTTCAACAACCAAGTTGAAATTCTTTGAAAGTGCTGAACAAGAACCAACTGGGTTATCACAGGAACCTGAAACATCGACAAGTGGACAACCAGATTTACCAAAACTAGAGGGTCCTGTTATACGAAAGCACGATTTAGATTCTGGTGGCTCTCTACATTCAAAAAGTCAAGGTCGGAGCTGGTTACCTCTTTATCTGGTTCTCGATTCAGGTCAACTATTTGTTTATAAAGATCAACAAAGTCGTCGGGAAAAACCAAACATATACTATCATGATACATCACCATTAAGCTTACTGTCATCAAGAGCTGCCCCTGCTATAGATTACACAAAACGACCGTGTGTATTTCGATTACGTCTTGGAGATGGTAGTGAATATCTATTTCAAACTGCAAATGACAATGTTCTTAACCGTTGGGTTACAGCCATCAATGAATCAGCTAAGTGCTTAGCTTCTGAATTCAGTAAACATCAAACTGGACATACTTTAACACTTCCTGTGGGAACTCATTCTAGAAGTTTTCAAAGTAATGGTCATCGTCGTTCTATTAGGAATTTTTTCTCTTTGCGTCGTAAATCATAATATAATTATCTTTTATTTTGTGTGCTATATTCTAAGTAAAATCGTAACATATCATTAGATATTTCAAGTAACTTTTCTGTTCTTCATCAAACAATGCATAATCATGGATTTGTTTTTTTATTTATATTTTTTCGAAACATTTTCGTAATTTTTCTTTTCAAAAAAAAAGAATTTTATCCTCAATAATGTACTAAACACTTGACTGTTTACTTGTACTAAAAGAGACAATAATCAATAATGAGCAGTACGATTTTTAATGTTTCTTTTAATACTAATGAAGTGAATTCATTTTTCGTCTTTTCGTTCTTTTCATGCATAATAATACTAATAATAGTATTCTATGAAATTTTTTTTGTAAACTTTAGGACATTCTAACCTCAGTAACAAATTAAATGAGGATGGTTTTTTCCCTCTCTTAATTTTCAATTGCTTATCATTGGAAAATACTGAGATAATTGACTATATATTATAAAATAAATAATCTTTTAAGAATTTCACCATATAGTAAGACAGTTCATCAATCTTGTATAAACGTATTTAATATTTTCTCTTTTGAAAATTTATTTCATTCTATCTTTGCTTTTGATTTGTTTATTATATAATAATAATAATAAATTATATTAATAATAATATTAATTGTGATGTGCATTTTATGTTTTAATATTTGTTGTTTAATCTATTAATATAAATTATAAATGAATTTTGGTTCGTAGATTAGTAACATTAAGATTATTTCGCTGATTCCTTTTTCTGTATATGATTTATTTATATATATGTTCATTGAATTTTGTTTTATTGGTTAAAATGAATAAAAACACGTTAATAACAACATTCTTTGTTAGTTTTTTTCATTTTGTTAATATCGCTAAAGTCAACGAAATAGTCATTGATAAATTTAATAACTTACATATTTGTTGGTATAAATGATCGTGTAATTCCAATTATGAATGATATTACATAGATACAAGTCAGTCAGTCAGCTACAACGTAGGACCATGCACATACATCCATCGGTCCAAGTTGCCATACCTCATTAGTACAACAAGATGAACACCGGATTCATAGAAGTGGTTAATACAGTGGTGGTAATATATAAAAGAAAGATTGCATATAAGAAGATAGTACAGGCAGAAAGGATTAGTTGGTTGAAAGATATGAAGCGATTTTAATCTCATAGTTTATGGGAAGATAGAGAGTGTATACACCTATGCCACTGCAATCGATTATGAGCCATGTCACCTAGAGTCTCCATTCATTGGTTACGATAGTCATGCGGACCCCAATGTAGATACAATGATAATTATGAATTTATCATGGGAACAAATAATGAATTAATTCAATGAACGCAAAAGTACACATAGATTGTTCAATAAAAATTAGGAATATAACAAAAATTAGTATTTCCATTGAGTTGCTAATGAAATAACATCGTTTATGATCGATAACATTTTATTATATCAAGTTCCAGTCAACGTAGATTTTAGTTTCACGTTAATGTATAGAAATAAAGAAACAACTTAATTCTAGACTGAATTAGTTCGATAAACAGATGCACAATTTCCTTCATAGGAATGACTAAAATTACGACTACAGAACTACACAAACAGTCGTCAGCCTTGCTAAACTTAATGGTATTAAATAATAAGTTCAATATAAATGTTCTAAATGCTATTTTGTAAAACTGAAAACTAAAATTTTCTAGAAATAACAAACTACCGTCTGAAGAAGATAACTTGTTTTTTCACTACCAAAACCTGTAAATTTTAGTAATTTTTATCAGTTCTGTAGAGTTTTCCAATGCTTAAGTTAGTCCGATGTTGTCAGATATCCCCGACTAGTATTGTGAATTTGATTTTCACTTACATTACGCGATTAGGTTGATTTTTAGTAGTCAGTAACTACTACGTCGCTACCAATTTTCTTTACTACTGGATTTTTCATCACTTCAACATGCTTTAGAATCAAATAGAACAGTTTAAAACGACAAAATAATTTATTTCAGCTGTATTAATGTCAGACAGTTTGAACCACAGTGACAAGACAGTGTTTACTGAGTTGGAAATTTCCATCTCTAATTAACCGCCGAGATTTTTGAGATAACAATAGCTAATTCTCAAATCACTGCTAAGTTTTCCTAAAATTCATCAAACTTTTTTTAAAGAATAAACTTGACATTTGTAACCTTTAAATATCATGAATTATTTGGAAGTATTTGACTTCGGTTCGTTTATAACAAAGTATTTAGTAGAATATTACATTTCAACCATAAAATGAAATCGAATCAATGTAATCATGGTTTACTTAAAGTATTTATGGGTTCGGAAATATAATTCAATAATCAAACAAAAATACGAAGCTAAAATATAAGGTATTACAATTCATAGAAACTGATCTTTGATAATATACCTCAAATCCTTCTCAAAATAACTTTATAATTCTTGAATTTAGTCAGTTGATGAATTCATTACCAATATCATATGTATATTGTTTGTTATATGAAAGTTTCTCAAAAGACGCCTAAATGAACTTATGTACAATTTCTTTTTCACATACGTTCCATTTACTTCTTTGTTTGCATTTCACCTTATTTCAAAATATGACCTTAATAGATTGTATTATACATGTATTAATCTTAATTATTTAGACTATACTAAAAATCAAAGTATGATAAAAAGGCATAGAAACTGTTTACGCTTCATGAATAATGTTGATGTCGTTTATTATTCTTCATCTACGTTACTTAAGATAAATTAACCTCAGTTTTTAAATAACTAAGTGTAAATTGATCTACTTGAAAACAGTATGTGATTTGATATACGTAGTTACACTACGGTTGAGAAGATTTGTAGCTCAGGCAGATGATTTTGATGGAGTTTTGTTCTCTGAGCTAGATGGTTTGGTCATAGTTACACTACGTTTTATCATGAAATTTAGCTATTTAACTAATTTGAATCAACATGATCCTCAACAAATATCTGAAAATATTTTTAAATATTAGAATAATAACATTTATAGTCTATATCATTGTTTCATTTTGCATGTACTCGTTTTTACAATAAGTATGTCTAATTAATGATCAATGTAAGTAATTTTGCAATGGAAACATTTTAACAAATCAAGATTATTAACAGACGTATTTTTAAAAAGAAATTATTATTAACTTTTTAAATAAATAAATATCAATTATGGTTTGCATGATTTTGAAGATCCGTAAAAATTATGAAGGAAGAAAGATTATTTTCAAGTAAAAAAAAAGAATCTAAGGAAAGTATAAACAAAAGAAATTTCTTCGTCAAATATACTACGCTGTTATTTTTTTTAGTGGAATATGTGAAAATCCCCATCAGTATTTTATCTACTACTTTTAAAGTATTCAGTTTTTATAGTTTACATAATTATTGATATCAACTTTGTGATCTTTTTTAGAATCGACATTATTTCCAGCTAGGCAATTATTATCACTCATAATTAAATTCATTGTCTGATGTGAAGTGATCCATTCATCATTGTTATTTTTTTCGGTATTGGATTTTTCCACTGTTAAGTAATAAAATACAATAAATACCAAACTAAGACTCTTTCAACAGTAAGGGAATTAATACTGTTTTTATTCAATAGATAGGTTTATTTTCTTATGTATCTAAATAGAGAACAACATTTCCTTATACTGACATTTATATTCTGTCATATGAAAAGTGATAATTCAGTTTGTTTTAAAGTGTATTAAACCTATCAATTATAAATCTTTTGAAGAGGTTTGTCCCTACATAATACTAAGAGATTGTTTATAACATTTTTTCACTGGCTTAGCATCTGCATCAATTTCGATGACTTGTTTGATTAAGAAATATTACGAGCATATCAGAAGTTTATATAATTCTAGTCCACTTATATTTATGAATGTTTAAGTGTCGAATTTACGTACTCTTCAAAATAGGTTTCTTTTACACATATGATCATGAAGAGTAGACTAGATCAAGGATACTTTAAATAAATTCTCCAGCGAATTTTAATGCTTGTTTTGATGCGAAGATGTTTATGCTTATATATAAAATCAGCATAACTTCAAAGACAAAATTGTACTAAAAACCACCAACATGGAAATAGTCATTTCAAAGTTCTCAACGACTTATATATAACTATTGTCCCAAAAAAATTACATTATTCATTATGACTATCGAAGCATTTTTTGTTGACTATTTACACATATCGAACTAAGATACCACTATATATATACTCAGTATATAAGTGAATGAAAGCATAATTTTTTCGAAGTTACATGCAGATATTTATTCATGAATCTTGCGTGTATCTCATGTTTTACTCTAAACGTCCGTATATTGGGAATTATTTATGTTGTTCTGATTTTTTTTAATGGTAAGTTAGAATTTTCCTTTGAAACGTAACAATTTCAAAACATTAAACAATATTATAATAAGCCTGGATGAAAATATTGGGTGAATTTATCTTAAATTAAAACAAATAGGTATGATGAACTTACCAAAGGAAACAACTTTTGGTCTCATTTGAGATGAAATTAAATTCTTCTCCTGTACTTGTTTAGTAGGTGATTTTATATTGTAGCACTGTATTATAAGCGATGTGCCACATGAGAATTCATTAATTAAACACTTATTAATTGTCTTGGATTTTTGATTTTCCAGTGTTGTTGGATTGTGTATTATGGGTGCTGGACCACCTAGAGATTTTGAAGATAGTTCTCGTATTTTTAGCCAAGGGTTTAGCACTTTACCTTTAGATATACTAAATATACTAGATGAACTCCTAGACGTAACCTCTGAAATAAATGGTTGTTAACATTAGCAATTGAAACCATTAAAAAGGCCTTATATTATTTATGTAATTAAATTAAATCTAGAGAACATCAAGTTCACCAAACTTGAGCTGTCGAATTAAAATATTATGGTACGTGGTGGAAGAATATTTTGATTAAAGCCTAAAATTAACATGATATAGAAATATTGCGTAAATAGTAGTCTTTCATTTGTAATCTCCATCTTTATAAGCCGGTAATCAGTCATACTGTAAATAGAACCTGGTAAATAAGTATATCAGTTCAAATTGGCACAAGACATTAACAGATTAAAATGATGTTATCACTACATGTTTGAGAGGATTAGAATAACGAACCCGATAATAATATAGATGTTAATAGTAGATGTACAAAGGATTACACTTATAAAATGATTGCAGAACCAAACGAATCAGCAGAGTATAAAAGGTGTAGGATAATTTTTAATCTCATAATCTATGAGAAGATAATTAGTGAATTTTAAGCCATTTAATTTGATATCTCCAACCATTGGTTACGATAATTTCACTGATCGCTACTAGGTAAACTATAATTATTAACATGATAATGCCAACTGTTAATGACTTCATATACTGATACCATGTTTTTGTTTGTTTAACTTTAGCTTCTAACTCTAACTTGCACCAATAAGCATCGCCCATCGTGTTAGGCAGTATCTGTACTTATGTTTTATGCGTCTCAACTAACACTGTCAATGAAGATTCACTAAGTTATCAACTGATTTGATAACTTGGACTACTGCCCTGCAAATAGCCCTAGCTTTTTCTCAAGCATTAGTCATAGAATTCACATTAATGTCAGACTGTCTCAATCCTAACTTGAAGAATGGTTATGGTTTTTTGATAAAACTCCGTGAAATTCGTCTCGAATTATGGTTCTTAAATTATATAAATAGAGATTTACTCACCATTAATCCACTCCGTACATTCGACTTGACTAAGTCCTCTAAGACGTTGCATAATACTGGCTCTTGTGTTTTTATATGGTCGAAATAGAATAATGTATATCTAAAATAATGCATCATAATTAGAAAAAAAGGTTTTATTTATTAAGGAAAACATTAACTGAGATTAACATAGAATGTCCTTCAACCACATTCTCATGAATTCAAACAACGTTAATAATTGCTTTTAAATTTACTGTATAAAATTATATTTATCAGATGAAAAACTTATTTACTGATAAAAGTTTCATCTTAACAACAGACAAATCATTGTTCTTTAGAGGTTGTTTATTCTGATATTTTATATGATGAAGCAGGGTAAGTGCATCTCATAGGTACAAGAACTTAGGCTTTATTGTTAGTCAATGAAAAGATTTCGAACCAAATACACATTAGTTAGTGGAAAAAGCTCGACCTTGTTAAGTAGGGAAATATAATTATAGATTAAGTTGCTGAAGATATTTTTCATTTTAATCAAAGTATATGTAAGTAGAAAAGATAATATAACTTGGAATAATTCATTAGTTGTCTGAAGAAACAATTAACTTAAGCAAAATCTGGATGAATCTTTAGAAAATTAATATGCGTTTAAGAAGTTAGACCACAATAAAAAATGCAGGAAACTTGAAAACAGTCATAAATTAACAACACAAAGTCCAGCGAAGGGATCTCTTTTCAACGAATTTATTATCAAGCTGTACAATCGTACATATATGAAAGCTTTTTATGTTAGAGTATTAATTCCGTGAGGAAATGTGAACACAAATAACCGGGATGACGTAATAGAAATATTATAATACTAGATTACGTAATACGAATAATAATGATAGATTTAGTGAATATAATAAGATGAGTAAAATGTTTTTGTTACATTAAGTAAAGGTTACTAAAGGTCATAGTATTAGCAACAACCTACTGTGGGAGAGAACAAATCAGATTCCAGCAGAGGAAGAATTCAAGAAGAACCTCTGGAAGTGGATAAGACGCACATTGAGGAAAGCACCCAACTGTGTCACAAAGCAGGCCCTCACATGGAATCCCCAAGGTCAAAGGAGGAGAGGAAGACCAAAGAACACATTACATCGAGAAATGGAGACAGACATGAGAAGAATGAAAAACAATTGGATCGAACTAGAAAAGAAGGCCCAGGACAGAGTGCGTTTGAGAATGCTGGTCGGCGGCCTATGCTCCACTGGGAGTAACAGGCCTAAGTAAATTAAAGGTCATAGAGGTGGTACGTGATGAAAAGTGATTTCCTCGCTGAACTTCGTGTTTTTAATTTTTAATGTTTAAATGGGAATTAGCAGTCATAAATTACTCAAAAGAACATTGAACAACTGAAATGTGAATATTCAAATCAATCGATTATTTCCAGATATGTGAATTTGATCACTTTAAACATCATTAACTATGCAATATTTTAAATGAATATCCTTCGGTATTCAAGATGAATAACATCACTGAATAGTAAATAAATGCTCATCCCATGTAGATCAAGAAAAATAATAATTAAGATTTCTAGCTGAAAATGGGATTTCTGGGTTTAAAATATATCGAATTAAATATCTCATCAATGATCAAACACAAACCAGGTCAAACAATCCGTTTTATTGTACTATTTCATAGAATGCCAAATATTTAAACATCCCATTTCTGTAAATCTGCTGTTTTCCTTCAAACGTTTTGATGTGACTTGCTTGTTTCACAAATATTTATATAGATTTTGATCTACCAAAACTATCATTTTTTAAAGGAGACATGTGACAAGAGAATCAGAAAGTAAGTAATAGCTGAAACGTACGAATGTGGCTTTTTATCAAAAAGCATAAAGAGAAATTCAAAGGTATTTCTAGTGTTTATTGAAACTTTTAAATGTACTAAGGGAATTGCTTTATTTCCTCAATAAATGAGCAAGCTAAAACTCTACCATACTTCAACGCCTTAATAAAAATAACTAAGAGCGAAAATACTACCTAAATTTTCCGCATCAGAATTACACAATAGTCAGTAAATCACCTCTATCAACACTGAAAGGAATCGTTATGGTTACATTCCATTATCACCAACATTCATTTGTATAACAAATTTGTAGCCCCATTGCTAATATTTTTCCTTAGAAGAGCTGTTCGTATGTCTAAGAAATCTGTTACATCTTAATTATAGAATTACTAAAGTTGATACATCAAATCTTCACAAGGACCAATAGTTTCCAAGAATCCGTTAACTATAAAAATTAAGTGTATTTTAAATCTATCATTTCTACAGTCGTATTACTTTCAGTTATATATAATATTAGCAAAATCGCTGACCAAAAATTCAGTTCACTTATCCCTATACCATATTCATACCATTCAGTTTAAAGTTTTATATTACATCAAAAATTACTGTTTGTCTTTCATGTAAAGAAAATCTAATCCGTCAGGGAGCATCAATTCCCTCAAGATTACAGGCACACCTTGATGACGAGTACCAAGTAGCACGAAACCTGGGTCCAAGGTTTCCTGTCGTCAACCTTCAACCACCATCTTATCTCAATATAGTGCACGCAGTGTCGATTCACCCAAACTGGTGGCCACATTGCAACTTGGTCGATAGCATTTGATCTGCACTAAGAAGGACTTGACACATATGACACTGATCACCACCAAACGATCAATCAATTGAGAAAATCAATCACGCTTTAAAATGATTAGAACTACTAATATGTTAAAAACGTTTGAACTACTTATGAGTATTTTAAATCATAAATGATAATATATGAGTTTACTTGTTATAATGAATTTAACATATCAAAATAAATAAGGAAACAATAAGATATAAATACAAAAGAAAAATAAAGAAAAATCAACCCAATTACCTTTGGCAAAATTAACACACTGAATTCATTAGTTGCAGTAGAAATTAATAAAAAACTTAATGGTACTAATTCTAATATTGTTTTACTTGCATAATACATAAGTATAGGTGTTGTAATGAAACAAATAAAATTAATATAATTAACAAATGCTAATGCTCTTGCTTCATTAAATCCACTTGGAACTTTACGTATTTTATAAGCATATATAGTTGTTAAACACATTAATATAAACGGAATAAATATACTAATAATTTGTTTAATATCGAAATATGGAAAGCATAATATTAAATTATTAGGCAATCCATGTAATATTAATTGTTTTTGATGTTTATTAATTCTTGTTATATAATCATCTTCATATATTGTAATAGAGTTTTTATCAATTTTTAATTGTGTATTTAATTCATAATCTGATAATATTAATTGTGGTATAGTTGGTGATATACTACATATAATAATTAATATAATGAATTGGATTAAACATGATGTACCAATAATAAGAAATTGTGATTTTTGACCAGAGATTTTCTGTGGTTTCATTAATTGTATTTCATTTATCTAAGAGAAAAAAATAAACTGAATAACACAGTTTTGTAAATACAATAAAGAATAAAGTATTTATTAGTATATTAATATCAGAAGGGGTTTTGTGGATATTATAGTAATTTTAAATGGTTGAGATCATGGATGCCGGCTCAGTGGTTTATTAGTTACTTGCTCACGCACGAGACTGATAGGTTCTGGATTTGAATCTTACGAGGCGGGATTGTGGATGAGCACTGCTGAGGAATCCCACAATAGAACGAAATAGCCGTTCAATGCTTCCAGATTTTTCATGGTGGTCTAGCTTCATTTGACTCACAATAGTATATTCTTTCAGAGTTATCCATGAATCCGACATATTTAATAGATCAACACTAAATCTACATGTTAATTTTTAGTTTTGACTTTATTCAATCATGTTTAACAATTCGCAGTCCATGAACTCCTGTTTGATCAATTTAGGAATATGAATTTGGAGTTCTTGTGTACTTTTTTCTAAGATTTGCATTCAAATCTACCAACAACATGTAATTAATTGTATTATTTGACATAACTTTTAGTTTCAAGAGGTGTATTGACAAGTGACTAATTTATTGACAGTATCTTGCAACAAGGAGAATATGTTCTATCCAGTGTAAACAGGGAATGATTGTTTCTCCATTAGATAAAATTTGATTTACATGCTTACTCCAGTAATCAATTAGTGTAAATAATTTATTATTATTATTATTAGCCTTATTCAGTATTATATTTTTGGTACAATATAGAATCCTCAAAGAGTTTCGCGAGTTTCGCTTATTACTTCTTGGTCGATATTGACGATAAATATTGGGTGACCAGTAGTTGGATATTAGCATTTCAGAAATCGACATCTGAATAATATTCATTGTTTTTGATGCACATTGCCAGCCATCATGATGTTTCTAATTGTAAATTTTTGTAACTTATACTGCAAAAGGTTGTAAACTTTTCACAAATGCACCTGAATAAGTTATGCAATTAATTGACATAATGATCTGTTAAAACAAGCAAGGAAACAAATAACTTGTTAAAATATTTAGATGGCAGGAACAGGTAGCCCAGATATTCAAGCAGGTCGCCTGGGTATCCAGTATCACATTTCTCAGATAATCTATTTGTCCTGGTGCGGTTATTCAAATCTGTTAAACAATCATGACTATTTATGCAGTCAGAATTCAAACTTCTAAGTAAAAAATTTGTGAGCGAAACTATATAAATTGTAGACGACCGTTGAGTGATATAAATGATCATTGAAAACTTCAACCATTTACTAAAGTTAAGATCGGGTTATGAATTAGTTTAATGAATTGACATAAGGCGTAAAGAGTTTTCATCGTTTTCATCAGTTATAATCTCAGAATACTATTAACCTTTATGGGTAAATAAATTGTCTGCCAAAATCCAACAGTTACTCTGTTAAATCTAATTGGTTCGTTCATAAATTATAGTTCTGTCAATTCTTTTGCATTAATTATCTCCTTTGAATAATTCACTTTTGCTTGCAACATGATAATCAAAATTATTTGGCAGTGGAATATGTTACTCGGCTTGAAATGCACCTACCTTCTCCGTTATATATTTCTTCTAACTCAATAAAATCAATTACCGTATGTTTTATATATGAGATTTGTAAGAATCAACGTGAACCGATACAGTATTTTTCCGAGTTCTTCATGCAAAGCTTATGTTTAAAAGTCATTAGGTTGGCCCAATCCCGTACATTTTTAGCCGTATCTATAAAGAGCATGGTATAATTAAATTGTCGTATTGAGTTTAATAAACCCATTCAGAACAAGTGTTATAATAAAATCATGAGGTTTCAAAGTTTAATACCATGATATTTTTTGTAATGAGATACATAAATCTTTGTCTGACAATTTGAACAGTAGACACTTTTACTTAAGTATAAATGTTCAAACTTAAGGAATCATTGTTCACCATGTGACTACAAATGCTAATAAAACGTTGCATAAAACGATGTATGAAGCACTGCGATTTTCAGTTATTTTTCATTCAAATTTGCAATTTTGGAGTAATGATTAATTTGATCATATTCATCACTCCAAGCTACTGTTATCCAAATAAGTTCCGAAAATGACAGTTTCAGTGGTTTAGCAACTGTAAAAAGTTCATTTTAAACCTATTCAAACACTAAGTTGATATAATTAAGTAAGACGTTGTGATGATAGCAAATGGATTTAATTAAACAACATGGATCAATAAAATGCATCATAGTTTTGTCAGTACTCTATGTCTAAGGTAGTGCGAAAACATTAACGTACTATACCTAGTCTGTTTAATGTACAATTTCCCTTTCTTCATTTGTTTATTTACACTTCTAATCAACCTAAAATTACAGTGAAAAAATACTTAAATAATCTATAACAACTAGTCAAGCAGTAGAACAAACTAGCCAACAGGATTTATCAAATTACATAGCAGCATACATATGAAAAAGAATATCTTACCTAATCCACCAAGATCATAAAAGGTTGATATCTGAGTTAAACATAAACTAACATGATTCCTAGGTATTCCAGTGTTACGCTAAATATGTATTTATTCACTGATTGAGTTAAAATCAAACTTGGAGACAAATATATTGAACTAGAAGTTTGTGAATTTTTATCCAGAACAAATGACAGATGAGGAGTAAACAACTACAGTATTTTAAGTAGTAGTAGTAGTATATGTTATAATTGATGAATAATGAAATTTATTCAGTGTAAGCAGTTGAGAAAGTTAATTAACTGTATATCCGTTTACAATATACTAATTTATATAAAGAATAATTAGTTTGTTAATATTAGGCAAGAAAGATTAATAATAGTCTTACTTGAAATATAGAATTGATCCGTGAACTTCTAGCCAAAATAGCTGAATATGTAAGTGTAATACAAAATCCAACAGAGAATATTGCAAAATTACAAATAAACAATGATGGAGATAATGCAAGAATTAATTCACCTGATACATAAGATAATATAATGCCTAGAAATAATATAATAGATGTTTCTTTACCAGATGCTTTGATTATTGGTGTTTGCCAATACTTAATACAAATAACTGATACAATTAAACAAAGAATTAAACCAGTTGATGATAGTCCAACGGAACTTTGTGCAACTTTTTCATATATTGACATATATTTTATTGGTAATAGTTGACACTTTGTTTGATTTTTATTTGGCCTATAACCAGGACTACAAAATTGACACATAGGAGATGCCATTGGATTACTTTTGTTTTTATTAGTAACATTATTATTTATTGTATTTTTAGGATTTTTATTCAAATTTACTGAAGTTACAATTTGTTGAGATGAACAATTTATACAAATCCAACAACATGAACGACCCCAATCGATACGTTTTATTTGACCAACATTACATGGTTTAGAACATACAGATTCCGGAATAGTTTCTTGAATATAAGATGAAATATTTTCATTGATATAGTAAAATCCTATTAATTACAAAAGAACCATTTTATTTCTTGAAAAATAATGAATAAATTTTTTTTAATAAAAAACATATAAGTCCGTTTATGCAATAAATAATTTCGGTCGATCAAACATTAATGATCAGATCACAACATTTTTAATTTTAAGATCACACTAAATATTTAAATCAGGAGTGTATATTAAACAAAGAAACTCAATTGTTTACGCTATTGAATTAATAATTAAAAAATCTAACAGTAAATTACATAAAAAAACTAATCAATTTTGAAGTTAAAAATGATAATAAAAACACATTGAGTATATTTATTGTTTACATTTATAATATTCTTCATCTTCACTGAAATGAAGTCAGTGTTCAGGACAGCGAATGTTTCCTTTGAAAAACTATGATACTTATTTTTGAATTAACTTGATTTGAGGCATAAATGACTTAATTTTAGTATGTGTTGTACATTAAATGACATCTTCCACTATTGCTGAATTAGAATTCAAAAAGGTGAAACTATAATTTATGGACGAACCAATCACGTATAAGATAACGGGTTTCGAATTTTGTCGAGAAATTCACTCATCTATTTGGACAAATAAGGTTTTGGCATTGTAGCTGATGTCAGTTCGTGATGAAAACTCTAGATCACATTCCTAACCTTATTCATCATGTGATCCTGGTTATTAAGTGGATACTCTCGAGGTCAGTCTCGCATCGCTTAAAGGGTGTCGATGTATTAATATTACCCTATAGTTACTCTTTACTACTATGAATGAAACTAAATAAACAATCGTATTGTTGATTATAAATAATACTTATTTGCAGAAATAAGGCTTCTTCTGAGGTCGGACTCTAATAATTTATTCTTATTCATAATATGGTTATTTAAATAGCATTTGTTGCATCAATTAAACTGTTTTTGAATATCTAACTAATTATATTAAATAAAGAAATGAAGTTGCTTTGTCTACATTATAAGAAAAGCAGATAAACGAAGTAACCAACTAACTGGACTTCATATTTCATTTAACCTAATGAGACAGAAGTAATGATTCATAATGTAAATAATCTGTCATACTGATGAGCCTCCAAACACTGAATATTATACAACATGAGCTGTAATGTCAACTCAGTTTGACTAGTGACTACACTACAAACTCATCAAAAGTGTTATATGAGCACTTAATATTAGATTAAACGAGATTAGTTGCTATTAAATGGTCGGGCAATAGATGAAGTGAATAATGTATGAGTACAACCTTCTAAAATTTCTTCTCCAGGTAATCCTTTTTATCCCATGTTGTGATATATGTCTACTACTCACTTCTAACGCCATGTATATTTGAACTATTAAAACACGTCGATACCTTTGGAACAAATTGGTTTAACCACTTTTGTTACTTTGGCTACCAATTTAAACTGAAGGTTTATTGAAACAGGTGTTATTCATATTGCATGTTTCATTCCTTGAATCCTTCCTTACTCTTATTTTTAATTATCTCACTATTCTTACTGAATATTCAGTACTACCTGATCACATCTATTGTGAAATATTCTCCTTACCACACATTTATTAATTGAAACATTTGGACGTCGTGCAAACTTCATTTATCATAATGTTTACCTTCAATAATCAGTATCACTTTATTCAAAAGAATCTGAACTGAAAATAACTTTTTTGGCTGGATGTAGATTAGATTAAAGCATATTCCGTGCACGATTGTGTTCGTGCACTCTGATAGGCTATTTCTTGTCCAATCAGCACTAGTCGATACGTATATAATCTTCTCATCTAAAAACTATAAATATACTAACGTATCTCTTATAGTGCTTCCTACTTCCATCTACCCTTGTTATTTGGAATATAATTTCGTTCCTGTTCAAATGTGTTCTGCTTTGGGAGGCTTGTCGAATGAATTGGTGTCCAACACTATTAAGCAATAGGAATAACTGGGTCGTAATAAGAGAAATTATAACAAACCATGACATTTGTTCTATCTGTAAAACACATATAATGAACGGCTAATTAACATGAAATATTTCTTTCCCTGACACACTTTTCTCTAAATATCTAGGTAGAAATTTCTCTTACTAAAAGTGTAATTATGTTCAAAATAGAAATGAAAATGCTGTTTGCAATTGCCATCACTTACTCGGAAATCTTGTTTCATCATACTGAGCCAATACTTTCCATTTAAATGTATTTGGCACAAAAGTTAATATTGTAAAATTCGGTTGACCATTTCGGTTATCGAAGAATGAAAACAATTCATTGCCAAAGCCTGTTAGTGTTCAAGAAACGTGTTAAAAGCTCTTTTATTAGTTTTTTTTCAACGGATATTTTTACTGTGATAGTTCGAAATTTCGTCAATGGTATTTAAAAGTGAAATGGCTAGCGTTTGTCACCATATAAGTATAGTCACATCAAATGAATCTTTGAATTTATTATAAATTAGTGATTAAAGTTTCGACAAACTTGGTACATATCGTTCACATGTACCTGCATACGAGCGTTTATGATCTCACTGCAAAATAGACTACTTCATAATAATAGTCATCACTTATTCAACGATCAGGATATTTTTTAGTTGACAGGTTTTATATCTTATCATTCTCAAACAGTAGGTAGTAAAAACGCAATAAATGTCCTCACATGAGAAATAGTTAATAAAATCACTGTAATGAATAAATATAACCGAATTGATAATAACCATTGTTTGAACAAGGATAAAAATGAAATTTAGAAGTAGTCTATGAGTTGTCGTTTCAAATGATCATAAAAACAAGTATTTCGTTTGAGGCTTACAGGCTCAAAAATATGGATAATTATAAACAAGTATCGGCGAGACTATAATTTATATACGAACCAATCAAATATAAGATAACAGGTGTTAGATTTCGCCTCGAAATCCAAGCACTCATTTGGCTGAATAGTGTTTTGGAATTTTAGCTGGTGTCAGTTCGTGATGAAAAATCTAGCTCCGAACCATAACTATCAACTGTAAATCATAATTGTAATTCCTCACACTGCTTTATAACCCTCATCTAGCCCTAGTAAGTAGGTGGACATTCTCAATATCAATATTTTGCATTAACTAGAAAACAACTCAAAATTAATAAGTTCTGAGAAAAACCTCTAAATAATATTCAGGGATATTGTTTGAAAATATACTTCTCAAAGTTTCATTTAGAAACCGAGCTCTCGAGACAACCAAGGCAGGATTGATGCCATACATTATGAATAATGCAAGATCAAGATCGAGACAAATTATAAATCGCTTGAAGTAGAAAATACTGACCACTGGATCTTTGCTTCACAAACTAGTATGACAGAACCTTACACGAAGTTCGATGGTCATAAACTGGCTTTGCAGAGAATCGCAATTACACAAGTCTATTGTTACTTGATTTGTAGTGGATCTTCAATTAATCTTTGTCCATAGTTTCTTCCTGAAGCTGATTGATTAATTTAAGATAACTTTTGTTCAAATTTCATTTGCTGACATAAAATGAGACTAACTAAAGTTCCTTATGTGATTTTCTACCATTTATCTGTTACGATAACGAGCATAAATATGGGTAAATTGAAAATAAAAACCATAGATTCCACATAAATCTAGATTAAAATAGCCATACCTTAATTGTAGTCCAATCGTTAACAATGAAAATAAAATATATTAAACAAATTCGTCAATGATATTATTTATTCAAACTGTTTACCTTCAAATTGACATTTTTGTAATTTATTTAGAAGCAACCTTCTCGTTTGCTCACGGGATTTATGATGCCATTTCAACATCGGATACTGCGTAAATACTTCTTTTAATGCATTTGCTATTGCATATACAGAGTTGACTACTTGAGGTACGTAGTAAATTGAGTCTTCATATGAAAGAAAAATTAAGTAACAAGGAAATTAAACAGCGATCCCAAAATGACGTTATAAATCGGATGTGTTGATAAAATGCGTACGGTTAGAAAATTTTGTGCACAACTCCCCTTATAGTGTGTATTATCACTCTTGAAATTGAATCAGTTAATTTATAAAATAAGCAACATCTAATAAAAATATTGTTAAGGAATGTTTGGTTGTTTTCCTACTTTTCTGAAAAATAGAAATATTTTAGTTTATATTTTGAAAATAGAATGACTAGTAGAATTTTATTATTATCGCTGCATTTCGGTGTAGTAAGCTAAGAATTTCAATGGGAACTCTTGATAAATCTTTGTTTACTTTGGATTAAATTGTATGTAGCCGAATCCAACAAACTTCTTCGAACAAAATAAACTCAGCCATACGTTATCTTATTTTAAGTCAAAAACTAAATCTAAAGTCCTGTAGTAGATAAAATCAATCACTTAATAATAAAATCGATATATTGGGTCAACTTTTTATTCAGCTCGTTTAACATAAAACTTATTCCTTAACCAGTGGTTTTTTGGTAGTAACGAAGACTCTCCGAGGAAACTGATTATCATTCTCATTGAATATTCAAGTCCTGACTGATTTAATAGTAGATCAATCGATATCTATTAATTAAATATCGGGAGTATGTGAGGTGTTCTGTGTTCAGTTATCTTGATCATAGCATAAATCTCTTCTACAAGTTCTTCAAAAACATACCTCTATAAAGATATGATAAGCATTCATGTTCATCATTGGCACTACAAACTTGACCAGTATAATTACTTGAATCAATTACGTTTGGTAAGCAGCCACAAAATTGCATTAAGTAAGATTCTGTCCAGCTCGTTAAATTGAATGTCCTTTTTAAGCTATATTGTTAAAGAATTATTACAAATCAATTTAGATAATTTGGAAACACCTCGAACAAACATTCGAACAGGGATAAATAAATTAAAATATTTGAGTAATTCTATTATGTACTGTGGCCAATCCAACAAAAGCGATTATAATAATGAACACCAACTCACATATTGATAAAGAATTGTTAGTGAAATTCATTCAGGACTACCAGTTTTGGGTGATCTATGGACAACAAAATGTATTGTTATTCTTAATACCAACCACGTTACAAACTAACGCCGCAGTTCCAATAATTTACACTATTCTGTAAATTAAGTGGTCTGATTACTATGTATTCAGGTTACCAAAATACATTTTATTACATTTCAGTAATACTAACTAACTCCGCCTGGAGTCCCTTTCCAGGGGCTACTGCCGGTCCCAAGCCCGGGTAAAGGAGGAGGGTTGGGCATGGGGTTAGCGTCCCCATCCCGTAGAAACCTAACTCGCTAAAAAAACGCTAACCAGAAAAAATAACTCAAACCATTTAAACTCTGCCTTGGGAGTTAGAGGTAATATGACGCTTCACGGTGAAAGCCGAGTTCCTTCGGAAGCCACGAGGCCGATGCCCCTTCTAACAACCAGAGCAACAATTTTTATAGGTACATGGAACGTCCGGACAATGTGGGAGAACGGGAAGACCAGTCAAATAGCAACGGAAATGAGGAGATACAACTTGGCAGCACTGAGAATCAGCGAAACCCATTGGACCCAAGCTGGACAACAAAGGCTAAATACGGGAGAGATGCTGCTATACTCCGGTCACGAAGAGGAAAATGCTCCACACACTCAGGGAGTTGCTCTAATGCTGTCCAAAGTAGCACGAAATGCACTTGTAGGATGGGAATCTCACGGATCCAGAATCATCAAAGCATCATTCAAAACAAAGAAGGAGGGGATCACAATGAACATTATCCAATGTTATGCACCCACCAATGATAGCAACGACGACGTTAAAGATTAATTCTATGAGAGGCTGCAATCAATCATAGAGAAGTGCCCAAGAAAGGACCTCACCATTCTGATGGGAGATCTAAACGCCAAAGTCGGAATGGACAACACCGGATATGAAGACATCATGGGACTACATGGACTGGGAGAGAGAAACGAAAACGGGGAAAGATTTGCAAATCTAAGTGCATTCAATAAATTGGTCATAGGCGGTACAATATTTCCACACAAACGTATACACAAAGCTACATGGATCTCACCGGACCACACCACAGAGAACCAGATAGATCACATTTGCATCAATAAAAAGTTCCGAAGGACAATGGAAGATGTGAAAACCAGGAGAGGAGCGGACATAGCTTCAGATCATCACCTGGTTGTGGCCAAATTGAAACTGAAGCTAAAGAAGAACTGGACAACTGGACAAACAGCACCACAAAGGTTCTATACAGCCTTCCTTCGAGATACTGACAAACTCAATGAATTCAAGGTAGCTCTCAACAACAGGTTCCAAGCCTTACAGGATCTACTGAAGGAAGAAGAAGCTACTATGGAGGATAGCTGGAAAGGTATCAAAGAAACATTAGCTTCAACGTGTCAAGAGGTTCTGGGCTCCAAGAAGCATCATCACAAGGAATGGATCTCTACAGAAACACTGGACAGGATCAAAGAAAGAAAGAACAAGAAGACAGCAATTAACAACAGTCGAACAAGAGCAGAGAAAGTCCAAGCACAAGCAGAGTACATAGAAGCAAACAAGAAAGTGAAGAAGAGCATTAGAGCCGACAAGCAAAAATACGTGGAAGAACTAGCAACGACGGCGGAAAAAGCTGCAAGAGAAGGAAATATGAGACAGCTTTACGATACGACGAAGCTAGCAGGGAAATACAGTAAACCAGAGAGACCAGTCAAAGACAAAGAAGGAAGACCAATCACTGAGATTCAACAACAGCGCAACAGATGGGCAGAGTACTTCGAGGAACTCCTGAACAGGCCGGCTTCAATGAATCCACCGGACATCGAAGCAGCACACACAGATCTTCCTATAGATGTCAATCCACCAACGACAGAAGAAATCAGAATGGCCGTCAGACAAATCAAGAGCGGGAAAGCAGCAGGACCTGACAATATACCAGCTGAAGCGTTGAAGTCAGACATCGAAGTAACTACAAGCATGCTTCATCTTCTATTCAAGAAGATTTGGGAGGAGGAACAAGTGCCGATGGATTGGAAAGAAGGACACCTCATCAAGATTCCAAAGAAAGGAGATCTCAGCAAGTGTGAAAACTACAGAGACATTACACTACTGTCAATACCAGGAAAAGTCTTCAACAGAGTGTTACTGAACAGGATGAAAGACGCAGTAGACGCTCAACTTCGAGATCAACAAGCTGGATTCCGTAAGGACCGGTCGTGCACAGACCAGATCGCGACACTACGGATCATCGTCGAACAATCAATTGAGTGGAACTCGTCACTCTACATCAACTTCATTGATTATGAGAAGGCATTTGACAGTGTAGATAGGAGGACGTTATGGAAACTTCTTCGACACTACGGAGTTCCTGAGAAGATTGTCAACATTATCCGGAACTCATACGATGGACTACAGTGCAAAGTAGTGCATGGAGGACAGCTGACTGACGCATTCCAAGTAAGGACCGGAGTAAGACAAGGCTATCTACTCTCTCCCTTCCTGTTTCTTCTGGTGGTCGACTGGATTATGAAGACCTCGACATCTGAGGGAAACTACGGCATACGATGGACAGCTCAGAACCAATTAGACGACTTGGACTTCGCAGATGACCTAGCCCTCCTATCACATACACACGAACAAATGAAGATAAAGACAGCCAGCATAGCAGCAGTCTCTGCATCAGTAGGCATCAACATACACAAAGGGAAAACCAAGGTCCTCAAACACAACACGGAGAACAGCAATCCAATCACTCTTGATGGCGAAACTCTGGAAGACGTGGAATCCTTCACATACTTGGGAAGCATCGTCGATAAACAAGGAGGTTCAGATGCAGACGTCAAGGCAAGGATTGGCAAAGCTAGAGCGGCATTCCTTCAATTGAAGAACATATGTAACTCAAAACAACTCTCAACCAATATCAAAGTCAGAATCTTCAATACGAACGTCAAGGCAGTCCTACTGTACGGAGCTGAAACTTGGAGAACTACAACAACCACCATCAAGAAGGTACAGGTATTTATTAATAGCTGTCTACGCATGATACTCAACATCCATTGGCCGGATACCATCAGCAACAGCCTTTTGTGGGAGAGAACCAACCAGCTTCCAGCTGAAGAGGAAATTAGGAAAAGACGATTGAAATGGATAGGACATACATTGAGGAAATCATCAAACTGCATTACGAGACAAGCGCTAACTTGGAATCCTGAAGGGAAGCGGAAAAGAGGAAGACCAAAGAACACATTAAGTCGGGAAATAGAAGCAGATATGAAAAAGATGAATAAGAACTGGAAAGAGCTTGAAAGGATTGCCCAGGACAGGGTTGGATGGAGAATGCTGGTGAGCGGCCCATGCTCCTTCACGAGGAGTAACAGGCGTAAGTAAGTAAGTAAGTAAGTTATGAAAACATATCCATACTATTATTTTACACTCATCAATTGGTTTTCTCTACATTCATACTTTAGATAATATTATTCCATAATTTTTAACATCATGTCAGAACGCTAAATTACTATATAAAACACTATCTCATATCATTTTCATAGCAGCCAACAGTGCGACTTAGAGTAACTGTTTCATTCATGTTGTCAGAGAGAAACATATCCATCCCATGGCCATCATTTTTATTCAAACTCAAACACATTACCAGTAACTTTTGACTTAAAGAGCTATCTGTTAACCTTCTGAAGTTATTACACACACTAATCTAGTGGTTCCTTATTTAAGTGTTTTCAGAACTAAAGTGATTGTTATTTTTCAGTAGTTGAGCTCCGTCAAGTAAGTCTTGCTTGCCCTTTATTTAATCAAGATACTAGCAAATTTGATAAAGAAGCATCCATTCAATAAATTCATTTACAGACACATTGACTGGTTCACTCTTGGAAAAAAATAACTTGAAGGTAATGACACACACTTATGCAATGTTCATATTAGTAATTTAGTTTATGTATTTATATCTGAATTTGTTGTTTCAACTAATTATTATTTCCATATATTTTTATTAAATCCAATTAATGTTTTCCTTTCTCTTGATGAACTAAGTACTATTCTTTGAACCATTTCGAATTTGTATGTTCTTAAATCGTTTTATGTAATTAACGATGAGCCGTTGATAATGATTTTACTATCTGGAATAAAAATTTATAACTTCAAATAAACTAAATCTATTTGGAAATGAGGCAGTTTTCTGGTTTTATTTGATATCGGAAGTGCTATAGAAATTATTACATATTAGTTCCTAATCATTTGATATTATCACAAGGAACAAATTCAATAAATTTAAAAAGAATGAAAACCTTTTAAGTAGATGGAAAATGATAACTCATTCGTATATATTCACTCGTATAAAACCTAGTCGTTATTAACTCACAAACTAATGCCTTTTAGCCGGCTCTTTTCAAGAAATCAAACAACATATTCTAAACAGTTGAGCTTTCAGATCTTTATATTAACAAAACTTATTTAACGTTAGTCTCAATCTATAGGGCAGGATGGTTAAAAAGTAAAACGAGCACTAAATACATTTAAAGATTAAAAGATGTAACAATATTCTGTCAAATCCTGATGTACATTTTTAGTCATTCGTCGATACTCTAGAAAAGGGAAATAATAAGTACAACCACTGGAAATAAGGATGGCAATTTTTAAAACATAATTTTAAGTAACATTTGAGTTTAAAGTTACTTTGATGTAACAAGGATCTTTAATTTCTTTCTAAAGTACTATTCAAGTGACTTACTTAATTGAATAGTTTTTCATATTCTTCTCTTCCGTCAAATGTGGTAAAACTAAGATGAACTTTTTAAATCCATGAAAATGTTTTGCATACACTGGATCTAAATCTTCAGTTAAATATAATTCTCTGAAAGTTGAGATAAGACCATTTGTACCAATCCAAAGAAATCGATCAAGATCCGATTGATTCCATTTAAGAAGCTCACTAACGGCCAAACTTGCAGTATATGATGTTACTAACAGGATATTAACTGATAATAACGTTAAAAGGATCATTTGAAGTATACGAAATGTAATCGATATAAATAATAAGCTAAATTATATCTTTGTAATTGCATGAAAGTATAGCAATTTCATTGTGATTTTTGTATTATTAAGAAATAATAAAAGAAAATAAACATCACTCTGTTGGTCAACGATTTGTAAGATTTGATCATTGTGAATTAAATATGAAGTGATCTATGCCAATAGTACAGGTTTTGATATAATAAACCTCAACAAATTCAGTCGTTTTTTTCAGAAAATTTAAGATAACTGACATCAGCATTAACTGATTTAACATTACTCTAAAAAACATTCTAAACATTTTTATAAACTACTGTTTACTTATATAGCGCTAAAAGAAGAAAACAATCTAAAGAAATTCGAGAAAATGAGTAAAATACAAGGTACTAATGAGTACTTGTCAGCTTATAAAATTTGTAATTATTATGTATCCTATACACCGAATTCGCATTTTGAATACAATGTAATAATGGCTCACACTATTTCAAATATTAATTATTCTAATGATAGTTTTCCTGTTTTCATTCAGTTGATCAAATTCAGTATTCGAATGCCACTAAATAAATATTTCTGACAATTGATAATCTCCAATATCTTTAGTGGTACACAACTTTATTGCTAGTCCCATCAAAGTCGCATACCTTTGTAGTGATACTAGTGTACTTTCTTAATCGCTTCTTAGTAATTTCATGAATAATGCTTATTGACTGTGAGCTATTTTGATATTAAGTTGCTTTCTATATCAGTATCGTTACACTCAAAAGTAAGAGTTGATAGCTGTTGTACAGTATTTCATAGATTAAGACTAGCAGTGACATTCAAAATGTGTATTTCATTCAGTTTTTGACTCGTCAGATTTAAATGGCTTCAATCTGGTATTGATGCTTACAATAACATTTCAATGGGCATCCTGGATTGAAATGTTAGCCACTATCAAAAATATGTGAGGATCTTAAACGAAATATTATATCGTAGAAACCTGTTCAGGATCCACACTAGCCATCTTAGACTGACCAAATCCAGTCTTAAATATAAAAAATAGGAAATTATAAACCTTTACGAATATTTCAATGATTAAGATCATGAGTCAGTTGAAGCTAGACCACCATGGGATACCTGGAAGCACTGGACGGCCGTTTCGTCCTATTATGGAAAAAAGCTCTGATTTATGCATAAAACATGTTTTGAATCTATACACTTATTATTATCCAAAGCAAATTATGTATTTTGCTGAGAAATCAGTGATTCATTTTTATAAAAATCACTGAACATCATGTATTTTCAGTTGGCTTTTGGGACACTTGTGCTATCTCATTTTGTAACTAGAGATGTAATTACCACATCATGGCTGTAGTTCCCTGAATGTTTCTGGTTTAACTCTGGTTAATGGGTCACGTGTCAAGTTTTATAACTAAAGTGGTTTTATAGAGATCAGTTAGAAAATTACCAAAAATCCAGTGGCAGTGAATTAAACCAATGCATTTTCACTAGAAATATGATTTAAGATAGATGTTTTGACGTTTTGAGTTATGGAGTCAATCAAGTTGAGAGTGAACCTGTATCTCAGGCATGGCATTAAATATTAACCTCAATATACTGTAAACTAAAGAAAAGAATCATGTTCAAAAAATAATAAGGTCTTTACTTCCTAACGTCATTTCCATCTCAGTTTTTCTATTTTATCGGATACTAATTATCTGCCCGTTTTATTTAAGAGAATATACACGTAAATCAAATGTTCAAGTTTAAAAATACCCTTAATGTTAAATAGTCATTTCACCTACCTGAAGCTGGAGAATCCAATAACGTTTTCAATCTTTTACCAATATCGTTGGCATCTAAAGGATAGGTGATCAGTCGGACATCTTTAGCTACACATATAATTTGACTGAATTCATTTAATTTCTCCATAAAAACACCATAATTAGATTCACCATGCTCGGAACTGTCCAGTACAACATTTACATAAAACCAGTGATACTTTCTATATAGATCGCGGTGTCGTGTTTTTACGGAAAAAAGAAAACTTATCATATTTATTAAGTATATGCTCATTAATAACAGGTTATCTATATGACTTTACTGATGATTTTTCTTTATTCAAAAAAAAGAAAATAGGACTTTTGACGATAGCAAGATGGATATAAGTAGTAATTTAGTTAGAAAATAGATGTCGCCATATCTAAGTTAATTTACCAAAATCAAGCAATCAATCAATTACTGATAAAACAAACTTCTCATATATACTCTTATTCGCCTAAGCAAACTGTGATCGATTTCAGGTGGTTTGATAACTATAGCACGTGAACAGACATTACAAATACTGAAATCCATTTTAACAACTAACCTTCCTTTCAAATCACTATTTGGGCAAAAACACTTTCGAAAGCCTTATTTATGTGAGATACAAAAATAAAATGTAATTATTTTCAGGACTTTTTGTCAGAACGTGAAATGTATGAATGAATTTTAAAGACAGTGTCAGATGAACCACTGCCACAACAATATTTATTATACTGCTATCAACACTTGTAATTGGCACAGTGGCTTCAAATGTTCACTTTTAAAATTTAAACCACTATTTTTTCATGGTGATATTCGCTAACCGTTAAAATTTAGTCGTTTTGACAGTATGACAAGCATCTCAGTAACGTAGTTTGATGAACGTGTTATATTGTTAATTGGCTGAAATTAAAAAGGTGAAATACTGAATGTTAACTTGATTCTCTACATGTACCATGTCCCCCATGAAATTTGACAATTCCTGGTTGTATACCACTGAATAATTCAAAAGTAAACCAGGCCAACTATCCAGTACATCTAAGTTTCAATAGTTCTCTGACTGGTCATTTTATTATGAAAACTAACTTCACTTTGTTCTAACTCCGTAATCTAACCAGGCAATTTAATCTTCCTATCTTAAGACGCCTGAACAATTAAATTTTATGATATATTAAGTTGTGTACTGAATAACGTATTATTTAACTTATTCTGAAAAAGAGTCAAATTTCACATTGAAACGGTTTTAGATTTTGGTTCTTTTTTGACTTTATTCACATATCATAACTCTGTATGCAATACATTCACGATATTATTAAATTTTGCTAAGCGTTACCTTAGTAAATAAAAATAGAATGTATTATACTTTGACATTGTGTTGTTATATTCCAACTCTAAATAATCGATTCTTTTGATCAAAGTTTCAAATGATTTTAATAAACTGTTTTATTTGTTTTCAAATAAAACTAACTCACTTTATGATTATTTTAGATAAACGGGTATGAAGCAATTTTCTTTAATTAGTTAATATAATTTGAGTGCTTAATTTATGTACAGAGTAAGCAGAAGACAAAAACCACAACATCGAATTGTGTGACACGATGAAGGGGAAACCGGAACAGCGTTTCCTATGATGTCATTCCTCTGTTTAATATAATTTATATCTAATAGGATTTTGAACATACGAATTAGTATCATTCTAATAATCATGTTTAACATAAGTCTAGTATTGCATACAGTTTGTTATACGCTTATTAGCTAAGATTTACAGTAAGATCACTTAATAATGCCATTACTTATCTTGATGTGTTATGATTTATACTATAGGCAAAGGCTGGAAAAGTGTTCATGGTGGTGCATAAAGCAAGAGATAGTCCACGAAATTATTAACAATAATTGAAAACCAAGAATTCTTACTTCGGATTTCAAAGATTATTGTTGCTCATGGATTTTTATCTTAACTGATACGGTTAAAATCGATTTCAGTAGAGCAAATAAATTCATTGTCTACCTTTCTCCAAATTATAAGATTATTATTTCTTTAATCATGGTTCTTATTGTAATTGCTCGTTTTTTGAACAGTGTTTTCAATGTTTAATTGCACTGCTTTTGAAGTGAATTGTAGTAATTTGAGTAGATGATAATTTGTTTGAAGCCCTACTTTATATATCATTGACTAAATATACATTATATTTACAATTAGTTTTTGTTCACTGACAAATCAACGAAATCTAAACATTGATACTCACCTCAACAAGTCAATAATCACGTCAGTTGTCATACTAATGCTGGGAACTGTCCTCATAAAATACGTATATTTATATGCATCATCTAATTGTGATGAAGCAGACATGTAGCTGATCTGGAATTGAAAATCACAAAATAGTGGTATTTTTTAGAGGGGATATTCAAAGCTTTATAATGTAGTGACTTGAGCTTCGAGACAATTCCCTAGGCTCTGTATATCAATCACCCTGATAATCGTTATTATGTAAATCTTAACGGTGTATGAATTCAGTAGGCAACATGAAGCGCCAACTACTAATTATTATTGGATAGCGCAGATAATAAAGTTACAAGCACACCGGGCGAATTCGATCAGAAAGTCAAATGCTCGCGAGCAAGCGAATACAGAGGCGGATTCAGAGTCAAATCAAATTGACTCAATTGATGAGATCAAGGCATATATATATATATATATATATATATATATATATATATATATATGTTTAGGCTGTCACGTGCTATCAAGCATGGATGTTTATACAAACATGATAGTAATATTAATTATAATAATAATAATAATAAACAAATTGGTACCTTTTTAATAATATTGTTAAACAAGTTAATAAAAAGACTCGACAAAATTGACATTGAAAAAACTTAATTCTAGCAGAGGTGCTATAATAGGACCGCACCTTTACAGATTAGTGTTCTGCAGAGAGCATAGCTTTCCTCTAGATTGCTTGTGCACCTTGTATATATACCAATACTTCCAGTTGCGAAATTCAAAAATCTTTATAGCCGTTAAATAAGTTTAGAATCTGGACGTATTGTATTATTTTTAATTTTTGCTTGAAATGCCGTCCAACAGTAATTACCAGTTTACATAACGACTTTAAGATAAAATTCTCTGTAGAAATACCATTATTTGCTTAATTTATGTAAAACTTCACAGCGGATAGAATTAACATTTTACGAATCAACAAATAACTCGACAGTACAATCTGATAAATCACAATAAAATTTTTAAAAAAATGATATCTCTGACTTCTTAAACGATGAAATCTAAAACTTTTGCATTCACCACCAGACATTCAGTCTCCAGCAAACAACTGAATGATCATATAGGAAATCCACTTAGACTGACAATCCTTGCATGTAAGTACATGTACAATACTTTCAGCCCATACATTTACACAACACAAGTTAATGAGGTTTTCTGCGGGACTTACAAAAGTCACTCATCAAAACTATGAAATTTGGAAGACTGCTTATGGACATCCTCCCATCGAAGAAACACAGCTTTTTCATGAGGATCAAAATTTCTTGTAGAACTTATGGAGAAAGCTAGGTCAGAAAGACTTTTGATTTCTTGTGTTGATCAGGAAAATAGGATATACGTAATTCTTTGTACGTAGGCCGGCTTACTCTCTAGAAGATTTCGGACTAACTAAATTCGAGAAAATCATATATGAACATGATTCTAACTGAGAGAGATTTTGAAGGATAAGGCGGTTTGAGATAATTTCTGAAAACTTTCGGCAATATTTACATGTTCGACTCGAATCTGGACGAAGCAATAGAAATGCGTACTATTTTAAGAGGGATAATATTGGTTTATCTTAAAGTTTGTGAAGTAATGTCTATCCCCTCAGTTCTAGTATTTATTATAAGCCTTTTAATAGACGTTTACACCTACCTGTGGTATATCTAGGAATTTCAACATATTTGCCACGCTAATCGATACATCACTTTGTAAACCACCAACAACAGCTGTGACGTAAGTTTCCATAGATCTGTGATTGTACTGTTCTTCAAAAGCAGTCTTCTTGGTGTCATTCTCCAACGGATCATCATACTATGAAATAATAGTAAATAAACAATAGAATCCTAACATATAGTGGTAATAACAACTATGTCTCTGTTCAATAATATGTTACAAAACAAACACGGTCTGTACACAAAGCACAATTACTCCTTTCTGTAATTTTAATTGAAAACATATTTCCTATTTATTGATAACAGATTTTAACACAAGCAAAAATTAGCAGGAAAAATGACCATCTTAGTATAGCCTCAATAAAATAGTAAACAATCTTTTATGAATTTTTTCCTATTGTTAGATAAAAGAATCATCAACTCGCTAACGTTATTACAATAATATACGTCAAGATGGTGGTTAGGGGTTTTCAACAGGAAACTCTGGACCTAGGTTCCGTGCTATTTGGCACTCGTTGGCAAGGTTTACCTATAACCTTGAGGGAACCGATGCTTCCTATAAGGTTTGCTCCCATGTCACTCAACTTCACAGTAAGAAACCTCACCATTGAGCTATCGGGGATGTCACTGGCCTGAAAATATCTCTCGATCCTACAGAAGGCCATTTGTTAGAGCAAGTAATTCATTGAATTTGATTGGTTAACCATAGTCCCTTTGTTATAGATATTTAAATTCAGTAATAGCATAACATACATGTTTTTTTCTAAAACTTCATAAACAATATACACTGCATAAATGTTGATATGTGGGTAGTGAAAGTAAAATATGATTGGTTACTGAGCGTGGACATACAGGCACTTAGCTTTCGGACTGCTAAATATGTGATTTCCTTTCCTCTCACTAATTTCTACTACGAGCTCATTGACAGTAACTGCTTTTAGTTGTATGCAATAAAGTATTATCTGGTAATAAACTGGTTCTCTTATCTACGTCGTGAATCCTGAAACTCATAATAGTGACTAATTTCATAATTGTATTAACGTATTATTATGGTATACCTTAGAGAGAGAGAGAGAGAAAAGTATTTTGAACAATCCGTTAAGTCATATGTATCGTTAACATGGTTAGATTTGAGAACTTCAAATAAGTTGAGAATTTGGTGCATCATTTTATTTGATCTATACCATAGTTGACAGTCAGTGGGATGTTTATGTTTCCGTATTTTTCACATTCAAGTTATTCAAATAAAATTTTCAAAGAGTTGTAAATTGTAACGAATATATACAAGGTAATCTAACTTACAACAATAAAACGTAGTGATTGCATAAAAGCATTGTCTGGATTTTCACATGTATCGAAAATTAAAGCTCCCAGTGAAAAGTTTAGGTAATTCTCACGTGAATTGATGTTATCGATTGCATAAAGCATTGCCTCTAAAAGCTTTTAAAACAAAATAAAAGTTTATTTATCACTTAATTTACCTAAACGAGGCTAGTTTCATAAAACATTGAACATTTACACGATGATATTACGTTATTACTAGTGTTACAGGTAGTAGTACTGAATTTTGTAGTGTATGTTTAAGTTATGTCCCATAGAAGCCTTTATTGATTACATATTAGTGTAAAACATTATACTTTAAAAGTTCAAGAAATAATGTCTCCAGGCAATAGAACGTGATGAGCTGATCTTTTCTAAAATTCGTTATTTGCTACGAGGACTGAAGATCTTGGGTTCGATTGTTATAGGGTCGTGGGTGGTCACTGCTGTGATATCTCACACTAGGATGAAGCAGTAATTTGGTCCTTTCTGGTTTGCAATGATACCTCAGTTGAGATAATTTCGTGAAAAATATTACATACAAACATGTTTTTATTCATTTCATGAATTCTGTATTCACTTTCAATATATAATAGAGTTGTACATATTAGTGTATATATTCCTGGTGGGTGGCCTATGCTCCTCCACGAGGGATAACAGGCATAAGTAAGTAAACAAGTGTACATATTCGTATCACTGATAGATGTTTGACAATCTAGTTAACAATAATCACATCAAGAATTTTCTTCAGATTTTTTTAACTTGTCATCCAGTCACTTCAAGTAGACATGTTTAGAAAAATATGATGACGACACTGTCTTGACTGATAGAATGATTACTCTCACCTTATATCCGTTTGCAGTTAATTGAGGTTTCTGAAATATTCCTTTATCAATAGTTCGACGTTGATGGATTGGAAACAAACCACCTAATAAGACATCACCTCCATAATGTAAATATTCTGAATCATCTTCTGTGCAAGTCAGTTCATATTTATATCTACCAAGCGCACAGCTTATTAAGTCTAATTGTACAGAACATATTAGAATAATTATTGTAATAAAACGGTCGATATCCATGAAACAAAATGTGACAAGTTATTTGTTTTAAATTAGACTGCGGAAAATTCGTACTGTTCCATTTATCGGATTGAAAACATATAAGCCTAAATTATACTTTTATATAAATAAAATAAACTGACCTTTAATCATTATGCTTGTTAACGAAGCAAATTTCGAGATTAAATAAGTATGCTCAACAACCAAGTTTTACGCAACATAGGTGTACTAGTGGTATATCAGATGATTTCATCTATTTTTGTGTACATAACAAACAGTTTTAGGCAATGGTTTACATACGTAATCAATAACTTTGTTTTCAAGTTTCCTTAAAACAGTTTCATGTTTGTTTAAAAGTCCACATAATGATAAAGATCTTTATTTTTCAAGTATAAAACAGGAGGCTATATAGCCTATTGTGATACTACTTAAAAGTATGTATATACACTATCTTAAAAATATCATGGATTAAATATCAACCAAACTATATACTAATAATTTTAGTCATTCCTCAAGAATTATCAATAATTAAGCTGATGAATTACTTCTGAGATTTTTGGGAGACATTCAAGACTACGAAAGCCATTTGTGGATTCATCAATTTCAACAAAAGAGAAAGAACATATTACAAGTCAAGTCATATTGCAATCTAAAAATACCGATTAAAGGTACTGAACTTATTGCGATTATCATCAACCTAAGCAGTTGAATAAAATTATGCCAAACGTTTTCAAGACAGGACAGAAGCAGTTCTCATTATTACTACAAGAATGTAGCAACATTAATCATCAACAATTAGGATTATCAGTTAGTGAGGTGTGATTTCTGCTACTACACACTTTTATTCATATTAATACTACCACATGGTATGAAAAATCCCATAAAGGCGTTTTAGCTGTTATTTAGCCAAATAAACTGAGTTGGTTTCTCACCATCCTGTTGTCTTTTCGTAGAGATTGAAGTAGTTTAAAACTTAAACAACGGAATCTCAACTCAGTAATCTGAAGGTGATTTACTTGCCCTAAGACGTTAATGTCCTGGATTCGATAGCTGATAAAGTCTTAAAGGCTAAAACGATGGTGTTATCCAGTGTTTCGTAACTTTTAATTTGTCCTCAACTAATACCACATCATGAATAAAAATGTCTATCAACAAAAATCTGTAAGTTCTTAAACCGCTTCTTTTCTTAACGCTGTCATGTTTCGATTTACAATGACATATAAAGCGCTAAGAGAAGTGACTGTAGTTTAGATGATGGAACGATCACAGTCATACAGATACGGAAAATTATGAATCACTGGATAACTGTTTCATCCAAGTATGATACTCCGCAGCAGTGAGTATCCTAGACCCCACTGAAGATCTAAACCAGGGCGTTGAGACTCTCAGTGAGTGAATAATCTCTAGAGCAAAACTGTTACTTTGAGTTTCTCATTGACATCAGTTGATCAGCATTTTTTTAAAACTCATTTAGCCAATTTAAATCCTTTGTTTTGATTTATTGAAATGATATCCATTTCCTCATGGTCCTTAATGATTAAATTTTTACAAATACTTACATCTGTAAGAAAAAGCGTTTTTCATTATCAATTTCTGATAAAAACGTTCTTAAAAGCTCAGAGGGATTTCAAAATGTTTGTATTTAGTCAAGATGACTGATAAATGTTTTAAGTACTGCCGAATATGTAGATTTTGTGAATAGAAATGTGAAATGGAAAAATTTAAGTGACGTATGATGAGTATACTGCACAAATAGATCCGTGTTCCAAAAATGTTTTTCATGGAGATTTGTCTTTGATGATGATGGAAGTTTAAAAACTACTCATTAACGGTCACTGTCTGGTACTTGTTTATTATAATTCAAATAGGTCAACTTTATTGACCACCAACAGTACTCTACAATTTAAAAAGTTCTTTCTGGCTATTGTAGCTAATAGTTAATAGATAGTGATAACCTTAAATTGATTATATATGAAGTGATTTTTCCATACTTTATTTATTTATTCCTGTAAACACATTAGGATTGAATCAAAGGAACATTAAAATATATATCTCCCACACAATAAAAATGAAGACATAACGGAATGAAAGTGAAGAATGATGGCGTGACCATAATTTATGGTCAAGCCAATCAAATTTAAGATGGTGAGTCTTGAATTTCGGAGCGGAATTCATTCATCCATATAGTTAAATTGTGTGTTAGCATTATTCCTCAGCTCTAACTCTCATTCCTAACCTCTCATTACCCGCTTTGATATGTACTCATCTTTAGACCCCAGTAAGTTGGTGAATTTTCTAATTGCGATCATAAAACGATTGATGTTAGACCACCATTAAAAACCTGGAAGCACTGGACGACCGTTTCGTCCTATTTTGAGACTCCTCAGCAGTGCGCATCCACAATCCCAATATGGTTGAAAAGTAACATGCTAAAAGTTGAAAACTTATGGTGCATGTACAAGAAGGGACTGGTGTTGTTGTGATTTATAATTCATGTGTAGTTCTTAACATATTATTCGCAAACGTTTCAATTCTTTTAGTCGTATTTTCTATGCATTGAAGAGCTATTAATGAGTCCGTTCAAATAATGAATGAGGAAATGAAGATTTTTAACTGATCTTTCACATGCTTCTCAGAATTCGCTCACAGCACGCAGGCCGTTAGTTCCATTCTCGATATAGCAACAAGTTTCAAAAGAGAGACCCTAGACTTAGTTAGAAGAAATTGTGGAGATGGCATGACAAACTTATTTTGTAAACAGTTTTTGATACTATCTGTATTTATTTTGTTAAATTTCACAGCTTGTACTTTTTGTTCATGTGTGTGACCTTTATTATTACAGGCGCTCTATATACACACACGCTGTTTTCACTTTCCGTTCATTGTACACTAGCACGGCCCTCGCCGCTATACATTATCAAATACACTTTATACATACCATTGTTATTCTCATCTGCTTAGTGGATATTATTCATAATAATTAATACGTATGTTATCTACTTTATAGACTGCAGCCACATACACATACTGACCTTCGGATTATCATGATAAATGGAATATTAAACGAACCAAAATTGTGGTAAAAGATCACCAGATCAAATCGAACACGCACAAGTAGCTGCATTAAGTAACGTTCTTATATTTTTATTGTATTTATCGCATTTAACTGATATATTTCAATATGAACTCATTGATATCTGATAACCTTGTTAATATTTTGAAATAATATATTGGGTGGTCCACCACAAAATGCTCAGTTAATTTGACCAGAAACACTTTGTTTATAAATATATGTGACAACACCATATGCTAGCTAGAAGGCATCAGCGAAGCAATCAATTTAAGTAGACAATGTTTCAGACTTCGGTTTTGCACATCTCAGTATTCGTAAGTCATTTAACCCTTTCATTTGACCACACCAAAAATCCTACTTCCCTCGATAGTCTCAATCTAGTTTCTCACTATTACGTAGCTCATGTTCAGACTTCAAAAGCAAGGATTGTTAATAATGCCTATCTACCATTTGCACTGACTTTGACATAGCAATGTGTGCTATGCAATCTTCGACAGATATTGATATGGTACGACTTAGCGGGACATTAAAATCTGTTGTGTACATTCGTTCTAAATTATCTTCTGTTTCCTTCTTGACTAAGAGGTGAATTAGTGCATGGTTGCTCTTACGAGTTTCCTAGTAGGGTTCAAAAAGAAATCGACTTATCAGAGTTCTTACCGAGTAAGGCCCATTCGTTTTCCAGCACTTATCCACATTGCCTCGTGTACGTCACGTGCATTACACCCAGTGACGGCGTGACATTCCCGCCTTTTACTCTTGAAAAATTTGTGTCCTTCAGGTGGAATCAGGACTACATCTGATGTACTGTTGGCACAGTTCTGTACGTTGATGGTAGTCTTTCTACCGTCACCACTTTATGGATCATAACAGATGAATTCAGTTCTACGTCGACCTCTGCATACCAACGACGATTTATTATTATGAGAACTTAAAGATATTGTTTTCGGCTTTCTGTAGAGGTCGATCCCTTTTACTATCTAAAAAAAGCGCAAGTCTCAGTGATCTCACCATGTTTTAGTAGTATAGGAATTATAGCTCGCACGAATCTTTCCCAAGAGTAATTTTTGCTCTCAGCACCATTTTCTACTTCTCTCCAATGCTTAGCATTGACCTAGACGCCCTCGACAGTGTTCTTCCGTTCCTGCGGCTTGGTATGAAGCAGGATATGATTCTATCGACCGCATCCTTCAGCCGAGAGTGCTCTTGGCGATCCACGGTATTTTGCTTCGTGGTTGTTCATGGAACGAACATTACCTAGTTCATGTCTTGGAACAAACTCGCTCCGTTCTCTACCATCCTTACTTTTAGACTTCTGGCATTGAGTTAAAAAATGATTCCCTGAGCATTCCAAAGATGATAAACAGCGGTAACCGTAGCCATCACGTAGATGGATAGTTATTACTAGCGCTTCCATAGAAGATCCTTACTGTATCGTAATCTGTATTAAGTTTCCCCTTTACAACATCAATATCGTTATTTTCATTATTATTACCTAGGCTAACAAGTAGGTCATATCTGGTGTTGGCCAACTCAGCTTGTCCCTCGACAAACTTAGTGAAATCGCAATACAGAGGCTAATTATTTCCTTTAATAATCTTATCAGCTATCTTTAGCCACTCTTGTCGAACTTGCATTGGTTATTTCAAAATCATAGCGTCAATAGTTCCGGAGTAATTCAAGCTGGCTCACTTGCCTTCTCCTATCCTCTTCGCTGTTTCCACTTGATTTCGTTTCTTTGATTGTCTGTTCAAATCGATGGGTGCATGAGATATATATATTAAAAATCCATTTTCGAATTTGACTTATTTAATCCCGTCATCCACCCACATGACTTAAGTCAATGATTACATACGCGAATTGGAGACGTGCATATTTCAATGTTAGTCAGCATACAGTCAATACAATCCACTAAAAACTCCTTTGGGTTCAACTCAACAGATAAGCA